TGGATGCCAGTAGCAATGCTCCCTGCCCTGAGTTGTGACAAAGCACAAATATTTCCATATATTGCCTAACGTCTGCTGGGAGAAGAACAAAATTGTCCTTAGTGAGAAGAACTGTTCTAGTACATTATAAAAATGTTTTAGATCTAACCACCTGGAATATATCTACTTTCAAAATAAATTATCTTTTCTGTCAATGTGAGTTCAAAACCCGTGTGCTTTGCTAACCGCCAGGATGCTTTGGATGTTGTATCCCACCACGCTGCAGTTCACGTGCATGTCAGTTTGATATCTCTCTTCCTTTAGCCACTCCTTAGCTATAAAAGTGCCCAACACCTGTGATGGCTTAGGGCAGGGAGATAATAAATATTATTTTCTTTTCCCTCTTCATCTTTTCTTTCCTTTTCATAGTAATTCCTTAGATTGCAATAGATTTTTCTAGCTTACTGGTAATTCTGTAATTCTTGCCTTCTTGGCTTTGAATTAATAACGTGTTCAGAAATCCTGGGGATTGACTTTTTCTCACTCTTATAAACCTTGGTAAGGTCAAATTGACTTGAAAACCTGATTTATTCTTTTCCCTCAGAGTCTTGCTCAGTGTTAAGTGTGGGTTATAAGATGGTATCTTCAGTATGATACCATTTTTGCCTACATACTATGTACCACACATGCGCTAATATGTGTACGCAGAATACAGTCTGGACAGATATATTCCAAAGTATACTTTTACCCTAAATGGGGCTGTGATTTTTTATTTCTTCTTTTTGCTCATTTATATTTTCTGATTTTTTCTATAATAAGCACCTGTTGCTTATGTAATAAAAAGGAAAAAAAATTGTCTTAAGAAGCCATTCTCAAGCTTCCAGTAAAGTCAGAGCAAGATCTGACACTGGTCTACTGGGGTTGTTAATGGTAACAAGAGTTTTATTTGAAATGGCACTTATTTTTAGAAGACACTGGGGCTACTGAGTCACCCATCATATTTTAGGGGAAAGGATGAAACAAGAAACCCCAAAAGAACAGGTGAAGATTTGCTAGGCAGATTTCTGTCTTGTACTGAAAGTTTTTTGGGTCAAGATATATGTATGTGCATGAGCTCAGATGGAATTTTTCTGAGCTGAGTGGCTGAAATTAGCAGTGAGCTAAGGCTTAGCGAGTCATCCAGTGGAGGATGGCTAGTGCACCCTGGGACTTGGTAGACTGAAAAGATGTCCAGTGAGCACACGGTGTTCTTAGAGCATGCCGGGCAGGTCTGTATCCAAGTGGCTCAACAATACCAAGCACTTCCCAAAGCTCCTACCCGTTGCTGAGCTGGCTTACAAGCCATAAGAGCCTCTAGGCCATCATGAATCACACAGCTCATGGACAAGCTTATTATGCTCAATTAAAGCATGCCAGTAATCGAAGTTACATCCTTGCTGGTTACTGTGTGTTTTAGAAACCAAAGTTAGCTTTACTCAGGGAAACACTGTTATGCTGGACTGAGCACATACCTCTCCCTCGTTATCCTGTGCACAAAAAGCTGCTGTTATGGGTGGCTGGCTTCTCCTGATGGCAGAGTTTGTGAGCATGGTGGGGAGGAAGGAGGTAAGCGGATGCAGTGGTTTAACTTTGAGTGCACAGTTTGATCAAGAGTGTTTAGCTCCATGGTTGGATAATTTAGAAGAAAGAGCACAGGCTTGGGAGATAGACTAACCAGATTCTGACTTTAATTTCCATCACAGATTTTGTATCAACTTCTTGGAGTCTCCACTTCCTCACCTATAAAATGGGCACAACGCGTATTTCCTCTTAGATTTATTTGAGGATAAGTGGAACACATGTAAGTTACCGTGTGGTAATAGAGCAGATGTTCAATATTCCTTCCCCTCTAGTCAGTTTTTCAGGTTTGTTGCTGGCAATTGGCATAGATCAGGGGTTCACAGGCTTTTTCTGTAGAGAGATAGATAGTAAATATTTTAGGTTTTGTGGCCCTAGAGGCAAAATTGAAGATATTACATATTTACATAATAAAGAAAAAACAAATTTCTACCAATTAATTGATGAAATTCAAAATATAACATATTAGGGTAAAGTTTTTATAAAATCCACCAGTGAAAAGGAAGATTCTTTTTCTGGGGAGACAGCATTTCATTTAACTAGGGTTCAAAATTTGTGTTCCCTATCATCAGATTGATAGCCAATGTGTATCGGTACAAGCCATGGGAATGACAAGCCATAAAAAGACAGGTAGGGGGATCCCTGGGTGGCGCAGCGGTTTGGCGCTTGCTTTGGCTCAGGGCGCGGTCCTGGAGACCCGGGATCGAATCCCACATCGGGCTCCCGGTGCATGGAGCCTGCTTCTCCCTCTGCCTGTGTCTCTGCCTCTCTCTCTCTCTCTCTCTCTCTCTCTCTGTGACTATCATAAATAAATAAATTAAAAAAATAAATAAAAAAATAAAAGTAAAAAAAAAAAAGACAGGTAGGAAGCTGACTTTTGTCCACAGGCCTTAGGTTGCCAATCCCTGGTGTGGACTATTTATTGATAATGCCAATCTCTGCTTGTACTCTGACCCAGCCACTCATGATGAGGAAATAGTTTGAAACCATAACTGATACATAAACAACATTAGGAGGCACAATCTGGAAAGGAGGATGAAATGGTTCAATCTTTAAATAAACAGGCTTTTGGAAGTTGAAAGAGTCCTTAGTCTTCTTGATCAAGTCGTCCCCTAAGGAGTATCTCCTTTTGTGGCTGAAATCTGGAAAGCAGTAGGGAGGAATTATCAGGCCACATAAACTGACCACCTACACAGATCAAGCAAGTGAAAGCTCATGGAAACAGTTACTCAAATAAGTTCTTTTTGCTTTCCATCCAATAAGAAATGGACATGCCTGCTTATAGTGAGAGCATTGCTAAAGAAGGGATTAAAATTTGACGCATAAAACACTAGAAGGTCCCTTACTGCTACTCTTCCACTGACCTGGATGACCAGTTAGCACACAGATGTGAGTCCACAGCAGACAGGTGGATAAGCAGGCAGTGCTTTACAGGCCTGGCTGTAGGGGGTTCCCAACACTGAATCCTACTCCACCTATAGGGGGCGGTGGGGGGGGCTTCAGTAGCATAAATGAGATGCCTTAAGTAATTTCTGGTATATGTCAGTGAGTGTGTATTGGCATAAAATCAAGTAAAAATGCTTTACTAAGGATTAAACAATTCTAAAGAAAAAAAAAGTCAATATTCCATCCAGAATCCTGACCTCCACATTGAGAAAGCATGGCAAGCAGGTCACACTGTGGCTTCAGCTGCTCTGGACCTCACAGCAGTACCTGAATGGCTATGATGGAAGCCTGGGCAAACCACAAAGGTATTTAGGGGTTCCTGAGCACAGGGCTTTGATAGAGCTGCTGGGGCAGCTCGGCAGATTTTACAGGGAAACACAAATGATTAATTCTCAAGTAGGAAGAGGTAATCTAGATTTTGATGCACGTGTTTTTAAAATTCCAGATTTGTCTTTTTAGAATGTTGATCATTTGGCAAGAGATTCACTTGAGGAGAGCAATGGGAAACAACCTGAGTACGTAAACAAGCATTGCAATCTTATCAGATTCAGGTTTACCTATTAAATTGCCCATAAATGCTTTGATGGAAACCAGTACAAAAGAATATTCTTGGGCATATTCTTCACACAAAGGGAGCACATTTTAGTGAAAAGCTAATATACAGTGGAAATAGAAGGGATCAAGGTGGGCATTAAGGTGAAGCAACATGGGGCATCTGGGTGACTCAGTGGTTGAGCGTCCGCCTTCACCTCAGGTTGTGATCCTAGGGCCTGGGATCGAGTCCTGCATCAGGGTCCTGCAGGGAGCCTGCTTCTCCCTCTGCCTGTGTCTCTGCCTCTCTCTCTGTGTCTCTCATGAATAAATAAGTAAAACTTTTAAAAAAATGAATTGGGAATGAAGTGGTATGTGTGTATGTTTATATATATATAAATTTATATATAACTTATATAATATTTATATAAATATATAATAATATAATATTAATATATAATAGTTTATATATTTATATAATTTATATGATATTTATAAATATATATATAAATATATACATATAGTGGGATATTACTCAGCTATCAAAAAGAATGAGATACTGCCAATTGCGATGATGGAACTTGAGGGTATTATGCTAAGAGAATTAAGTCAGTCAGAGAAAGACAAATACCATATGATTTCAGTCATGTGGAATTTAAGAAACAAAACAGATGAACATAGGGGAAGGGAAGGAAAAAATAAGATAAAAACAGGTAAGGAGGCAAACCATAAGATACGCTGAACTCTAGGGAACAAACTGAGGGTCGCTGGATGGGAGGGAGGTAGGGGACGGGGTAACTGGGTGGTAGGCATTAAGAAGGGCGCGTGATGTAATGAGCACTGGGTGTTATATGCAACTAATGAATCACTAAATTCTACCCCTGAAACTAATAACATTCTATATGTTAAGTAAATTGAATTTAAATAAAACATTTTTTAAAAAGGAAAAAAAAAAACAAAAGAAGAAAGGATCCAAGTAGGAAAGTAGCTACTTACTATTTATGTGAGAGAAAAGCACTTAATTTGAAGTCCACTAAAAGCTTGTGGGTATTACCAGAGATTGCCATGCTGGTGGTGATAAAGCTTTTTAGGGCAAGATTTTTAAAATTTAAGGTAGTCGAATTGAGAAAGTGCTTACCACTTCTTGTAATTAACTTCTGTTTGGAAAAATAGCTGTTTTGGAGGCATAAATATTTTTAAACGTATTGTTTTAGCTGAGTAGTAATTTTCAGCCAGAGAGTAGTTAGCAAATGAGCTTTAGTGGCCAGTTTAAAGAATATTTCTTCTCTGAGCTGAGGCATATATATCTTTTCTCCATTTGCGTATCAAGAGAACATAAAACAAATGCATTTTCTCTTGGCTTATCGAAGAAATTGGGATAAACAACACAATTTTCTTAAGGAAAAATGTCAAAAAGAAATACTGACATATACTTCCAAGCAAAATTTATTAGATGTCTATTCAAGAAAAACACAATGACCTTCGCTTGTAAGAATTCAAAGTCGATGACCTGAAAGCCAGGTATGAATATTTTTCCTTTTAAAATCAGATACAGAGAGTAGAAACAGTAATTTTTCTTAAATATGACAGGCAACAGATATTGAAATCTTTTCTCATAAGTGGCATCAAAGATAATTATTCATTTATCAGCAAAGCTGCATGCAGTTGACTTAATTTCAAATCCAAAGCCTTTAAAATATAAAGCTGGTTGTGAACTTGACAGTTATCAAGGTAGGCTACTCAAAGATGTTTCTTTACCTTCTTACTAATGAAACTCCTCTGTAATCAGTACATTTCAGTTTGGCTGCTAAGATCTTTTAAATTCATAAATTTTTGCATAAATGCTCTTACAGAATCACACAATCAAGGCGTGCTTGTGATCTGTGAGATAGGTAACGGATAATCTGTTGGAAAGTGTGTTAGCTTAGTTTAAAGTGAAAGATAGAGACCAAATTAGGAAATTCCCATTTTCTCGACAACTAAATAGTCTGTACAAAAAAAAAAAGCAAACATATGTACAAAATTCTAGAGTCTACATACATTGTGAAAAGATCAATCACTGTCCACAGAAGAAATGCCATAAAAAGTTTTATCTATAAGGTGCTCAAGATCCAAATATGAATAGTTCTTATGCAAAGTCATAAGAAATACAAAGCTAGTTCTCAAGGTATGTGTAATTCAGGCACTGGTAGCGACATTAAATCTTTCAGGTCCCAAAGCCATTTTGTAAATTCCTACTTCAGGGCGGAAAATATAACCTGAATGATTTAACATTACTTCTAAAGAGTGCCTCATGTATTCCGAGGAAATATTTCACACACACCAGGAAAATCAGGCTCAACATATTCCTGTCCTCAAACGTAGCCAGGATTCTGAGTTCCATAGAAGAAAAATAACTATCATAGTAAAAATAATTGTATTGATCATAATCCTTGCTAAAACCAGCCCTAATGCTTGTGATGCCTCTGAAGTACTCTATTTCTAGAAAATAATGTGTGGGATTCCTTTCCATCTCCATAAAACGTACAACACACCATATGGATTGTCTGTTCTCATACAATCTCACATGTATATGTGTGCACACAGTGAAAGATTACCTATGAATATTGCTTACAGATACTTTCAAGTGTCTACGTTAGAATAATTCTTTGCACCTGTCACTAACACTGCTTTCATTAAAATTTTACCAGATAAATAAAACACTAAGGGCTCATTGTTCATGATGCTGATTATTACATTTTAATATAAAATAGTAATGCAACTTTACAACACAATAGGTTTTTTTTTGTTGTTTTGTTTTGTTTTTTGTAGCCTAGCTAAACTTCTTAAATTCTCATGATTATTATCAAAGGCTCTTATTCACTTACGGTTTGCACTTCTAAAAAGTACAGAGGAAAAAAAAAACGGCAGGAAAAGACTCCTATTTGAGAACTCACATTCAATCAACAAAATCACACTCATCCGAATTACCTTTCCTACTCTTGCTTTAGATTTTGTAATCACTGTGCGTATTACAATATATAAGTGCAGGCAAACGATATAGCTGAAGTACAGTTTTCATGTCGTGTAAACCAGGACACTAGGCAAACTCGTGAAAGGAAAATATACTGCCAAGCTAAGAAAGTGAAAATGCAAATCACAGCATGTAGTGATAAACAATCTCTGGTTGCCTGAGGGGAGGACGTCTTTCAAAGTGGACTAGAAAGATCCTTGAGACATTCCCTTTTTTTTTATTTGCCTCAAATACTTAACCCTTTCTAATGATAATGATTTTTCTTTCTCATCTCGCACATTGACTTTCCAAAGTTTAGAGCAGAAATTGGGATGATGCCCTTTCACGCAGAAGCAAGTCTGCCAGCCTCCCAGGACTCAGCAGCTGGTGGTCCTTTTGCTGTTGGCTCGGCGGCAGGTAGAGATGGTGACGGTGGGGGACTTCGGCTGGAAACTGGAAGGCAGGACGGGCCTGGGAGGGAGGCCCCAGGGGAGCTTTCAGGCAGGGTTATGCAGATGTGGTGCTGAAAGGCGGCAGAAAAAGGAGGGAGAGTGATTCACAGCCTCTTGACATAGTTACCGGGAAAAGTACCAAAGAATTTGGTTCTTCTTGACGTTCCTGAAAATAGAAGCAATAAGTGAAATGAACAACGATGAAATATCAGTTTCTATATGAGGCCTTGAAAATGCTTCGCCTTCAAGCCTTTACGAAGAAAGTAAGCCCTGCGGGGTTTGGGAAAGGAAGAAAACTCACTTTAGGACCATAGGAAGACCAAGTGAGCAGTTTTATGGGGACACCCTGATGCCTCGGTTGCCTCTCAAGCTCATACACCGCACTCCCATCACACAACCAGGCTAAACAGAGGAGCTCAGCCTCTCAGCCTGAAGGGAAAGGCCATCCTGCTGGAGGAGGTGGGTTTTTAATGTAATGATATTAAGTGTCATGATGCTCCATCACCATGGGTGCTAGACAAGAGTGAGGAGTGGAAAAACACTTGGGAAGTGACGTTCTCAAGTTTAAGCTAAATAAAGTCGAGGCTGGCGGTGTGGGATGGATTAGAAGAGCAACACGAGGCTGGGTTTGGTGAGCAAGGGGTCTTTCACCCCTCTTCAACAGGGTGCAACGCTGATGGCATTATTGGGGACACTGTCACTATCCAGTTTTATATGTCATGGAAGATCACGCTGAACGTTCCTTCATTCATTCACAGTCAGCACTGCCCGAATCCTTGATAAAATATAAAAATTTACAAAATCACTAAAGAAAAAAAAAAGGCCAAGAACTATTTGTGGAGAGGGGTTCATCAACAAGATGCTTTTTAACAGAGGTGTGAAACCAAAGGCACAAGTGGCCTTTGGTCTCAGATAACACAACTCCTTTGAAACTTTTAATAAAGGTTGGTGCGTTGAATTCTTCCCAAGGATTTTCAGCTCAGATAGTGAGAGGACAGTTCCAGTTCTCATTTATGTTCTGGAACTTACTGTCTTGGTTTGATCAATTTTTCTTTTTTCCTGTGTAGGTTAGTCATTTACTATTCTTCCAAAAAGGGGAGTTAATGTGAACAGAAGCAGAGGCTTTTGGCTGCAAATGTGTGGCCTCTGTTCTTGTATTATTTTCCTCCCTGATTGTCTAGAGAAAGCCTTCATGCTTTCCTGTCTTGTCTCCTCTATGCTCCTGTGCCTTTATTTCTTTGTTACCTCTTTCTTGTGTATACCATTGTATAATGCTCTTGTCTACAAATGTTTCCTCAGAAGAGCTCTAGTCTTCTTTAAAAAAAAAAAAAGATTTATTTATTTATTTGGAAAGAGAGAGAGAGAAGCGCGGGGAGAGACAGCATGTGCACAAGTAGGGAGAAGGGGGGAGAGAGAGAGAGAGAGAATCTCAAGCAAAGTCCCCACTGAGCATGGAGCCCAATGTGGGGCTTGATCTCATGACCTAGTGGAAATCAAGAGTCAGCTGCTCAACTAACTGAGCCACCCAGGTGCCCCTCTAATTTTCTCTTAAGGGGGTAAGATTGGGATTATCTGTTAAGTGGGAAGAATGAAACTTGTCTCTTTTAACAAAAATTAAAATGAAGGTGTATTATTGAACTTTCAAGGGTCTTTAACATCAGATCTAATGAGCAGATGAATTGCTGACTTCATCTTATATTCTCCAATTAGATCCTCACTGCTGACAGCTAACATTGCCCACTGAACAGTGTTAATATTTCTTATCTAGGAAGCATTGTGGTTATGGATCTTAGATCTCCATCTTTCCTGGTTGGTGGTACTCAAAGAAAATTTCTTCTCTCAGTTGAATTGGAGATAAAACTAGCAGAAAATCACATATTCCCGAAGCAGTAAATAATAAACCATATTAAAATGCAGTCCTGGGGTGCCTTGATGGCTCAGTTGGTTAGGTGTCTGATTCTTGATCTCAGCTCAGGTCTTGATCTCAGGGTTATGAGTTCAAGCCCTGTGTTGGGCTCCATACCCAATGTAAGAAAACATGCAAGGTAATGTTGCCTTGGGATTACATAGTGCATATGTAATGTGTGAAAGATCAGAGGCATCATGAAATCAAAGAAAGCTTAACTATCACCAGTGAGCAAACACAAACAAATTATAAAATGGCCAAAGGCGTCTGAAAAGAAGTGTCCACATACCCACAAACCATCCATCGTCACACTTCTCCATCACATCAATGACATCACTTTCTCTGAGCTCCAGCTCATCTTCATTCCTAGGAGTATAGTTATACAGAGCCTGAAACCTTAAACAGGACAAATGGATGTGTTTAAAGACAAATCTTTACACTCTTGTGAAACTATAGAAGATTGTACATAGTCATTTACTTTTAACATTCCTATTCTTATTAACATGTGAAATTAGATAGTGTAAGTCTTTGGTAAACATGTAAAGTAAATAGAAATATTTGGATTTGCATGGGACTTAGACCACTCTGTAGCATTTCAAAACTACAGTGAGGCATATTTGTCAAAGATTATAATATGCACAAGTTGGATTAAAACATTTTGACATTTATAAATCGGACCTGTATTCTAATTGTCTAGTCATAGATATCACAAGGACATTAAATAATAGTGCAGAATATAAAAGAAGTGATGTGTGCATTATTCAGTGATGTAAAAACAAGAGAGGATTATTGTTTTAGTTGGCTATAATCAAAAGCAAATAACTGCAATTTCCGAGTTGAATTTTCAAGTGGTTCTAAACGGAGATGTACAAACTATCGCAGACATATCTTCTAAATTGCTATGTGGGGTTTACTTTAAAAGAAAAGGTTATTTTTTTCACCAACAGGAATTCTTTAAAGCAGTTTAGTTTCGTAGTTTGAATCAGTGTTTTGTAAGGATTTAGAATTTGAAAATCTGATGTAATGCACTTATGAAGTCGAGCAGATGTATTCTGTGCTCAGCGATCACTGAGTCAGTATCAAACAGTAGATTATGGATATGCTTCTTTTTAAAATGGGTCCTGGAACAATTGTTTTGATGTTGAAACATTTCCTTGAAATAATTTTATATAAAAAAGAAGTACTGAGAGGACACTACCACTTTCCTTTCTCTGCCTGAATTAGGAATTTCTCTGCCTAATTCCTTGAAATAATTTTATATAAAAAAGAATTACTGGTAGGATGCTACCACTTTCCTTTCTCTGTCTGAATTCTCTGCCTGAATGCAAGCCTTTATTTTCCTAACATTGATCAGTTAAATTAAATTTGCAGTAATAAAATAGTATGTATTTTAAGGCATATTAACATGGATTGGCATTTTGGAAAATGAAAGCACAAATTCTAGCAGCTGAGCAGTTCATGAAATATTTGATACACAGAAAACTTCATATTACTAGGAAAATACTACCAATATCTTGAGGGGGATTAAAAAAATTCAGTGAATTTGTTTTTGCTGTCTCTTACAATAGTTATGTAATTCTGCCAATATAGATAATTAGAACCACATTTCAGGGCACTTTGGATTTTTAAAGTCAAGTTTAGAAAGCAGATAATACTGAATAATGTTGGAACAAGAATGATTTATTTCTAATTACTTCATTCAGTCAGAAAATCACATTTTAGTGGAACAAAACTTTCCTATCATTTGAACTCAAACATGTCATAAATCAGGGACATGGCTCCATTGACTCCCCTCTCTGTCCATGGACTTTTTCAGATTGGCGGACCCAGATGAAATCGGCTTCTGGCAGGGGTAGCAGTTGGTGGTAATTGTCTGGGAAAATGCTGGTAAGATGTGGTGCCTAACCTCATCTCCCAGAATACATCGTTTGACCTGGTTGGTACCAAACCCTAGAATCCCAACATTAGAGATTTCTTTCCCAGTTAATATTTTGTCCTAGAAAATCTTTTCTGCCACTTGTACTTTTGAAATTGGGCGTCTGATGTCTTCTGTTGAGAAAGGACAGAGAAAGGTAGCCAGGATCCCAGAGTAGTGGTAAAACAAAAACAAAAACAAAAACAAAAACAAAAAACATTTCTCAATTTGAATGTTTGCACGGGGCCAGCCCTGATTGGAGTAGACAAATTATTTTGTGGGTTGCTTTTAGGATTTGATTTTGAGGCTGCTTAGTTGAAGGGATGGTATTTTTGTATATTTATTTGGGGAAAGTTGATTTCCCTTTTTCAATTTCATGTTTGAGGGAGACAGTCCTTCCTGGGCTGCTATTTCAATGGGTACACACTGAAGCTCTCACTTTGGGGAACACCGATTCCCTCTGAGCTTCTCAGGCTTCAGCCTTCCTTTCCTCAGGAACCTGGCCAACCCCATATGGAGAAAGGCCTATTTAAGGCCACCAAACCCCAGCTGCTTGAACAATCTCAAGGTCCCAAGAGCTAAGAAAAAACAAAATTGGCACAAACTCCTACTTCACTTTGGTATGATAAAAGCCAGGGTGCTTGTCAAAATTTACTTACCATTCGGGTTTAATTAGGCCGCACACACAAAAAAAATTGGGAGTTTCATGGAAACATAAACAAACTTTCCGGAAACCACCCTGACTCTGCTGGCTTTCAAAATCAGTGTTGCATGACAGGAAATGCAGCCGAATTACAATTAAAATGTTGTTTTGAAAGATGTGTTGGTGAGATGAATGATGGTGGTGGGATCAGGAGATGCTTCAGAAAGAAATTTATCTTTTAAATAAGAAATGTTCAGCCAAGCTTGAAGCTTTCTCTATAAATTTGCAACTTTTCCTATAACACATTTTTTAATCCTGAGTTGTGGCAACATTATAACATGATGTTCCCATTTGCACTCCAATCTAGTTTTTAAATGAAAGGGGTTAAGTGACACCCCATATTCCCCCTCATTGGGGTTGTAAGCAAATATAAATTTAGTACAGAATGTTTTCTAATGTCCATAGCAGGACCTTGAAAATGTGCCTTTTCCCACCTGCGAGCAACATGGTTTCATAAATACCCAAATGACCACGAGTGGAAGTATTAACTTTATAGGACACGAAACAGTATAACGTAATGTTACCTATTAATTCATAAGCTCCTCAAAAGCTGCTAACTACGATGTGTTGATTACACAATAGACCTAAACAGGCCTGGAATTTAATTTTTGTGCCTTGTTCCTAATCATTTGCTTACATGAGAAAACCAGCCCAAACTTTAGAATTATAAGTCTTATTTGATTTTTTTTTTCCAATTGAATGAAACTTTAAGTGATTCTTACATCCAGCTGGTTCTTTTCATAGTCTTTTGCCTCAGGAGGAAACCTTGCTGGTTGTACTGGGTGAGAGGTGAGAGATGGTTTCTGAAGAGCATGTTTTTAGCTCAGGGCTGGGTCTGTGAGAAGTGAGGAGGGGGGCCCTGGGTAGGAAGGGGCCAGGCCACCCTCCTGACTTACAGCCTGGGCAGTGGGCAGCAGCGAATAGAGAGCCTCTCAACCTCTGTCATGGGCAAAATGGAGCAGGAAAGGACACACACACACACACACAAAAGAGAATCTTAAACACAATGTGGGACATCTTAAATTTGAGTTGACTTATCCATCAGAAAGGAAAGGGAATTTGAGAGGTTGGAAAGGGCATTTAACTGAATGCCAGTGAATGTTTTAACACACTGCCATTTCCAAAGGTCCTTGTAGGAATGTCACTCTGGAATTATGCTATTACCTTATCACTTCTGGTCTACTGTTACATTCTTCTGGTCTTTGAATATGTGTACGAACTATGTTAGGACATTTCTGGGTCTTTAAAGCTGTGGTTACTAGAATTTGCATGGTTATCAGGGCAGGGAGGGAGGCAGATTCATAAATCCTGGGCATCAGGAGCATGGGAAGGTCTTTCTAACATGTAAATCAGTCTTCTACGAAAAACCATGGATTTTTAAAATGAACTTCTCTCCGCTATGAGAGATGGAGACTTTTGTAATTTCTCTTCTATCAAAGAGCCTCACGTTAGTTACTTTGTTCTGTTTCACTTGCAGAGTTGCACAGGCCTCTGTTTTGGGACCTCAATGGTCTCTTTTGTGGGTCAAGGTTAGTCTGGAACTTAGAAGATAAGAAGAATACTTACGGTTCCCCCCCACCTTGAATGTTTTCATGAGTGAACACAGGACGCTGTGGCTGAAATGAAATGATTTTCAATGTAATCAGTGTTTAAACTGGTACTAAGTAAAAGATAATTTGGATAATGGCATGGTATTTTCTTGACATTTAATATTTCCTGTTGTAAAAAACCAAGAGGAAGGAAAAAAACACCAAAATAAAGGGTTTCTGCAGGATTAATAATTCAAATATTTTGAAGGGTGCTTTACATTAAACCAAAATAACCAAGGTTCAAATGTTTTGAATATATCTACAGTCTAGTCTGCTCAAGCATTAAGGAAATGTCAGGGTTTAGTCCCATTGATTTTTCAAAGGCCAGGAATATGGCAAGAACATAGACACCAAACCACTAGAATGGGAAGTCTGGACACCTTCATACAACCTTATTTTTCAGCGTTTTCTCAAACAAGCAGAAAATAAGCCACATGTATTCTAACAGCAAAGTATCCACAGTCATTCTACTTTTCTTTCACAGACAACAGTTTCACATACAGTACGGATGAAAATATAGATAGGCAGACATCCCATGCTACATTTGAATTAACACTCTCTGTTCTCCATGTGGAGAAAACTCATGCATTTTTAAAAAGAGAAAACAGAGAACTTGAAATAGGATGTAACAAACAATATCCAGGTAACATGTAACATTTTACCTTAGAAGAGAAATATTGGTAGAAATTCCCAGTGCACTGAACTCTCAAAAGAGTTTCTTTTCTTTTTAAACTAAGCATCAAGACCAGTATCTGTAATAGATACTTATAATATTGGAAATGACAAACCTTAGCATCCCATATATCCACATAAATATTGCAATGAATGAAAGTTAACATGTTTGTTGAATATGTAAAGTCAACATCTTTTATACTGGCTACCCAAGTGTTACCATTTCAGGAAAAGAAAAACATTACAATTCATTCACAACACATTTCAAAAGCATCTTCTTCTGAACGATGGCTGTGTGGTGAAATGAGATATAAGAGTTTGCATGGCAATTATAAAAGTGACTTCTTGATGACTATTGAATTAGTTAGGAGATCCATGTCCTTGGACATCTGGGCCAATTCCTAGGTCCCAGAATTATGAATGGATTACCGACAGATTTACTGCAAATTGTCCTTAGAAATCCCCTTGGTCCAAGAGTGGATGGGGAAATCTGGGGTTCCTTTTAGTCTGAGTCTGTAATTTGCTCTCCTTCTTACATTCTTTATTTGCTACCTTCCCATCTAAGCCATCTATCTAGCATAAGACTAAGTACTTACATTACTAAAACTTGAAGCATTCAATCTATTAATTGGAAGTGTTTACTAACACTATTAGAAATTTCACTCAACAGTCTGAATGTGGAATATATAAACTTAAGACTCAAGAGTGGATAAAAATTATTGGACACATGCATGACTTCAGAGTACAAGGCTTCTACAAGTCAATATAAAGTTATTAACAATGTATCTGTCATTAAATTTATAAAGTATACTATTTTAAGAATTATGAAGACTAAGCCATTTCCAGCCATGTTAAGCCATTTAATTCAATATAAATATATTGAATAATTCTATAATTATTTTATATAAATAATAAATACATGCAAAATAAACACAAGTTATCCATAAGCCTGTAATTTATTAAAGTTCTTCAGATTCTCATCGAATCATGTATATATACTGTTTATGCAGAAATAAGATATGCATATATCAACTGCTATTAATATTTTATAATAATTTTCCAGCTTTCTTTTCTCAGTCTTCTTTTTCATTTTAAATCACTGCAGAATAATGTTCCCTCACTTATGTGTAGATATATTTTTTTGGTTTTCTTAACCATTTCTTTTTTGCTTTTGAAGTGAAGGTTGGTCTAGCCTTTTTTCCATTATCATGAGCAACAGTGCTATAAATATTTTTATACAAAGAGTTATTTCCTGGCTTTGGACCATTCTTTAGAACACATTTCCAGGAGTAAAATTTCTGGCCAAAGATTATACATTCAAACCACATGATATTGAAAGTGCTCGTGTTAGTCACTCAAAAAAATATAGAAATGTAATTAAAAAATGGAAAATGCTGTATTTCAAAGCACAGCTGCTTTTGTCTCACAGAAACATCATAGCACCATTACAGTGCATAGCAAAGTTATAAATAAGAAAATATTTTCTGATGATCAGTTCTTACATTCAGAGAAAAAATGTTTTGTAAAACTTATTTAGTTGTGCTCTTTCTACATGTTTCAATCATTCTAGTATTTTTAAGTTGTGTAAAAGTTTTACTTTTTCATCATAGCATCCAGTGCTTGGTACAACTGGTTGGTCTAACTTCACTGCTCTCTTATGTTAAAATGTGAACATGACTTCAAAAATCAGAGTGTTCATTGAGATAAAATAATCTACTTTTGAAGTCCATATAGAACCTTTACTTTGTCATCATCCCAATTCTATTACTTTAATTCCTTTAATTTGACTAGCATCATAAGTTACTGAAGTGGATCATTCCTTTGACAATTATGAACGTTGGGCTGTTGCCAGAAGTCTGTGGCTCCATTAATCCCATAGGTGTCTATGACTCAAGGACTCATGTTCCTGGGTGTGCCAGCCAGCTATGTCCTTGTTTTTACCAATCCTTCCCAATATGTCTTTTCTTTTCCTTGATAGCCTTTAAGAGAACCCCTATTCCCACCCCCTTCTCTGACTTACCAGGTCTCTATACTGTTCACACACTCAGGCCAAGATTTACCACAGCCTTTATGAGCTCTATTATTATGGTGGCTTTTAGAACTTTTCTAAGGTTACCTTAAAACAGGAATCATCTCCATGTGAATTTGGATAGTTAGGAACCAGTTTTGAGGAAAGTTGACTAGTTATAGTATTTGAATTAATTTATTTAGAGGTACTTGGTCAATAGATGAAAAAGTAGCTATTATAAACAGCTATTTATAAGGGCACATTTGGTGTTGGCATGGACAATGTAATCTGGGATTTGCAACTCAGCTTCATTATCTCTAGAATCAAGGCATTGGACAAGACAGTGATTAGAATCTTGTCCCCTTACCAAAAAAAAAAAAAAAAAATCTTGTCCCCTTCAGGGAACCCATGGAGGAATCCACATTTCCACGGGTACATCTCTCCTGTTATGTATAGATGCCACCATCAACCTTACCCCTCACTTCTCAGAGAGCTGAGACAGCTGACACTTAATAGTTAATTCTCAAATATCCCAGTCATGTAAAAACAATCATAGTAACAATTCAGCTTCATTTTTCAGATCAGTAAGCCAAAACTCACAGATTATTTCTTAGTATCACAAATAAGTAAAAAGAGGAAAGAGAATGATGATTTTGACTGGCACTCTCTATTGCATAGAAGATTACTATGATGGAACAGATGGCCTAAGTTGATTAAAATCAGCATCTTTATTTTGTCCTTTACGCAAGTATTTATGTTCTGTATGAATACTCAAGGAAATCATCTTAGGAGACTATCTTTTGCCTTTCTCCCTCCAGGTGTTACAAGTTAAAAAGGGTACGAATGCTGAGGAAAAGATCTGTACTGTATCTGCACTCTATTGCCACCCAATGGTGAGTAGTGGCACCAACATGCTAAAAGTTGATGCCTTTGGACAGCTCTCACTAACTTCCTTCAGCCTGGATTCATGTTGAAAGGATATTTTAAAGACCACGGAATGTGGTGGAATAGATATTTATCTGTTTTTCTGACGATGAAAATTCCTTCCTACATTTTAAAGTCTTGAGAAAGGATCACTTTTTAGCCACCCGTATTTTTGGTCTGCGATTGTTTCTATTTTAACTCTTACCATCTTTGTGATCAATACAGGATATACATTTGTGACATTCAGAGAGTCTTACATGTATTAAGAATACAATAAAAATTAGAAAACATAATGAAGCATCATGTTGTTTTCATGGAATCCTAGATATTTAACTTTTTTCCATTGGGAAGGTAGCAATCCTTCCACCGTCCCGTTAAGTGTTGCAATTTTTAAAGGTTATCAAGAGTGGAGACAAATGAGACAAGTTTCAACCCATGCTAATATTCAAAGCCAGATCCATCTCACTGCTCCTAAGGGAACTGGTGTGAAATATCCCAGAACCTCTGGTTTTAGTAAAATACATACTTCCCTATCTCAGATGGGGAGAGGCAGTCTGTCCAGAACCCATCTATCTGTGCTTCTGCAGAGGCACCTCTGCAGGATTAGCTACATCTAGTATTCAGTAATTCTTAAGTAAAACTGGACTATTACTTTAAGCACTAATGAGGAAGAATATTTGAAAGAGTTATAAGCACTTCTAGAGTTCTTCAAATTTTTTCCCAGAAAATGTTAGTTGTAGTATTTGCCAACCAGAATTCGATGAAATTCTCCCTGTAACAATCCCATGTTTATGTAATAGGCTTATTTTTTCCTTCTTAAACTATGATACACAACTTTGCATGAATCTAAAGAATATAGATTATTTATGCTCCACACAAACACATATAATGTATAAGCACATAATGTAAAAACCTGGCAAAGAAAAAAACTTGAGGTGACCCAAACAAAACATGGCGTCTCCCTGACCCATGGGAAATTTATGGCTGGGCCATATTAATTGTGGAAAAATCTTCCCTTTTGTTTTGGCTCTGGAAGGCCTTTCTGTGAGGGAGTCTAAGAATCTCTTCAAATCAACATTCCGCTTTCTCTATGGCAACCCAAATCTCTGCCTCAGAAACAAAGGGAGGTCTCGTTATGCAAGCAACAAGAGCACAAAAAATGGCATAAGCACAGAGAGGTAGCAACACTTTTTGAAAGTGGAAAAGGAAATCCTCTTTGCAATCAATTGGGCCCTTAACAATTTGCAAGCTATGGTCATCAGTAGGCCAGGTAAGGTCAAACCGGGGTTTATTAAATAGAAATGGTGAAACGATTGCCTTTTGCAGAGACAGAAATCCCCAAATGCCTTGGCTGCCTTCCTCAGAACTGATAGTACCATTTAGAACCCCGACATATGAAAGAGCTTTCGATGTTACAGAACCAAGGAGTTACTGGGAAAAGTAATTTTGCCTTTAAATTCAATCAAAGTTTTCCAAAGCCTGGGAGTACCTGGAGTCCAGAGTACTGAAATACCCCAGAATCCCTCGTTTAGGTTTAAAAAGTGTCGTGGAGCAAATGTAGCCCACACCACCAGAGCAACAGGAGGTTGTGCAACTAAGGATGATGGATTCAAGAGAACAATCGACATAAACTGAATGCCACCGAAGCAAACACTACTGAAGTGCTCGCTATGCGATCAGCAAGCACCAGCTTTATTCTTTGCACTAAAAACTGTGATTGGAAAGCAGCGATTTACAGAGAATGTGGCAGGAAGCATGAGATGGACGGAGAAGACAACATATACTACACCCTGACTTGGATTATAAGAATCTGGTCATGTCTTTCTGGATTTCTGGAAAGTTCGACACAGAGACACAGAAGAGAAACACGTTGCCCACAGACTGCATTGGATTTTTCAGTTGATCTGACTTGGCAGCTCATGATGGATGGTCACTTCATCTCGGGGGTACCTCTGGGCCCACTTTGGGGCAAAGCACAGCAGTGACAGGGAGGGAGGGCCAGCCTACTGCGGGTGGGTGGGTGGCCAGGGTGCCTGGCACGAGGGGGCCGTTGTGACCCTACCCTGTGGGAAGCGCTGAGGCCTCGGCCCGGCGAGCCGCAGGATCTCCTACACAGCACTGGGCTACGCGGAGGCTTACCCAACACAAATACCTCGCTTTTTAGGTCAGCCTGCAAAAGCCATAGACGTTAGTTAGTTCTGGTCTTCATCCTACAGCCTTCAGGAGGAGCTTTGCCTGATTTGCTTTTCCATGCACACGCAGCATGCCAAACTCTCGAATGCGACAGAGCCGGGCAGGTTCACTGGCCTGCAGACAGGTCTTGGGGGGCTGTGGGCACCGTCCACACCACAGGCCTCAAGTGCTGGTTTCACACCGAACCCAACAGGCAGAGCAGAGACAGATTTACGGAGAGAAGGGGGACATAAGGAAGATGTTTGAGGGTGATGTCGGTGGCTAAGAGCACATACAAGGATTCCTGTGTCTCTAATAGAATGTTTAACAACAGGGCTTCGGGGGGACAGGACAGCCTCAGATCTGATCTGTTTTCTTTGTGCTTCTTTGAATAGATGCAAGGTAAGACAGAGGGAAATTTCACTGCATACCCACCAAGGTTCATAAGAAGTCTCCATCATTTGGGGCAAATTTTCTAACAAAACACATAAGGAGAAAATATGGTTTTTCTGGGAAAAGTGGTAAAATATAATTAAAAACTGAATATGGTCCTAACTCCACCTTGTGACTGTTTTGGCATTCTTTCAAAGTAAGCTTTTTTTTTTTTTTTTAAAGATCTTATTTATTTATTCATGAGAGAGACAGAGACATAGGCAGAGGGAGAAGGAAGCTCCCCGCAGGGAGCCCGATGTGGGACTCGATCCCCAGACCCAGGATCACACCTTGAGCTGAAGACAGCCGCTCATCCACTGAGCTACCAAGGCGTCCCCAAAGAAAGATTTTTAATATGACAGTGAATCAACTAACCTTTCTTGGGTGAGTATGCTTTATTTTCTTTCCAGGAGTGGACAAGATCTACTACTTGTCCAAAGTGCTAGGCAAGTATTTGATATGTTTATAAGAACTTCAGCAGGACTAAATGACTTTTCAATAAAAGTGTGTGCTTTTCTTAACTCTCATTGAGGAGTGTTTTCATCGTAATTAGTAATGATTGACCTCAAATCTGCAGTCTCTAGGTGAAATGCATTAGGTGTTTTTCTTTAAGGGTATGGCAGAGGGGATCCCTGGGTGGCGCAGCGGTTTGGCGCCTGCCTTTGGCCCAGGGCGCGATCCTGGAGACCCGGGATCGAATCCCACATCGGGCTCCTGGTGCATGGAGCCTGCTTCTCCCTCTGCCTATGTCTCTGCCTCTCTCTCTCTCTCTGTGACTATCATAAATAAATAAAAAAAAATTTAAAAAAAAAAAAAAAAAAAAAAGGGTATGGCAGAGAATGCTTGATGTTCTCTAATATCCATTCTCTTCTTTGTCCTCTGTAGTAGAATCATGAGAGGCACATGGACATTCTGAATAAAGTCTATTTCTCAACCTTGTATCCAGATGTGCTCATGTGGTAAGTCTTGACAGATGGGATCTATGCAGTAGGAAGGGACTGCTGGAGCTGGTGCAGCCACTTTGGATGATACAGTGGAAGCCTCTCATTGAGGAAGATGATGTGCTAAAATCAAATGGAACCTCCTGGGTGTCCTGGTGACTATGGAGCCACATACTAGCCCTCAATGCATAAGAGAAATATACTTGTACATTGTTTAAGCTGTAATTATTTTGAGTTTTCTGGCATGGCAGCTGCCCCAATCTCAACTAGTACAGATGTTCTAGGGACATTAAGGATCATAGAAAAAAAAAACATTCAGCTGTTTGAATGATGTGGATAAATAGCTGGAAAGATCCTTTGAGCATATTAGGAAAAATCAGTGCTTAATTCCATGTAGGAAACTGTGCTCATGGGGATTACTTTCTGATGGGATGGTTTTAGAGGAGGAAGACTTCCTTTTGGGCCCAGAATAACTGAGTTTCTTGGAAGAAACCCAAAGAAGAGTCTCTCTCTTCACAAAGAGCTTATATTGCAATTTGAGTCCACACGCAATCAGACTCTTAGATGGAAGTTAAGCTTATTAGAAGAGTTGAGAACTTGGATAATTTTTAGTATGAAAAACCACTATTTTAAAAAAAAGATGCTCAAAAGACTAGAGAAAACATTGGATTCTGATTTATATATCGCTCATAATTTATACGTACATTCAGCCTTCTGTCATCTATAAGGTGTTGGTGAATTTTACCTTTACGGAAGATTTTGGATGGTTTGTGAGAGGCTTGCATTGTGTCAGAAAACACCTTAAAATAATAAAAGTGCATTAAATTAGCCTGGGTTAGACAATGGTTGATGGGAGTTGATAAAAGTATTGTCACAATTTCATGCACATTATACTATACCTACCAAAACCTTAAAAGTTTATTTTGTCTTTGCTTTCAGGGCAAGGTTACTTTCTTTGTAATGAGCATAACTTGTAATATTCTTGAAATGGAAGAAATAGGAAGCCTTCTTAGAGGAATTGAGCAAACACAGTTTATCAGTGTCAGATGTAGGGCTAAACTATGATAATGGCCTAAACTTTGCCACTCATTCAATTTGCATTTATATTGACAAGCACAGGTAACTTCAGTCAACTTATATTCTTCCTATGAATAGAAAAACAGATTTATGGGGCACCTGGGGGGCTCAGTCAGTTAAGTGTCTGCCTTTGGCTCAGGTTGTGATCCCAGGGTCCGGGATCGAGCCCTGAGTCAGGCTCCCTGCTTATCCGGGAGTCTACTTCTCTCTCTTCCTTTGCTGCTGCCCCCTGCTCATGCTCTCTCTCTCTCAAATAAATAAAATCTTAAAAAAAAAAAGAAAGAAAAATAGACTTATAAGTCTTACAAAAAGCTCAGTGGGGAATTAAAAATTATCATTTGCTCTTGAGTAAGATAAAAGAGAGGAAAGCTTCATTTTTTCTGGAGTTAGTTACCTGATGTAGTTATGAAAGTATTCTTTGAAAACATTGTCATTGTGCATACTCTCCATCCTCGCACATGATTGTGCAAACGACTGAAACCTAATGTGTGTATGAGATGAGCTTGATTCTTGAAGAAGAACAAACCTGTGTAAATCCTGGTTTTGTCCTTGACACTACAATGGCGAGATCTTCATCTCTCTAAATTAGAGAAATCCGATTCTAAAGTTACTTTGTCATTTATTGACTAAGCTTAAGGGCTAAAGAACAAGTGGGAAACGGCAAGAAATAAATGCTTTGGCCTTAAAAAGAAAACTTCAGAAAGAGTGGGGAAAAGGCAAAGTCTGAGTCTTAGATATTACCTAAAATATCATTATTCTTGTTTTTAAAATTTCCTAATTATTTCATGCCAGCCAAAACAAAACCTCAAAGGGCAAAGAGTAACTAGTCTTTAAAGTATTCCATTTTTTCAAAAATTCCTTTCATAGGTTAGATGAATTCATATTACCAGACTATTTCAGTGGAGGGAGTCAGTGATGGGGGTTTGGCATACTGTGCAGACAGCATTTCTCAGGCGTTGGGGGTTGGTGGTTCCTAGTACAGAAACTGAACTCTACCAGAACCTTCGTGTTTTCACTCCACTGCAGGGGCTCCCATTTTACAAAGTTCCAGAGACAGAATGTGAGGATGGGTTATTATTTAAAGTCTATCACGTTTTGTCTCAAGGAAGAGGTTTCAGGATCATTCTGATTGCAGAAGCAAAACTTTTCTGTGATGGATTGATTTTGTGCTGTGGTTGCCATTAAACCTCTTTCCAGGGCCAGCCACTAATTTTGTTGGAGGTCTTTTTTCCTGGTTTCCTTATGGGGAGTTAGAAACCAGCACGGCTCCCAGCCTACAAGACTCAAGAGTTGGGTGCTTGGTGACCTGTTAACAAAAGAAAGCTTCATTCCTGCAATCCTCATTATTTTACTGCAGTTTTATAGAAGAATAAAGTTCAACACTGTGCTAAGGATCATCCTGTCCTCAGGTTGGGCTGAACCTGTTGTTGGGCAGGACACACGGGAGGCCGTGACCCCACTGAGAAGGTAGAGAGGCTGACCGGCACAAAAACCCATGTCTTTGAATGGGATAGGCCTCAAAAAAAAAAAAAAAAAAAAAAAAAAAAAAGATCCAGTGATCACTTTTTATTTTTATAAATAAATTTTAGTTCATTTTATTCCTCAAGCTGGGTCTAGCTGCTGCGCAAGGATATCTCTTAAGTTTTTGGACAGAGGCCATGCCAATGATGTTAAAAAAAAAGTTAGCGAGCAGTATTTCCATGACTTTTTAGAACTTGTAAGATGGCACAAATCTAAATATACCTAGTTAACAAAATTCATTTAAAGCCATGCAATAAACCACACTCAGGATGCAGTTACCTTTAGTTTTGGTGAATTTCTCTCCTGTTGGTAAGGGTACTTAGGGAGGAGGGGAGGCGAGTAGGGCTGGGGAGTCTGAGAAAGGGTCGAGGCCAGGTCAGAGATAGAGGCTGAGGGAGAATGAAAAGGAAGGGAAGGAAGGAGAGAGCTGGGAAAAGGTGTAGACGGTCCATCTCCCGGAGAAGGTGAAGGTGGCTTAAAGATCGAGGAAAGACAAGATGTGATTACGCCTTGTGCCCAGAAAGAGGCCATCTGGTCTTTAGAGAGTATCCCCCAACCTCAAATACTGTTAAATTTACCAAATGCCCTGGCAAGTGACATCTATGACAAATTTTCGCTTGAAAAACACCAACTTTTTTTTTGAATTGGTTTGGAATTCCCGGTGGGTGTGATCATTTTTCTGATGTGGGTGGCTGGAAACAAGAGCCCCCACATTCTACAACTTTATAATATATTTATATATATTATGTATATATTATATATACACATGAAAGGAAAAACGATCTAAAACCCCGGGATGACTCTTTGTAACTTGCTTGTAAAGTAGATCACAAATTCGGAGAGTTGGTTGCAAAGCTAGGGGGGTGGGGGGTGATGGTGTGTGCGGGTGTGTGCCTGTGGGTGCGCGGTGGGAACCGTGGTGAAGCTCCCCCACCCTGCCTGGCCCGGGAGCTGCTTGCAACAGGCTCCTGGGAACCAAGTCCCATATCTACTCGCATCTTGCAATTGATGCCGTTGAAGGGAAAATGAGTTGTTTAAATAAATTACTGACTCAGAAACATGGTTGGCTTTCTGTAATGAATGGTCTCTTGTATTCAGTAGTGTGTTTATTTTATACAGGTGCACATGTGGCTGGGTTCTTTATTCAGGTGACCTTTTCTCTCCTGGTTGAGGAACTAGACAAGCCATGGAGTTTTGTGGGTGTCCAGGGGCCTCATGAGCACTGATTACTTAAACCCCAGAACACCCCATAGTATAGGCTGCATGCCTCTATATTTGTTACTGGCAGGATCTTAATAGAAAACTAGGGGATTTTGAAAATTATTTTCCTTTTCTAAGATTTTTAAATAGAGGACCCACGGGGGGAAAGTGACTTCCATAGCAACATGATATAAAACATTCTTTTTGTTTCATAATTTTAGTATTTGCCAGTAATCATATTTTCTTTTTAATTTACAGGTGACATATTTGAGAGAGGAAGTTCTGTTTTTGTTGTTGTAGTTTTAAGGACTTTATTTATTTGACAGAGAGAGAGAGAGAGAGCGCAAGGGAGCACAAGGAGGGGGAGCTACAGAGGGAGAGGGAGAAGCAGGCTTCCCCCTGAGCATGGAGCCAGAGGTGGGGCTCCATTCCAGGACCCTGAGATCATGACCTGAGCAGATGCTTAACCGACTGAGCCACCCAGGTTCCCCCTTGTTTTTGTTTTAAGAGAAAAATTTAGGGGTGCCTGTGTGGCTCAGTCAGTTAAGTGTCTGCCTTGGGCTCAGGTCATGATCCCAGGGTCCTGGGATGGAGCCCCACATTGGGCTCCCTGCTGAGTGGGGAACCGGTTTATCCCTTTCCTCTCTGCTTGTGCTCTCTTAGCTATCTCTGTTGCTATTTCTCTCAAATAAATAAGTAAAATCTTAAAAGAAAAAAAACTTCATAGGCTAAAGATTTAGGGATCTCCGCTCTTTACTAATTAAAATCGTTGCATAAGATTCTTTGTAAGACGAAAATGCATTAGTAGTCTTAAGTAGCCACCAACTTGAAGAAATTATTTCTTCAGAGTTAAAAGGGCACAGGAGCACTTTTTTTTTTTTTTTTTGCTTCCTCCCTCTTTCTTTCTCTCTCCTTTTTTGCAAACTGCATTTGGAATTGGACTCATCTCTCTGTGTATCAACTTCCTCGTCTCTAAAGCAGGGCTAATAATATAACGCACCTTGCTGAGTTATGCAAAGTAAAGACAAATAGGTCTTTGAATAGCGTTTGATACTCAGCAAGAACTCAACTATGTAGCTACCCTTATTAATAACAAAAAATCAGGAAGACTACACATTGCAGACTTTAAATATGAATGTATAGTCATAAAGAGGTAATGGAATTATATATCTACATTGTCTTACTAAAACTTGGTGTGTTTCCATCTAGTCCTCCATTCCCCAACTTACAAGTGCTTGTGTTTCTTAAGAGGAAGCCTTCTAGGGCAAATGCCCAAATCGATGTTTATTAATGTGATTAACTGTACTCTCTAAATATAGAAAGACTGGTTAGTTCTTCAATACTTAGGCAAGATTAAAATACCTCATAATGGGTTTTCGCTGCCTTGCTGTCTTCCTTAGGGGTCCTAGGATCTGTGGGGGTAGCTACTGGGGATTTTATGGGTTTCCTCTCCTCTTCGTCCTCCTCAATGTGCAGACTTGGGGTTGCTTCTGTGCCATCGCAGGCAGGCCAGAGAGCATCTGGGTCTTGAGATTCTGGCCCTCTCCGGATGCCTGACATCACCCCCTCGCAGATGTCCTCTTCCTCTCCAATGACAGGGAGACTTTTGGGCCAGGGGCCCATATGAGTGTGTGCAGAGGCCACACACTTATCACTTGGGAGTCGGGGTAACTTTTCAGGGTCTCCAAAGCCCTTTCTCATTTTTGTCAAATCCGCAAACTTGTTTCGAGCTGTCTTTTGTGGATCCTGAGATGCTATTGCCTCCGAAGGCAGGACTGTAGCTGGGGTCACCCCAGAGCAGGGGAAAGGAGGCAGAGAGGATGCTGATTTGGCCGGCACAGCAGCTGGGGGCAATGGGAGGAGCACCGAGGGCTCCTCCTTAATCTCAAGGACGATGTCCTCTAGGATATCTGGTTTGGCTTGGTCATCTGGTAAGGGTAAAGCACCAAGCTTCTCTAATTCATCCAAGAAGTTGTCCAGAAAAAGAAGTGGTGTGGGGGTCAAAGGATTTGCCGGTGGACACTTGGCTGTCAGGGATAGCCACCCCCGGGCTGTTTTATCTGAGCCAGGTGAAGCTTTGTGCATGAGAGGGGGGGCTGGTTCACTGAAAGCCAACTTAGAAATGAGCAGGGATTATGAAGTTAAAAAACAAATCAAGAAAACAATAATAATAATAATAATAATAATAATACAGCAAAACACAGAGACAGAGAAATGCAGGCAAGGTATGGTAATACATATAAAAATATTTTATGCTGTGGTCTTGATTTGAAGATATTTTGCGGAATTTAAATAAAATCATTAGCATATTCACTAGAAGACTCTGAACAATGAAACTCCTTGTACTCGGAAGGGGTACCAGATGTCAAACAAGATCAAGCTGTCATAGAGATTGTAAGGTCGTATAGTGAAAATAGAAGTGATTTTGTTGAACAGATTAAGTCTTTTAAACTAGGCTTCAGATACTGACTTAGGATACATGACTCTGAAATAATGTGACTGTAAAATGAAAAACAATAATGAAAACTTTTCTCATTCCCTGAATTTGTTTAGTGCTCTTTCTTCCCATAACAGTGCCAAATCTTGTGAATTCCCATAATTTTCTCACTTATGTTTGCAAGGTAATTAAAATCTATGGCATAAAATATTTTTATGTCATTATATATTGACACATTTCCAAAAGAATAAATTCCAAAAATTATTTCAAGAACAGAAACTCATGATCAGAACAAAATTAAACTTATGATAATTTCTACTTCAAAGTTTAAAAAATCCAAAGTAAAAGTTTGCATAGAAAGGGAACATTTGACTTTAATGGGAGTAAACTTTTACTAGTACTCCCATTCTTTTGTGTAAACCCATAGAGTATAATTTTTGAAACTTGATCTCCTGAAGTAAAATATACTTCTGTGTATCTTAATAGTATCTCTCTATTTTGGATATATTGAATAGAACAGAATTTTAATAGAGATTCCTTAAAAGTAGTTCTAGATGTGCTGCCTAGGAACATTCTAAGACATTTATCTATTGTTGTCCAAATAGAAAAAATGCTACATACTATGCACATGAAGGCCTTGAGAATCTGGGGGGTGGCATTTTACTTTCATTCTCTCCAGGTAGATGATTTGGGTTTGAAAAAAACAAAATCTAAAAGGAAGATTTTGGAGATGTACTTTCTAGTTGGTTGTTTAGGATGAGACTTCACTCATGCACTTAGCACTCTTGGTCCTAGGGCCACTTAACTTTTGACTTCTGTGTCCTATCATAGTAATGGGTCATTAATAGAATTTATTTAGCTATTTTTTTTAAAAAGGAGATATGATGTCCTGTTACCATGGGGTGGGATAAAGAGGCAGAGTCACAAGCTCATGTGAACATTCTAATGGAAGATTCTGGACTAATGGCAACCCAGCACCTGATATAAAGTGATACTATATGTTTGGTCTTTTATTAGATAGATAGTCACTCTTAGCAAGTCCTATGTTCAATTTTTAAGAAGACAAAAATTACCTAAGTCTCCTTTGATAGGCTAGAGGAATTCTTACTGACCAGTGTTCTAGTTTATGCTCTTTGTTATGTAACACCGTAATAGATTTTGAAAATCTGTGCAATATGTAATAATTCAAGATGATTTCTTTTCATTTGTGCTTTCTCTCATGGCCAGGAATATTATATGGATGAAGGAAGAAAGAGCTTTAAATCCCACTGTTGTCATGACTACCACCATCATTTTTACTACCTGCTCCTATTACCACCCTGGTCACCAGTATGCATGTTAACAGTTCAAAGTGCTTAGCTTTGCAATAGACTACTAACAGTCAAATTAAGTATCTGAGTTCCCTGTATAACACAAACATACCCACAATACAAAAATCATATAATTACCATTTCTCCCTAAAGCACTGGAGTTGGACTCGACTACACTAAAAGCAGAAATCTCAGAAATAGTATCCACTTACATTTGAGTCTCCCATAAAATAAAGACAGGATGTTGAGAAATGTGATTTGAGAGTGTCAAAGAGTGATTTGTGAGTCAATGAGTTCCTTCCTCTATTTGCAAATATCAGTTAGAAAATAGGATATATAGCATTTAGTGTATTTTTGGATGTCATGATTTGGAAGTATTTTGTAGTTCTTTTTCTGGAAATGATTCAGTTCAACCCTACTGAGAAGTTTCCTTCATTAAGCCAGTGATATCATAGCATAGATTGCCAGATGGGAAAAAACTGTTAAGCATTTTCTTTCAAATTATAGACATGAGCTTTTGAAGATATTTTTTCCCAGCATACTATAAAACATTAATTAGTTATTAGTGAAATTTCTCTATTTATAAAATGTAAAATCTGATGTTCTAAGAAAAAACTTAGGAAACTGAAAATACATTTAAATTGTATTCACAACCAAGATTAAAATACTGTGATCTAAAATATTGCACTGCCAGTATTGATTAGGACATTATGGAAGAATTTCTTAAGTGTTAAATAAAGCTTTGTAGATACATGCTTATTCTTTCTTATAAAATTTTATTTGAAGGCACGGTCATTTTGAAATTTAGCTGGTAGTTCTTTTGTGATAACTGAATGGTAAATAAGACAAATATATGGATGAAGAGTCTGATCTTTTTATCAGCAGGAACTACTGAAGGAAGAACATTGATCTCTAAAACTAAGCTCTGGTAGTGAAGTAAGCATACTAAAGAAGCTTCTGGAAGCCTTTATAATCAATCAGACAAAATCAGATAGTACCAAACTATTCCATTATCCAATGATAAAGGATTGAGAGCAGTTACCCTATAACTGAAACCCAGTCTTCAAAGAGGAGTAGGATAAATAAAATGCCCTATTAAAAGAAAATGCTTCTTTTACTCATTTTACCCAATGCTTCATTTTACATTTTAACATATGTTAAAATGACTCATTTTCAAAGGGTGTTTGGGTCTCTGGGGATGCTATCTTGCAGCGGGACATGAAATAACTTCACATTTTGATAATGTCTGATATACTGTTGTTATTTTGTTAGCTTTTTTCTAAATGGTTTATTTTTTTTCAAGTCCCAGCCTTGATCTCAATCAAAACATTTAACATATTTTGCAAAACAATATGTTTAAAATGTTGGGAAGTGAAATAATTCCTTGGTAATTTAAAGTTTTACACTTGAAAGTTAATGAGAAACAGAAAGAAATCTCTAAATGCCATCCATGAAAAGAACATGATATATTATAATTAAATAGAAAATTAAGAAAAACTTCACACTCTGAGTAAAGAAAGTAGGAGAATAATCTTTTCTAAATAACCAGTTCAGGAAGTAAAGGCCCTTTTAGACTACATATTGAGAAAGGTAATTATCTTTCTAGCTACTAGCTCAAGTGAGACATGATCTGGCACAAAATCACCCTAAACCTAATAAAATAAACTTGAGGACTCCTAATCACCACCTAGTGACATTTTCATGCAAACTAATAAACAAACTGACTTATGGACCTTAATTAAAAATTTTTACTCTCTCTCTATATTAAGAAACCCCAAGACTTTTATAGAATTTTGTCAAGTTAATTACCATGTATTGATGAAATAAACCATTTTGGGATCTATCTATTCACATAGACTTTTATATAGTATATATATATATATATATATATATATATATATATATACACACACACACACATACACACACCTATGTATATGTATGTGTGTATATATATATATCTATATATAATCCATGTAAAATATGCATAGATAAATATGAAATCGAGCTTTTAAAAAAATTAAGCTTCAGGAAAAATTTTTCACAAAGCAGATATATATGTGTATATGCAGATACATATCCTATGGGATTTTATGATACTAATGTTTTCTCCTTCCATATTTTAATTTGAAAATAAAATTATCAAAATATGAAAATAAAATTATCAAAATTAGGCATTAAATCTTTTGCTAGCACCCCTCAGAAAAAATAAATTATATCGACTTGACATGGCACGCACACTTAGAAACGTAACATATACATTTTGTACTTTGCAATAGATAGGATGGTCCAGTCTAATGCCTAACGTCACATATTGATGATCTTCCTCCAAGCTCCCAAATATTATACTAATATGCTAGAATGTCTTCTTACCTTATTTGAACTTAAGCTGTGGATTCTATCACTAGAATAGCTGTGGGGTATTGGTGGGTCAGGGTAATTCTCAGCACCTTTGGTTGTATTCTTCTTGATGACTTCTACGTAGGAAACAGGGAAGATGCCTTGTCTGCTCGTTCCTGGAATTTTACCTTCATACCAGTTTTGATCAACTCTTTTAAGAAGAATAACTCTATCTCCCTGTAGTGAATATTAGGAAAATGCATTATAAATAGAGACGTGATAACAACAGCAACAAAAAGTGTAATTGTCAATGTTTTCTAATAAACGATGGTTTTCCATCTGGGAAAGTGTGATACCTCCAGTTGTTATTGTTGTTGTTTGTTTTGGTTTGTTTCTTTTTGCCAGAAGAATACAAATAAAGTCTCTGAGCTCACACCCAAACTGCAGGCTATCAACATCTACGCAATGTAATCATTCATTCATGCCATTAGATTCTTCCCTAAGGATGTGTGGTTCATGTGGATGGGCTTACCCATGTTCACACGGGTACCGTATCAAATGACTTGCACAAATTACTTTCAAAAAGCAGGATAGTTTAACAGGGAAAATCTCATCAGCTTCAGAAAAGTGCAACTCAGTTCGCTGTGCTAGTGTGTCTCAGATGGGTTGCAGAAGTCAGTCTCTGGAAGGGATGAAGTTGAATGGCACGCTGTTTTTCTTCCTTGATCTCCATATAGTAAGCAGTCAAAGAGTAAGGCTAGCAGGCTGGGGCAAAGATGGTACCCTCGCTAACCCCTAGCTGTGGCCAGGGCTGAGCTCCACGTGGTCTGCATCAAGCTCGTGGAGCACCACTATCCATTCTAATGGCTGGTGGCCACACCACAGTGGTCATTAAACATCTTTATAGAACCCCTGGCTTTAGTGGTCATAGAACTTCCTATGGTCACCATTCTAGCGGCAGCAATTGTGTCAATGCCACAAAACCCAGCTTATGTTTCAACTCAAAACCACTTGCCAGAAATACAGAGGCCAAATGTGGTTACACCACAGAAGCTCTGCAGCTGCATCCAGCAGGTGATACGGAAGTTTGGGCCACTGATTGGGCATGAGAGGAGGCACACAGTCAACACTTCAGCACAGGAGGGAGGCCTTCTTTCAGTGGCCATCAAGGTGCAAGCTTTCCTTTGGCCAAAATGCAGAGTGGTTTACAGAGCCCACTCCACACCATCACTGCCACCGTGCAGAACACACGGGAGAAAAGTAAATCTCCCTATTCTTAAAATTGCACTGATTTTTTGGTAACACACCACTGTGCTAGGCCCTCGCTTGAGCTATAAATTGCATTGGCAGGAGCTTCTCTCTTACTATGAAACATAAGCTGGTACGGTTCGTGGAAAGCTGTGTTGGAGCTTGGAGGGTGGCTACGGATCGGTTGATGATGCAGAACCAGGGCAAAGAAAGAACGAGATGAGGTTATGCCAGGATAAGAACACTGGTATTTCCCTTCTTTGCTCCTGGCTAAGGACTTCACCGGTAGGCGAGGAGGTTCTAGAACCATCCTGCACGTGACTCTCTACCCTGGGCTCTGTGCAGACCTGTGGTTGCCTCTAACAAATGAATGTGACCACTTAGCAAAGAATGAAAATCGTTCACTTGGTCTTTCTTCACTGTGTAAGGTCGCAAGTCCAGAAGAGCTCTTTCTGATATTATGAAGAAGAGAGTCTAGAATTGGATTGGCCGCTGGTGAAATTTGGGTCAATCATGAGGCCTGGAGAATGCTGATCAAGGGAACAGCACTGCACAAACGGCTCCTTAAAAAGGCTCTGTAGTGACAAGGACCTTCATTATTTTAGGACTATTCCTTGATGCCAAGATAAAAGTAAATGTTGGAACACCATTTCTTAAAAATTTGAATAATAAGGCAGCAGGACAACAATATTTTGAGTACATGAAAGTGCTTTTCAATGTGATGTTTCCCCAAATAGAGCTCCAGGATATTCAGCCCGTGATGCCCCTTGGAGAGGATCTGGAGCCTGCCATGCCAAGCCCGGGAGGGAAGGTCTCTCTGGGAAGCTTTGTGTCCCATAGGGGATCTCATCTGGAAGGACACAGGAGCAATAGGGGATGGTGCCTCAGGGCGGCCTTACAGAGAGTCCTTTGTAGCACACAGGGGAGACACAAAAATGTCCAAGAGAAAGGCAACCTATTTTAGTTTTGAAAATATATAGCCTTTCCAAATGCACCGTTGAAGAAAACAGCCAGGGTTACCTTTCTCAGTGATAGCTCCACATTTGTGTCAGCACTGAAATTATATTTGGCCATAGCTTCTCCGATTTCTCCAGGCTGGGCTGGGGGAGGTGGTCTCGCAGGCTGTGCTTTTTCAGGAGGTATGAGTTTCTATGAAGGAAAACACTTATTTATTTTTGATCTGTGGTGACTCTGGAAATAATAACCATGGGAGAGGAAAAGGAAAGGACTTACCTCTACATATGAAATCGGAAAAATGCCCACTCTCCCGTGGTGCTCTCCCTCATACCAATTTTGATCTATTTTCCTGAGGATGTAGACAGTATCTCCTTTCTTGAATGACAGCTCCCTGGAACAGACATGTTTCAGTAGGTTTTTTTTCCTGATGTATAGCAGTTGATCTTAAGATCAACACTCTCACTTGATCTGCATTTGGCTGAGAAATACACTGTCAATAGTAAGTAATCTGCGGAGCCCGGTTACATAAGGATTTTCCTTGCAAACTCTTAGAATTCACTTATCACATTATAACTTCAGATGTGATTTCAAAAGAGAACAAGCGTCAACATCACACTTGATATACATCAAGGGCACACTCATATGAAATTTGAAGGCAGGGGCAGGCTATTGCTGTGTAATTGTTGTTGATAGTGGAGGAGTCATGAAGCTTGGAATAATGGCAGATGGGTTCTGCACTGGTTTTGTTTGTCCTGAAGCTAGTTAGCAAGTTAGCCAGATGCTTGACTTCTCTTTCTGTCTCCTTTTGATGTGCTAAAGCTTACAATAAACAAAGTAAATATTTAGCCTTAGCACAGAAGGGCCATTAGCAGAAAAATTTTTATTTATGCGTCCTTGAAGCTGGTTGTCAGGCATGTAGGTGGAATGTCTTGATATGGGATTTACTTTGTGGAAAGAAAAAGATCTTTTATTCTTCAATGGAGCACAGAGATAGACATGTTTTAAATATGAAGACATGTACAAATTGCTGTTGCCTTCTTTATATCTTTTTTTAAAAAAAAGATGTAGTTATTTATTTTAGAGAGGGAGTGAGAGAGCACATGAGCAGGAGGGATAGGAGGCCAGAAGGAGTGGGAGAGAGAGGCAGAGAAACAGACTCCCTGCTGAGTGCAGAGTCTGATGTGTGGGGGCTCTATCCCAGGACCCTGAGATCATCAACTGATTAAGCCACCCAGGCATCCCTAGATCTTTGTTTTTTAAAAAATAAAAATATTTTCGAGACACTAACTATGCTTTTCCATCTGGGCTATTTCTAAGAAGAAGCTTAATTACCTGCTTCTTTCCTAAGCAGGTAAACGTGGGTATGTAATTTGAAGTTCTAAAGACTGTTAACTTATTTTGGATAATTCATGCCTACCTTCTCATGCTCACTGCATCTGTTTTTTCACGGCTTCATTATCCAGGGAATTGTGTCTGTTTGTTTTTTTGCCTCCATAATTATGTTTTGTTGGAGGACACTCATTTCCTATCTTTTCCCAAGAGCCCCACTTTCCTAGACATCTGCCTTCCTACTCCTGAATCTTCTGCATTGTTTTGTTCAGAATCTGGAGTTGGATCGTGTATTTGGGGCAAATAGATAATGAAGAGACAGGTGGATATCAGAAGTGGAATATTTCTCATTGATTGAAAGCTTGAATTGGAAAAAAAACTGTTGCATATTAAAAGAATGCACAATTAGACATGCGAAAATCTTCACATTGAACGCTCATTACATTTTCAGTAAACCTAAAGACAAAGGAGATTCCTAGAGCCTCACATTCAAACACAGTACTTCCCTCTTTTATGCAAGTGCCCGATGTAGAAAACAAAAAACTAAAATATTTCATGTTTACTATCCAACAGCTTTATTAGCACTGAGTGTGTTTTGTTTCTGGAAAGGAGACTAAGAAGCGGAGCTTTTTGTTTTTAAATGTCGATTGGAGAAAATGAACTTTTTCTTTTACAGCTGAAAAGAAATCTTTTCCATTTCTAAAGGCTAGTATTTAAATTTTTGATGGCAAAAAAATAAAATAAAAATTTTGATGGCTTCTAGGTGAAGGACAGAAACCTCACTTAACAGTTTTCAAAACTGTGTCCCTCTCATGTCAGACCTTGAGTTTCTGAGCTGCATTATGGTAAGCTTGCTTCTTCCCTCCCCTAAACCTTTTGAAGGATGGCCATTGACAACCTTTAGAAATGACATTTTATCTCTTTTTCCTATTTAACAATTGAGACATTACCTTTGGTGAATTACTGAGCTGTATTTTTAGAAATGAGAGTTTTTGCATTAGGTAAAGAAAAATAGCTTTTAAAATGGATATTTAATAAAAACAGATACCTCTACCTGTCTCTTGTTCATAAGATGTTAGGCACGAAAAGCACTTACATCTAGCTATTAGTTAAGAGCACTTCCGTGACATTCAGTGCTTCTGGGTGTGTGAGCCTTTTAAAGCCGCGTGAATCATCCATAACCTCGATTTTTGTGTCAAATCGGGTAACTACACTGGGGGCTGCTCTCTACATTTCCTGAGAACAGCACGAGAGGAATATGATTAAGCTGCAGTTGGATCAGTTTACTTATGGTATGTAAGAAACATTTTTTTTTCCCAAAAATATGGGATGGCTTCCATGGGTGATTATTTAATGGATTTCTCTGAAGGCTTACAGAATTAGATTTTGTGGGCCTAGAAAGGCAGGGGGTGGTGCAGGCAATCATTCAGAAAGGCTGTGCCATATAAAAGCCTCGAACCTTTTACTAACTCTGAGCTTTTGTAATGAGGACATGGCCTTGGAGGACGGTTGTAAGGCTTGGTTGGCACTTGGAGCAAACAAAATCCAGCGACACAATTAACACCCCAATTAACACCCTCTGCACTGCACATCATCTTTCTCTCAAAGCTTGTTTTTTATTAAGCCTTCTTAAAAAGCTGTGAGCACTGGGTGGATACCTTTCCTTTGTCATATGCCCTGTCATTCCTCCAGGTTTCATACATTTAAAAAAGCTTTTGATTGCTTGTCACAAGGAAGAAATGAAATATACACGTTCTGTATCATTATTTTGTAAAATCGGCAAGCATTGCATCCTACAAATCATTACACCGTACCCAAAGAGCAGTAATAAGGACTAGAGTGTAGTAGAGACAAAGCAGATGTTACTTATCTCATCCAACGCCCCCCCCCCTCAAAACAAACAAACAAACAAACAAACAAACTTGTAAGCTTTTCTTCAGGATTTTTTTTTTTAACACAAGATTTAAGCCATGTTTGACATCTTAATTTCTAAAAGAGCATTCTCCTATTTAGTTCATTTCCCCATCTCAGCAGTATTACCAAATTCTAAGTGATTTTATTCTTTGTATGTCTTATGTCAGAGACAGTTTCTAGAGCCATTAATTAATATAATATGCCTTTCTACAAATGAAACATTTTTGTTATTGGATACGTTCGGTCTAAACAACACAGGGAATTTAATGCCAAAATACAATGATTTCAATATCTTGAATTCTAATTGGAAACCAAAGTTTCTTAAATCGGATCTATACATACATGGGCCATGCATAGCTGGAAGATTCCTTCCTATTTAAGCCTCCTTATGTACTCAATATTGGCTTTTCTTAACCACATGCCCATTTGATGAACAAGTTCCTAAGGACAGAAGGTTAAAAAAAAAAATCCTGCAACATAGAAGTATGAAAACACCAACATCGAAAGACCACAGGAGAGATTTTTGCTCAGAATCTCGAAGCCTTGTGTGTTAAGCCATGGAGATTTGACTATAGGAATCTTTGGACACAGTTCTATTCTTCTACCCTACAAATTATCCTAGCTATAGTTAAATAAATAAATGTTATCAAATTCTCCCCGTTACTGTTAATTACTCCCCACACTTTACTTTTCATTCTTGACACGAAAATTCTAAAAACAAATATCCTTAGTTTCGTTTTGTTTTTCCTATCCTTTTGAACTCACGGTGCTCTAACATGTTTAGTGTCATTTAAAACTCAATGTTTCTCAACTACAAATGAAAATAAAATGAACCCTCTCCCAATTAATTGTGAGGGAACCACTAGTTATAGTCGATTGCCGTATTGGGACTTAGACCTTATTTGTAATACATGTCATTGCTATAGTTACGTCTTAAATATTACTGAAGTTTTTAAAGCCACCCTACATCATATAATGAACACTTATCTTACTTACTTAGATGTCTGAGCTTTAAAATCATAAACAGCTTTTGCAGGCAATTTCTGAAAGGGAAGGTAAACAATTAGCACTAACTTACAATTTGGATTTTTTACAAGAAACCAATTTCATGTGAATTAAAGGGAAGTGAAAGCACAAGGAATGCTTAAACATATATAATGTAAGTCCTGTCTGCAATTTATAAATCAATCAATTAGTCCTTCATTTAGGTATGTAAACTAGTAGATGACTTTTTCATCATAACTACCGAATATCATATTTCTTCCTAGAAACTAAGGAAGATGAATGCTGTAATAGGGTTCTGTCCCAGGTATATATCTTTCCTGGGATAATTGCAGAGTGTCAGTTGCTTTAAGTCCTATATTGACACAACTCCTTCACGATCATAATAAAACGGCTGGGAAGAGTCAGGGTGGAAGCCATCATCCCTTTTGCTAGATAATTATCCACCTAGTAACAAAGAAATCCTAGCCCAGTTATCACTGGGAAGCTAGTGAGTGACCCAAAGCACAGGCTTGGTCATCTTGCATTCCCTGGAGGGCTCAGGAATTCCTTAGCACACGGGAAGCCAGCCGCTCACCCCTTTTAGTCATGGTAAGATGTGATACACTCTCACCTTCGATCACCCTGTACCCCACAGCTAGCCACTCCAGCATTTCCTTCTCCACTTCCCAGTAATCCCCTCACCCCACTCTCTTTCCCTGTGAATCTGTGAACTTTAGGCACACTGGAACATTCTGACTTCTCTGAGGGTCCCGCAGGTACCAGACTATAGGAGACACCTGTACTGATTCTCCTGGAATGGCTGTCAGTCTCAGACTGGCTTTTAGTTGCCACCAGATGACTCCAAGGTAGCCTGAACCAGAGCTCCGGCCTTGGCTTGGAGCTGTGGACACAGAGCTAGCTGGTAGGTGGTTCCTAGGAGGAGTGATTTTTCAGGGCTGTTCTCCAACAGAAGCAGGCCAGCCAAAATTATATATGTCATATCTATATTGATTTGCAACACAGATGACCTAGCCGCCCCCCGCCTCCCCCCAGCAGGGAAGTTTGTACAGGGATATCTTCCTCAACGAGGCAGCCCAAGCTCACCACTCTCACACAGTTGCTAATTCATGGATGTCAGGTCAAGACTCGGAGGGGCCTGGCTGCTCAAGCTGGGCTGCCCTTGGGGGAGATCTGTAGTGAGGGTCGTGGCGCATACTGCTTGGAGTCCTTTGTTTCTCTCCTGTCATTTTTATGTTCTTAATCTAGGTTCTTTACTGGTTTTGGACATAACTTCAGGTGACAGGTGCTTGACCAAATATACTGCAGAGAAGAGACTGAAGTAGCACTAAACAAACTACCTCTTTTTCTGGAGTTCCTCTTCTGTCCCGAGGTACACTTCTCCCCAGGTCACTCATGGTGGATGCGTAACTTCTAGGGGACTCGTGGTCTATGGGGAGAGGACGGGGTCAGAGTGAGTACCCACTGAATTAAAAGCTGACCCTTTTAGCCATTTTTCCCTGGTGGCAACTATTTCCTCCTTCAGACTTGGAGAGACAATACAGTGGAAGACATGGGCATAAAACTCATCGGTAATTATAAAGTTGGGATAGAGGATACAAAACCAGAGCATTTCAAAAGGGAAAAAATAATCCGGGGTGGCAGAAGCATTATAATCAGAAATATAATTGTTACATTGTTGAGGAAACTATGCTGTAGCACCCGGTGTAGACAATTTATAGTCACAGGGATTTCTCATCTCAAAGATTGAATACTTTCTAATCCTCCAACTTATCATGACCTTTATAGGGTCCACAGAAGATGGACAATTTGAAAATAGCAACAGTTTACAAAAACTAAAACATTTTGTGGAACAATTTAAGAATGCAGTAATGAAAAAGAAAAATAAAGAACGTACGATGATGGACGAACTATGGTTGTGTCCATTCCCCATCCCCATCCCTGCACCCCAATCGTTAAATATTCATTGAGTCTGATATGATGTCATCTGAAGACTTAAAAGGCCGCCTTTATCTTCCCTTTTGCTCAATTACCTTATCAGAAAGTATATATTTATTCCAAGAAACAAAGAAATAAAAATTCTCTAAACAGAAAGTATCATATTGGTTGCCAAACTGCTCATGAAATACTGAATTGCTTTTGTTCACCTTAAAACAAAGTATAGATAATTACATTACAAAATTATGATTACAGCTATTTCTTAATGGTCTCATACTCTACAGATTTATATGTGGAAATGTAACTAGAGGCTAAAAGTGTCCCAGTAATCTCTTATAGAATTTTACTGGTGTAAGTGGTCAAAATTAGTAAATTCTTTCTCTTAGCCTTTAACAATTTAGTTATACTGGTTAACAGAAGTATTAAAAATAAAACAAATACAGCTATAAAGGAGTTAAGAATGGCAATTCATAAAAAGAAAATATTGTTTAAAGATTTTACTCCTTTGACTATAAGGAAGAATTGTCTACTTCACAGCAGGTAGGGGTATCAGTTATGTGACCTATAAGGATAAATGTCTAACTCTATGAATTTCAAAGTCTTTAGACTTAATAAGACAGCATCAGCATGGCCACAAACATTTCAGGTAAAACTTAATCAGTTATTTTCAAGAGAGAGAGAGGATTATACGCTATATATTTTCTGTTTTAAATTCATATACTTATATGCTGATCATTAAAATGTAAATTACTTTTACTAATCCTTGGAATATAAACTATTTTTCAAGTGGGCTAAACAAATTTGGAAAGTAAATATTTTATTTAATTGAAATGCATTTCAAAGCCCCCTTAAATCATGTTTCAATAATATACTATAACTGTGCATAACATTTAGAGGTGATTATTGATCTGCTTAATTGAATAACTGGAATTGTCCAATATTGAAAAACTAGAAAAGGTAGCTAGGTTACTAAAAATTTAAGTTATGACATGTCTCAATCAGTGAAAATTTCAGATTGTAGGCATTGATTTAAAAAATTCTAAATTTATTATTTTTGCAGCATGTGGCGATAGTATGAATAAAAGCAAAGATAAATACTAATAAAATAAGCGAATTGTGCAATGGCAGATAACGACTGAGCCACATACATTACATGCGTGGGAAATTTGAATCATCTTTTTTTTTTTTTTTTTGGCCTATAGAGATTATATTTTGGCCTATAGAGACAAATTCTGAATTACTAGGAGTTTGAATCTCTTTTCTCCTACCTACTCCCTAAATGACTTTGGTCAAATCTCTTGTCCTCCCTGGGTCTTGATTGTAAAACAGTGCTTTTAATAACACCTTTCACCCAGGTTCGGGCCAGTGTCAATGAGACAATGTGTGCTAAGCACTTTGCTGTGTCCCGTGCATAGAAGACTGTTGATAATCCAAAAGTCAGCATGGAATGTTCTTTCCAGCTTCTTAAAATTTATATAGTAAACAGATGTACTTTAAGAATTGTCAAAAAGAATTGTATGAGAATGTCAACACATCCCTAAAAAAAAACAAAACCTCAAAAAATGTCCTCTGCATTTGAAGTCCTATTTGCCCTTATGTTGCCACTGCAAGGTGATAAACCATCTATGAAAATGGGCTTGGGAGTCACGTTGAGTCCAGCGCCTCAGGGAATTTTGAACCTACATGGTTTAATTCAAATGTTGCTATAGGATTCTTTCAGTGGAAATAGATAATAAATAAATAAAGCAATGGAAAGGCAGAGAAAATGAAACACACTGAGTGATGGAGATGAGATTTCTGTATATATAGCTTAAAGATACGTTCACAAAAATTTTGTTCCATCATGTCCTTTAAATGAATTTAAACAAATCCTATTCTTTTTTCATTTTCCACCAATAACTACATTATACACTTCAGTTTTGCTTCCTGAGTGTTTTAATGCAGTATCTTTATATTGAATTTAAGCAAATGATTTATTGAGTGAATATAACTTTATAATGTTAATATAAAAACAAGGGAAAAACTATTTGTTAAATTTCTCATTTTGATTCATTTTACAACAACAAAAAAAGAGTTGTCAGTCTCTTAAGGATACTGATACTCAATCATGGTCTCTGTCTCGAAATCCTTTTAAATGGTTAAAATGAGTTTAATTTGTGCTCTTGATGTAAGTTGTGCCAGCCCTAACATTCAGCTACAAGATGGTTTTCCCTTTTGATTTTGAATGAGCAAATTTTTGTGAATTGGTGGTCACTTTAAGCCACACATCGAGTCCGAATATCACATGGGCAAATGAGACTATTCAGTGAGACATGTTTGCACAACAAGCATTTGCTTCAAAACACATGACGATGCCAAGTGGTCTCACAATGTAGGAATGATGAGATGTAGGGATGGAAAGTGAAAGAGCTGGATGGTGGGTGTCTGAACCACAAGGAAAAAGAAAGAAAAGTTCATCCACCTTGGAGACTCTGCACACTCTCATGGTCTTGGAGGTGGTAGTTGGAGGCGGTGTCCACATCTGGGAAAGAGGCACTGTGAGGCATTCTCCCACAGTCGTTCTGGTACAATGGACAATGAATAGCACCATCTGGAGGCAGTGGGTGGAAAGGCTGGTGCATGGGGCTCCTTTTTAGAGCTTTGAGTGATGAGTTCCTCTCTGGAATATCTGGCAGCAGTTCACTGATAAGACGGTGCAGTATACTGTTGTCTGGTAAACTTCCCCTTCTCTTTTCAGCTTTAATTTGGTCACAGATGTCTTTAAGGGCAGAGTCTAGGGCCTCAAACACAGATGCTTTACATTTTGCCTTCTCAGTCTGTTTTTTGGGGGTCGAATTTTTTTTCCTGCGGAAAGGCACGGGACTGACTAGAAATGCAAGTTTAGAAAGGCCAGGGTCCATTTCCTGTCTCCTGGGCTCTTCAGAGTTTTCATGTTTGGCTCTTTCATGTTTTAGCATTGTGGTAAATCGAGTGTAGGAGGCAGGGCATCTGCCTTTGCAGGAGCTGATGAGGTGCCGGTGATGGTGGTGGTGATGGTGGTGGTGATGGTGGCTGGATCCATAAAAACTTTCAGAGGATGTGAAAGAAAAGTGATCAAAATCACTCTCACTGCAAAAGGATGATCCTTCCACGTGAATGTAATCACTGTGGTCGGACACAACTCCGTCTTGGTCACTATCAGAAAACTCCATATGAGTTCTCGGTTGCTCATCACTGGTGACTTCAATATGAATTGGCACGACGGTTTTAGGCTTGTAGCTTCGTTGTACATGAGAAGGGTGTCTACTTTGACTTTCTTCCTCCAGCAAAGACTCAATGGAGAATCGCCTTTTGGGACACAAACCGTTTTGTGGAGGTTCTAGGGTTATGGGAGACAACATCTCATCTCCTAAATTGGGCATGGACTTTGACTTTTGAATCAACTTTTCAAATTCTGAAATGCGGGTCGGGACCATGTCCCTGGGCACCTCCTCAGTGGAAGACTGGCTCCATCCATGGAGCAGGCCCTTGTGTTGCTGCTCCTTTTCATACTGCATTATTCTTGACTTTACAGAGCAAATTACCTCTGAATTCATCAAATCCTTCCGGTTAATGCGGTGCATTTTCTTGTACATTTTTAGGAACCCTGGAGCGTCATGGGCTGACCTGTGCCGGAGCCTTGATCTGCCATTACTGCGACCCTCCTGGATGTAGGACGAAGCCCATGTTATGGGGCAGCTCTCTTTGGAATCCTCTTCACATAACAGAGAACCCATACTTTCTGACTTGGTTTTTGGGTCAGGGAAGCTATCACAGTCATCATTTAGGAGATCATCGCAACTACGGGATTTGATTTTGGGGGAGACAGTTTCTTCAGTGCTGCTCCAGATCTCTGCATTTTGTCGGGCCATTTGCCAGCCATTCTTGAAAGTAATGGCCCTCTGGGAGTCACGAGGGACATCCAAATGCTGTCTGTAAGTGTTACAGTAATCTAACTCATTGGAAGGGTTGCCGTTGAGCCCTGAGTAACCATAAAGGGATGGACATATATCATCCCCACCTTTTAATCCAGGGCAGCGTGGTGGAAGAGAGACATTTGGAGAAGTTAAAAGGTTCACAAAGAGGAGAGCATGTCATTTAGCATCAGACAGCACAGCAAAGAGAAAGCAGTTAGCGTGGTTTGGTCTAGACACTGATTGTTATACATGCAGCTTCAACTTTAGAGAAAGGAAGCCTCATTCTAAAGCCAGGTAATACTTTTTCAATGAAGGTAGCTTTGCAGATTTTAGAGTTAACAAAACCACATATAAGAAGTAATTAGCGTAGCTAATAGACCTATTTTTATTGTGTTCACACATCTTTCGGCAAACGTGGTACGCCAAAAGCACTATTAATAGTACCTTGAAAGTTAATAGCATGACCTGGTGGTAACCGAAAGGTTTAACAATTAAGGCCAAAAGTGAGATAGAATTAATCAACTTAACAGGGTCAGGATTTGAGTCTCATTTGGTTTATAATGATAAAGAGGTAAAGAGTAATTTATAAATTTGCATTTAAATACCACTCCCATAACTGTATCAAATAATTTTTCATGGGCATTAGTCAGAAAAAGCAGTGAGACAAAGTATTTTCCAAAATCGCAAAACCAAGATGCTGTGAACTACTGCCGCTACTATTTTTCCGAAAAAAAAAAAAAAAAAAAAAACTAAGAGCCTCTTTACCTAAATGAATTTACCTTTTTAATTGCTCCATTTTCAACCTTTTATGAGGCAGGTTCTCATAAGGATAACTGGATATAATATAAAACATGCATCAGAGATAAATCCATCTTGCTTTTTTCTGGGGAGGTTGTTTTTTTAAAATGTTTTGTAATTTGAGAATAGAGAGCTAAAACTGACCTAAATTTGCAATATGTTTGGAAACACTCTTTTCTTTTGCTTCGCTAGGTGAGCTAATAAATGAAAGGCCAAAGTACATCTAAATGGGAAATTTCCTTCTTAGGAGGAAACCTAATGAAAGAAAATACCAGTATTGATAGTTCCTGCCTTACAATCTTACCCACATTTTTCAAAAGTAGATAAGCACATGAGGTAGATATGTAATATTTGGGACATAAAGATGACTTAACACTCCCCAGGATAAAAAAATTCATCTAAATTAATCAGAATCATTTTGGTTTTTGGGTGCTATCCAAGCATAATAAATCAATGGTATTTCATGACTTATTATCTTAAGGTATTCATTTGCATAAATGAGTAGAATGTGATAAAAGTATCTCTGTCAATGTGATGAAAGGTGTCATAAAAGGGGCTCGCTCCTTCCGAACCTTCTAGGTAGTATATACCGTTGACTAGGCTGTGGAAGGCGACTAGGGCCTGCCTCCCTTCTATCCTGGAGTCCACTCATCCTCACCTGCCTGTCTTCTGCACACATACCAGCTACCACTTAGCTTTAATTATCACATGGCAACTCTTGTAGCACTTAGGTTAATACGTGTAGCTGACTCTGTGTTATATTATGGACACGTCTGTTAGAGCTCAGCTACTTCACACACTTCAAATTCCTTCTGTGTTCTCTTTCAACCCCAGGAGACTGGGGGCGGCTGTGGGGCCCCAAAAGCTGTATAGCCTTGGGTACCTGCGGATGCTGGTTCAAGCCTCAGCCTCCATCTTGGGAATATTCTGGTCAGCATGGCAATAATGCTCTAAGCAGTCTTTCAACGACCCTGCCCTCTCTCAATAGAACTTGCTGAATTTCCAACGAGGATGCAGGTCATACGGGAAAATGGCATGGTGATACCTAAATTTCCTAAGTATGACTTGAAACCAGTTAGTTCTTCCCAGTGGAATGATCTGAATCAAACACCATGTTCCATGCAGAACATGGATATTCTAGCATCTATATGATTGTTCACCAAAATATAGAACTGGTGACTAAACCACAAGTTCAGTAGGTTAGACACATTTTTATCTAGAACAAAGTAATTTAAAAAAAAAATCAAAGTGTTTTAGGCAATAGTGTTCTTTGTTGCTACTTCTAATTCCTGTTCTAGAAACGTGATTAACTTTACTAGTTGTAGTGAGATTAGAATATTTTTGACAGTATGCAAACATTTATAAATGTGATCTTTTAAAAGCCTGACAATAATTTAGATACTTTGAATTTGTCCAAGAAAACCCCAAAAATGATATATTTGGAAGAAAAAAAGCATGAATATACCAGATGATAGAGTCCATGGAGCCCCTCAAGTGGCTCACCAGTCTGACCTAGTCTGTGTGAGAAAAGCTGGTTATTGTTTTGAAATGATGTTGTAGTCAAGATGCTGTGTTTAAATGCTAGCTGTCTCTGGATGGTTATCCTGGACCAGCTCTCCCAGAGTCCCTCAGTTTAAAATTAAGCTAGTAAACTGCTTACATGTCAATCTATTATTGCTCACCTTTTGCTCTTGAGGGGGAAGAAGGAGAGGAACTGATGATATAAGACTTTGTCAGGGTGGTGCTTGGTCCTGGGAGGTCCGCTCCACCTGGGCTAGTCCTGCTCGCACTGGGATCCACGCCCCGGGGCGGCCCCACTGCAGGCTCGCTCTTCCTCCTTTTCCTAAAGTCACTGGCCATGCTCGCAGAACTAAAAGAAGGAATCAGCTTCAGTTAGGTTGATGTTGGAGGAGGTTCATCTGTGAAACAGGACGACTGGTGGAATGGGCTAGTGATCACGGTACAACTCTTACCCTCTATTCCCCCAAACTATATAGTTTGAAGAATTCAGCCCTTGATATTAAACATGATTTCTTTATAATCATCTATTTAAAAAAATTCACAGACAGTACATTTTTTAAGAGAAGTTTTAGGTTTACAGAAAAATTGATTGGAAAATAGAGTTCCCATATACTCCCTTTCCTGGTCCAGTTTCTCCTATGGTGACATCTTTTATTACTGTGATACATTTATTAGTTGATGAACCATCTGGACTCATTATTATTAAATGTAATTAAAGTCCATCATTTATATTAAGGCTGTTTTCTGCTGAATATCCTGATTTTATCAGGATATTTTACTTCCATGTCTTTTGGTGGTGTGATAGCTCATTTCTTTTTATTGCTAAGTACTATTCCATCATATGGATGCACCAGTAGTTTATCAGTTCACCTACTGAAAAGCAGATGGTTGCTTCAAGTTTTGGCAGCTATAAATAAAGTTGCTATAAACGTCCATGGGCAGTGTTTTGGTGTGGGTACAGGTTTATTTATTTATTTTTAAAAATATTTTATTTATCTGAGATAGAGCAAGAGAGAGAGATCAAGCATGAGCTGGGGGGAGGGGCAGAGGGAGAGGAAGAAGCAGACTCCCCCTGAGCAGGGAGTCTGGCTCTGACTCCGGGCTGGATCCCAGGACCCCGACACCATGACCTTAGTTGAAGGCAGACGCTTAACCTACTGAGCCACCCAGGCACCCCTGGATAGAAGTTTATAATCCATGTTTTCAAGTAAAAATTCTCCTTTTAGTGTAATATGTTATGACTGACAATTCAGTGTTGTGATTTGTGTCACATATCTTTTCTCTAGAGAGAAGAGTCCCAAAAATGTGTCTATATCCAGAGAAGGCATGCCACAGTGGAAGAAAAGACTCCAAAAAGGAAGACTTCTGGTGAGACACATTTCTCTTACTTTAAGGTTTCCCTATGGCTTTTCCTACTACTCTGAGCTTGAAAACCTTACACTGGAATTCTAACATTTTCTTATTTAAATAATGAATGACTAATAATTTGGCCAGCAATCAAGCTATTAAAGGGGACTTTCACCCAGTTGTATGAAATGGCATCAACAATCTACAATGGCAGGCAGTTTTTATCACATTCTGGGTCTGAATACAGTATCATTTAAGACAAACACCAGGGAACGGGAGATACACACTACCCACTATACCGTCTGTCAAATCATCATATAAAATTACATCAACAACAGCAGTTAAGAGCACCACCAGCTCCTATGAGTCAGCAATACACGATTTGCTTTGCTGACATTATTGTCTGGTGTAGCCTGCACAGCAAGCCTGTGAGGTGTGCATGCTTATCCCTATTTCATAAACGAGTGAATGGAACACACACCATTGCAAATAGAGAGATGGGGCCAGACCTCAGAATTTGTCTGTGTTCTTCTAAAGAGGATGTCCTTCTTCTCCTAGACCTGTTTCTGCTGTCCCTAATCATGTCATAAGAGGGTCTGTGTGTCTTTATAGCAGTCTTCAGGTCAGATTAGAACTCCAAAATTCAAACATTTTAGGAGCATAGATAGATGTAAAAGATATAAAAGGAGACTTGGAGCTTTTTTCTTAGTAACATTGATGCCATTGGATGGCACTCATGAAACCCAATTTGCAAAGGACCCAATCTACAAAGTTTTGACTTATGTTGATAAAAAAGAGCAGATTAATGTTATATCAACATTTGTTGTCGAGGGCACAATATGGCTGAGAGTTTGTATTATTCCCTATTGCTATTGAACTGTGTCCAAATTTCTACAATGCTATAAAGTAAGTGTGATATTTAAAGTCCACCAACAGAAGTTACCTCGGCAGACTCCTCGGAAGGTTAGGGCTAGAGGTTACAGGTTATTCTGGTTCAATTCTAGTTTGTTTCTGCTCCTTGCGAACTGTGTGAACTTGGTAAGTGATGTGGCCTAAGTTTCATTTATGCAGAGATAAAGTGGGGAAGATAGTATTTAACTCATTGTGGTGTCTTAAGGATTAAATATATTTAGGTACCTAGAATGTCTGGTACATAGGAGGCCCTTATTTATTGGCAGTAATAATGTTTCTGATTTGTGTATAATAAACAAATATATGTAGAATATAATTTAGAAATTTTCTAGTAATTTATAATATTTTTCAAATATACTATCATACGTATCATCTAACAATATTGCAAATTAGATTTTATAATTCCCATTTAAAGAAAAGAAAATTGGGTTTAGAGGAGACAGAGAAGGGAAGAATCTCTTGGCAAAGGAATCCAGAATTATTTCACTTAATTTTCATAAATTTTTGAATATGAGCATGGAAAATGATGCAAAAACAAAATAAAACAACTTCATAAAGTATGGTGCTCCAAATAATAACGCGTGATAGCATAACCCTCATTATTATTACTTCACTGGGTAGTATTTCTATTGAAAAAGAAACCACTGGTATAGAATATTCTGGTTGTATAATGTAATGACGTTCTTACCTAGTGGGTCTTTCCAGGCTTCTGTCTAAAGAGGATTGATACAAGGAGGCCTGTTAATAGAAAAATATTTCCATGAAAATTTTTACCAGGAAAAATTTCATTTGTCCATGAATATTAAATTAGGTATCCTAAAAAGAATATTATAAAAACTGACATTAAAAATACCATTTGTTTTGATCATAAAATGTCTTTCAAAGAAAAATTATGTAACCTGATTTCTATTTTCTTCCTATCTACTTTCTTTTTTGATATACCACAATGTATTTCTCTGTGTAACTCAAATTATCTACAGCCCAAACATTGCCTGTGGGAGAAAAGAAAAGTTAACCACTCCTTCACTTAGGAAATAGACTGTAAATAGAAATTTTCTGCATAAAGGAATAGTTTGATGTTTAAAAAAATATTTGTGGTCATCATTCAGCCCTTATACAATAGGAACCTTTTTTTATAATTTTTTGTCTTGTTGCCAGGTGTTATCTTTAAAATATAACATTTAGGGGGAACTTGAGATCTTTCCTCTGTCAACACAGCCATGGCATTTTAATAATACCACAGAATTTGGTTTGAAATTAAACTAAATTGCCTGGTGCTTAAATCAGGTAAAGATTGGCATATTTCAAAATATTTTAAGTTCAGGGTTGGTTTCAAATACACGATTAATGAACCAAAATGTAACCTTTTCTTTAAAAAGTGGATTTTTAACATTTTTGTGAGAAAATCAACTCTCAGTTGTTCATGGTTGTAGGAATAAAGGAAAATAGAAAATACAAATTGATATATAATTCCAAATGCCTGTTGTACACACCACTTTCATACTCTTTCATTCTGAAGAGTACAATGAAACAGATATTAGGCAAAAATATTAGATATGAGTTTTTCACTCCCCATGACAATTGCCTGGAATAATTGCTGAAATATCTAAGGCAAAAGAGAGCTCTTGACACTGAAAGATGAGTGAAAGTAGCTGTGGTGTGATGTCTAGAATGTACAGGAAAATGTATATAAGTATATATGTCTAAGATTATTTATATATGTATATAGTCTTGGTTTGGGCCATATTAGATGATTAGTTATTTGTCAAAAACTTTGGTCTGATGAAGAACTGAAATTCTAGTTTAAAAATGTCCTTCCATATGAAATTTTAAAAAGTCAGCTGAAAAAGCAGGATTTGACAGATTTTATCTTAAATTCCTATCACATTGAAATACTTTACCAGAGTATTAAAAACCTACTTAGTGGAAATTAAACCACACTTTAAAAACTATTTCGATGACTTTATATTTTCTACTTCTAAATTAGCACCAATTAACCAATTAAGATATTAGTATTCTTTATGTAGATTCTTTACGTAGATCAGTCTGACAAGCCCTCTTATGCGTAACTCTAAAACTGGTTCTGTTAATTAATATTTTCATTTAATTCTATCTTACTGAATAAGAGTGGAATATTGCCCAGAAAGAAACAAAAGCACCTTTCTGCAAGAGATTATCCTTCTTCCTTTTAGACCGAAAAAGCATATTCTAATATTTGTAATTCCTAGACAAGATTTAGATTCCTAGGTTCTCAATAAATATAATATTAGAAGAAAAAAATTCAGTCCACTAATCTGATAAATTTGCATGATTACTTTGCTTGCTGAACTCTGAATTGGATACTAGAAAGGTGGAAAAAATAAATACTAAATAAAAAGGAAAGCAAATGGGTCAACAAATAAAACCAGATAATTATATTTTGATTTATAAATATTATCTCTAGGGCACCTGGGAGGGTCAGTCGGTTAAGTGTCTGCCTTAGGCCATGATACCAGAGTCCTGAGATGGAGCCCTGAGTCAGGCTCCCTGCTCAGTGGGAAGTCTGCCTTTCTCTCCCCCCTGCTGTGCTCTTTCTCACTCATTCACTCTCTTTCTTAAAAAAAAAAAAAAATCCTTGCCCCCCCCCCGCAAAAAAAAAGAATATTAATTCTACATGTTTGCAGAAAAGCAACACCAAGTAGCCTCAGAGTTACTGTTTCTGCAGATCACAGTATTCACAGAACACCCAACCACAACCACAGTTGATTATTAAAAAGTGTCAATTGCAGAACATCTTGGAGTGATCATCCTATAGTGACCAGAAATTTTGAATTTCAGGCTTGGAATGAGCCTAGACAAAATTGTAATGTGAGATAATAAAACAGTGTAAGAAGCGAAGGCTCTACACTGATAAATTAATTGTGTTTTAGGTTTAGGCAAAGAAACTACAATGATTCCTCCTTGTGCTGGTTTCCACAATCCAAAATTAACTGAAATTAGTTTTGTGATTTTTACGTATAATCAAAGGAAAAAGTTCTTTATTAAATTATAAGGAAATAGTAAAAGGTCTAGATAGATGACTAAGAGAGAAAAACTTTATGATAATTGTATGAATGATACTCATTCTGAAGTGGAAATCATCTGCAGAGAAGGAGTAACTGATTTTACCTATTATGATCTACTGAGTATTTACATATAACATACCTAGATGAAGTTCATTTTAATAAAGTATGGACACCGAATCACACTTTCTGCTACTTTGCTTAAAAGTCCTTAATTGTTCTTCAATAATGCCAGTTTCTCAGTTTCATGGATTAGAAAGTATGCTATTCATGGGATATGCAAGGCAGTTGATAAATGATAGTAGGGTAATGTGTAATCAGTTACAGATTTTACCTGAAATGTTTTACATAAGGATATTGAAGATGGAATCCAGTATCTTATCAAAATATATGTTTTTACATTCTGAAAAGCCATGATGTGAAATTAGTACTCCAGAACCATACAACGCTCCTTCTTCATTCCAAAGAGATAATGGCAATTCAGTTTAACCATCAGCAAAGTGCTTTTTTATGTGATTATTTTGCCACTACCATAACATGTAGAACGGATAGAAAGTTTCTACTATCTTTATTTAGCCCAAGAGTTATTGTGTAATATTAATTACAGGAACTTATTTCACAAAAATAGTTAATAAGGAATAATATTAATAACTTGTTTCTAAAATATTTGAATTCTAAATGTATCTCTTGGACATGCTAACATGTGGTATAAAGGGAATAGAATGGAAGCAAAGGCTATGAGACTCTATTTTATTTTTAACTTGCCACCATCTTATCTTGTGATTTGGGATATAGTTTTAAAAAATTGTTGGGCTCTACTTTTTTGACTTAAAAATGAGTGAGTTGGACACAGTGATCTCTAAATTTTATGTAAATTCTCAAAGAGACAACCACCTTAAAAACATCCTAAAACTATCTGACTAAAATAACAGGAAACCATCTGACCAAATTGCATTCCAAAATAAATTCTTGGGCTCTTCATATGTAGAAATGATACCCTTTCTTCAGATGTGAAGGTAGCATAACACAGAATAGAATTACTTTTATTTGATTGTCGTTAGATTATCTGTCTACAAAATATAAGCCTTTAGAAATGACTGCATTCAGTAACTTAGGATGTTCTTGATTATTCTATTTTGCTTTTATCTAATATCTAAATATTTGATTACTTCTGTATGTTAATATGAGCTCTGATACACAATTTAGAATTGCAAATTGAAGCTTCAGGAAGTTGGATATTTCCTGCTGAGACAGTGCCCATGATTCCAGGGGTCATCACTGTGTGTCAATAGTACTTCCTGAGGCATAGATATCTTACTAGTTTTATTTTCTAGTTGCCCATATTTAATCAAGTGAAGACTTTTTGATGACGATATTTATTATTTTTATATATACTTAGGACCACAGAGAAACTACGGTGTAAAACCAGTTTATGTACTTTGCTCCCATTCTAGCTGCTTCTAAGAATTACCACAGAGAGGCTTTTATATAGCTGATGTTTAAGCAAAATTGTCACATTTGCTCAAGTCAACCAATAAGTCTTAAATCTGCTTTCCAAATAATTTCATTTTTCTTTGCAGAAAGCAGGATAAAAAGCTTCGACTCTGGATTGTTTCTTCCTTTTTCATACTTTCTCTGACTAAATCAAATAAAATTTGACATTGTCTGGCATAAATTTTTTACCTAGCAGATTGTCATGAGCATTCTAAAATAGAGACGGCAAATGTACTCCATCTCATATGCCAGTTATAATCTATTATAGTGGTTTCCTGGATTATAGCATTGAGAAAGATTAGTAATGCCTGTCAAGGATGTGGAACTGGGAAATTGTGACATGTGTCCCAGTTGTTTGTCAGTCTTATTCTTGATTTTATCTGATGCTAAAATCCACAAATTGTATTTAGGCAAATGAAAGATTTACAAAAATTTTAAGAATATGCAGGGCATAAACATGTAATTAAGAATCTGTCATTCTGCACCTCCAAGCATGATGAAAAAATGGCTCTGTATAGTATTTTACACAACCTAATCAAAACAGATGGTTGATATATGCAGTAAGAGTACTACTTTTGATTTTTTTGTCACACTCCTGGATATCAGGACTGTGTTGAGTAGTTCAACTGAAGGTTATGGCTGGAATGGTTCTTCACCTGCATTTTGGAAAGAGTCAACAACAACTTTGGAATAGTTAATGTCTAAGCAATGATCCTGGATACAACACAATGATAGGAAGACCGATTTTCCACAATAGCTTAGATACAACAGTGAATCGTTAAAACACGGATGGTTCAGAATCACAGTAACAGCTCCTAAAGATAAATCTGAAAAAGAGAATAATTTGTTTTTACCTCATTGGAAACACCAGAAGAATGATCTTGAACATAGTCCAGAGCCTTTTTAGGAGGCTGGGTGTAGATGCACCACATAAGCAGAAGTGTAGAGATGAAATGGAGGAGAGTCAATGGCAGCAAGGAATGGACATGTGGAAAAGGTGACAAAAGTTAGAGATTGAGTGCTGATAGCATCAGACACACATAAAGAGTGCATGAATGGAGCCAAATGGGGGTGGGGGTGGCCTAGGAGGAAGAGTGGAATGTTCGTAAATATTCTCAAGCACTGGGCAAAATTACTAGTGATTTGATTAGTATATTTATAAACTCATTTCATCAGATCAAAATGAACACTCATAGTCTCTAGCCACAAAGGAATGCAAGGTACATTAAAGAAACATTAAAATAGCAGGTGGATGGCATGCTGGTGAGTTTCCATGTGGCTGAAAATGATTATCAAAAAATGCTGATAATTTAGGCTCAGAAATTGGCTTAGTCCCTACAAATCAGGTAGTTAATAATAACAATACATATAAAATAAAGCTAGAGGATTTTTTTTCTCTAAAATAAAATGTATTTATGTGAATATGTGGATATAAATTAAGAAAAACACTTTTCCTTCTAGGTATAGAAATTCTAGGAAAAATTTTTTGGTTTATATTCACTTACAGTCACTTTTGATCCAGCTCAATAAAATAAGGAATCTAACCAAGTGTCCTTTGTTTTTTAATGGAGGAGAGGGACAACTCTAAGCACCCAGTATCTAATATATGGTCAGTTTGTGAGTATGTAAGTCAGTGTCTGATATAGTAAAAGATAGATTATACTCTGTGACCATCAACAAAAGTCTGTGTAGTGGAAATGTTATGTTCTTTAAGAATTTAAAATTCAGAAACAAACAAAAAAAATTAAAAAAAATAAAATTCAGAAACACCATTAAGAGTATTAAAAATATGTAACTGACACATACCAAATGTATAGGTATTGGTTGATAGAGTTCCCCAATAAAACTTAAGTTAATAGAGGAAATTGTTGGGATGCCTGGTGGCTCAGAGGTTGAGCATCTGCCTTTGGCTCAGGGTGTGATCCCAGAGTCCTGGGATCGAGTCCTACATCTGGCTCCTCGTAGGGAGCCTGCTTCTCTCTCTGCCTATGTCTCTGCCTCTCTCTCTGTGTCTTTCATGAATAAGTAAAATCTTTAAAAAAAAAAAAAAGGAAATTTTTATTAAGGATTTGGGTTGACTCTAACCCAAACAGACTAAGCAATTCTTGTAAGGCCCGTCTTAGGGCAGGGGGGCATTTGTGGATATTTTACTAGCAAAACCAGAAATCAAGGTCCACAAGATTTTTTTTTTCTCTTTCCTTATATCCTTAAGAGTAATTGAGGTATTTTATAGTGGGAGTATACTGACAGTATATTATTGTGGAAATTGCCCAGAGATTTTGGTTTGTTCCATAGGCCTGGGTTTAACTTCTGGCTCTACCACTTACTATCCTGTGCAAACTACTTAACCTCTCGGGTTACTTCTTATTGGCACAGCAACCAGAGAACTCACTGAGATGGAGTTCAGAACCCAGGACTCTCCAGTGCTTGGTAGTTCAACAGCAAACAGAAGCTATAATAATAGAACTATTATTATAAATATCACGATACTGCTTCTGATTGAACTAGACCAAAATGGACTGTAAACAAATATAAATCTTCTTTAAACCTGTAACAATTGTCTGAATAGTCTAGGACAGAAACTATCTTAGCATTTTTAATTTGTTTAGATATAATTATCCTAATGCGTGACGCGTGCTAAGGAAAAAATACACAGGCAGCGTCAGAGCAGGTTTAACCATTTGGTACAGAAGTCAATGTGGGCTAAGCTGTACCCAGTTTGTCTATCTAGTATACATTATTTTGTTCTGTAAATGACACCTGTCTCTTCTGATAATGGTTATGTTTTATAAACCAAACAACATTCCCCTAATTTTCTTAAATTAATAGGCTAGCCTCACTTACCGGGCGTCCAAACTCCAGTTCTGAAAAGAATTTATACCAGGGCTCATTTTCTAAATCTATGTCATCTGGATTTATGCGATCAGTCTGGAGCAGATGTGAAGGCAAAGGGAAGGAAAAGGCATACTGAGCTGAGTGAGGGAAACGCTGTGTGGTATGAACAACACACACGCGCATTCAAACGCGAACATGCACCGACTCTCATCCGACAAATCTCAGCAGGAGAGAACAAAGGATGTAAAGCAAAATGAGTAAAATTAGGAGATGGAGATGAGCTTCGTTGGTATCACCTAGGCCCCTAATCACTTCCTCTGTCGACCTGTCTTCTCTTTTGACTTTTCTCCTTAGCCTGATGCATAAACTACGAAAAACTGTGACAGCCAGAAGGAGCAAGGAGAGCACACCAAAAATAGGCTAGATTCAGCCTATGAAAGTTAAAATAGACTCCACTTAGTCACCAAGTAGCTCATCTGGGTGAGTCACTCGGCTGCCCCTGCCCTCATTGATCCCAGCATGTAAGGCTACATTCTGCAGACAGTTGGCTCGGGTGCAGATATATGGAGAGCCTGGTGGAGAGGGGGAGGGAAAAGATGGGAAGAGAGGTGGGGGCAAGGAGTGAGAGGTGCCAGGAGGCTGGTGGGGGTAGACTGGCATGAAGAGGGGGTCTAGTGGGGGCAGCAAGGTGGGGGTGGTGGTGAGTAACTAGGCTCCGATTGCCCCCTTAGCCTCTAGAGACCCAGGGCTAACTCCCTGAGATTCCTGAAGGGCATTTGATAAGGTAATGAAGGAAGGAGCTCACCCAGATGGGAGAAAGAGCTGGGGTGCACGGGCTCGGTAGGGGGAGGCCAGTCCTGGGCGGAGGGGAGGGGCTACCAGTTACTTCTCCGTATGGTGAAACAGAAAGAGGCTTCCGGCCAGGTTCCCTTGAAACAGGTGTTGGAGTTGTTGGGAGAGAGGGCTGTAAGAAAGAGGGGTGAAGGAGACACTGATTCATTAGATGGAGGTACTTGATGGAACCAAGAGGACACCAGTTAGCAGGAGGAGACGTTTCAGAAAAGTAAGGTGTCCCTGGGGAGACCCAGATAATTTAGAAATGGTCTGGACCACTGAAAAGATGTGAAGACAAGGAGCCTCCCGGAAAGTGAAGAATGAGCACATTTTGTGAGCTACCACCCCAAGAATCACCTACCTATCTACCTTGAGCTGGAGTAGTGAAGTGGTTGGGTTTTCCCATTACTGCAGCTAGCTAAGGGTGGGGAGATGGTGAGCAAGAGGATCCCACTCTGCTTTGGTTGACACTCTAATTCAGAGAAAAAGCCAATTTTTATAGTTGACTTGCTCCCCTTTGATGGTTTCTGAATATTATATTTAAGATAGAAACACTAGAAGTGTTAATATAAAGAGTTTGAGAAAATACATACAATTGCTTTAGTAATCGAAAACCCAGATATGGAGCATTTACTTTATCCAACAATATCCTTGATGCCTTTACATAATACATGCCTGATCAGACTGATTCAGGTTATTGATTTAATATTAAATGGAGATGCCTAAAGTACTACATATGGGTTATTACTTCTTTGACAATTGTTACATAACATTAATAAACATGGTACAGTTGGACAGTTACATTTTAAGTCAGAAAAAAAGGTACACCCTAGTTCCCTAAAAGTCACCCACCCTGGCCAAGAGAGGACATATTCTTTGTAACATCGAGTGTTTTGAGATAGCCCATATTCTAACAAAAGCTATTATTTTGTCATTAGCTTGTCCAAGTGTTTTATTGACTTTTTGAATTCCCAATCTTTTGTTAATCGTATGCAGTCTGGATGCAATAATCAATTATATACAAAATATTTTTTTAGAGATGTGCTCTTTTTATTTCAATATTTTTATAATAGGAGATTATGATGGTAGCTACAAACATTGATAGGAAAATTTGAGGCATCATAACAAAATAGTGAAAGGGCCCAAGTTATCCAAAATATGTGATCATAATGATAAAGACCGTGTAGTAACTCTGGGGAATGTTTATGGTAGAATGGTAAGCGATAAAAGTTGAATATGATCATGTGCTTGTACAGTATTTACAATAGTATCACAAAGCCTGTGTCTGGATGAGACAGGAAGAAAACATGTACACAGATACAAAACAACCCACAATGGTGCTCTGGTATTGCAATTGTTCTTTTCCTTCTTTTAAAATATTATTTTGTTTCACTATTACAATGTTGTGGAGAATATCCTCTAATTACTATGGGAGATATTGCGGAAAACGACTCAATTTATAACTGATTCAATAGTACAAAAGTACTAATTGGGATTTTGATATTACCAAAATATTGTTTTCTCCAATTATCATTTAGATAATGGCTGCAGCATATGAATATTTCATGGAATAGTTCTACTGGAGCTGATTTTTAGAGTAATTGACATTAGAGAGAATTTTCTAGTAGTTCTTTCTATAGAGGCCTAGTACTTCTTCCACAAGAAAACTAAGATTTGGTGCTTTCAAATATCATTGTTTGTAATATAATACGTCTAATAATATTAGAATTTTATATCTTGATTTTATAATCTGATTTTATAATTCTTGATTTTATAAATCTGCTTTCATATGTAGTATTTTGTTTTGCTAAAGGGAGATAGAAAGTTAGAGGAAACAAAATTTGTTTTAAAAATATTTTCAACAGCAGAGGGCAGCAAATTTACTAAACAAATAAATATATTTGTTTAGTCCGTGGTTACAACTTCACTTTGACTTCCACCGTAAGAAAATATATAACAAACAGATATTATGAAATCCTGATTTATAGATACATATTTCTATGATAGAATATGGAAAGAGGGGAATATCTGCCATCCTGCACCAAAACTTAGAATGACAGTTTTTCATGAATTATGATTTTGTAGATTAAAAATTTAATTCACAGTCTCAGTGGGCAACTATCTAGAATCCATGGCAATAGACATTAGTAGAGAGAATGCCCCAGACAATGATCATTGATAAGTATCTATAACTTCGGAACTTAATGAAAATAGTATTTTGGGAATATCAAAATCTCAATTAGTACTTTTATACTAATTGAGTATCGTCTGTAAAGAAATGCAAGTGGCAGAACTAGAATTTTCTTTTCAACTTGGTTGACCTATTGAATCCCTTTAGTTATGCAACAGTACTATGTAGCAATCTAGATTCACTGCTAAGGTACATAGAAGCCTCACAAAAGTCAGTGATACATATACAGAAAGTCAGCAACAGACATATACACACACTCATAATCTCACTAAATCAACTCTTTCCATGCATAACTTGAAAGTTCCTTTGAGTTGACACCAGTATGAACACTCAGAAGAAACTCACTTAGGAAGTATGATTATATTTTACTCGAATTGCTCATAAAAACAACAAAAAAGCAGATATACAGTTGCACATTTTTCTAATCCTTCTTGTTCTCTTCTCGTTTTGAAAAACCCGGCAAATCTGTGCTTAAAACAAATGCATATCAGTGCAATAGGAAGTACTTAAGAAAACCTAAGACTATAAATCAGACAGGATTCTTATTTAAAGGCAAGCAAGGGTGAACCATTTCTAAAGCTTTTGTTTCCTACAATTTCAAAGCATTTAGTTGCTTTTGAGGTTATAGAAATTCTACTATTCTCAGTATTCTCATTGCAGGCATATGATTTCTATATGTTGTTCCCCCAAAAAAGAAGTGCTAACATAACCTAGGTCTTTAAAATTTATGCTCATTAGATTTTAAAGCTTTAATGGCATTCGCTACTATGTTTTATATTTATTGTGGTTCCACAATAAATGATACACGAATTGTCAGCTGGGGTCATTCTTTATGGTTCAAACCATCAGATGAAACTCCCCAAATTCTTACTGTAAGTGTTAACAATCTTCATTGATAAGGAAGTGTAAGTTCACTGGGATTTAAATTGTATTTCGACTCTGCACAGTGCTTTCGATGATTATTTCTTTCTGCTTTTATCATTATGTGTCGGCTTAGTTATTGTAGAGAAAGGTAATGTCTTCATATTGTTTTCATTTTATTATGTGTAAAGAAATCCTGAATAAGTGCTTAATGTAATGTAATGTAATGTAATGTAATGTAATTTTGGCTCACATATAAATATATCCAATCCAGATGGGATGTAAAGTTTTTATTAATAAAATCTCAGCAGAGAGTTTATATGATTGCCTCACGGAATACACGGCGGTTCAAGTCAGTTAAAGATAATTCCTGGTACTTGCAAAGGACTTTTGCAGATCAAACATTAGATCCCTTTAATCGATGTTTTCAAATTTATAGGCAAACGAGTATCTATGCACTTCAAAAAATTGCATTGACCTTTAGTTTCCTGCTAAAAACATGAATGTTTGGTCCACTGATTCCTAAGGAAGAAGGGGATCCCTTTGGCCAGAGTCTGGGGAAGAAGTTTTATTCGAGCAATCTGCCTCCTCTGCCCACCTTATACTCCGGGGAACCAGAGAATTAGTGAACCACAGTCACTGATAGCAACATGTCAAATCCATTGTGTGTGCTTTGATGGAGACCACTGTGCCTTTTGTCAGTAGGAGTGTCACAGATAAGCCACAGAGCAGGGATTCAGTCTCCCCAATTTCATCCACCAACTGTAGGAGTAAAGTCTATATTCATTCATTCATTCATTCATTCACTTATTAGATCAATGATTATTCACTGAACACCTACCATGTGCCAGGCATTGTGCAAGGTGTTGGGGATACAATGGGTACCATAGACATGGTCCCTGCTATGGGTGGGGAAAGCTAGTGAGGGACATGGACAGGTGAACAGGCTGTTAGAATTCAGTGTGTGAGGAGGAAATGCAGCAGTGTGCTCTAGGCACACAGTAGGGGAGCTTCACACCCAGGGTGGAGAGGTCAGTGATGACACCCTGGGAGAAGAGATAAGGCCATGGATGAGATGGGATGAAGAGAGCTTTCCTGGCAGAGGAATAGCTTGTGCAAAGTCCAGGAAGGCAGGAATTGAAGGCTGTCTGTAAAGCTGGAATAGAGTGAGTTGGCAGGAAGGGCAGGAAGAGACATGAGGTCGGTGGGGGCCAGGTCACAAGGTCTTTTGGAAATTGCATGAAGAGGTTTGAATTTTGCTCCAAGGATACTTGAGAACCAGGAGAAAATTTCAAGCAGAAAGTCTTAAAAAGTTTCATAAAGATTGCCCTAGTGGAGTATAGAGGTGTGGAGGTGTGGAGACTGGATTACAGAATCAGGGGGAATAAATGGGTGGCTGTCACTGTAATCTGGACAATGGACATATTGTGGACTAGAAGACAGGAGTGACAGCAGCATTTCTACCAGAGGCAGGACTTCGAGATCTTTGGGAAAGAGGGGAATCCAGGATGACACTTGGGAAGGCTGGGCACCTAGGTGATGGGGTCATCTAGGAGTTCAAAAGAGCAGCAGAAAATTACCAAGAGGTTGTGTATAATTTACAAAAATTCAATAGGAAAAGAGCAAAGGGATGCTCACAAACTATCTGGCAGTAAAAAGACAGGAGAGCACATTCCACTGAAATCCTTGTTTTGTTTGTTTGCTGTTGTATCACTATCAGGTGGCCAATCTGCTCTCATGCTCTACATCTTGTGGGTTAGACACTGCAGACCCGTGTGTGAACCGCATCGGTAGACAGCCGGTCTCTGTGATATCACTGTACATGTCGCCTTTTGTCTTTTTTTCTGATTTAGGAAAGGCAATGAGAATGAGTTCAGGAATGATGGCAAGAAAGAAAGATAATAGCCTGATCCTCGAATAAAGAAGCCTGGCCAAAATGATACAGGCGACTAGCCCAAATCTTTTTGCGTAAGGCTGGTCTCCCAGCAAAATTGCTTAGGAGGAATAAGAATGTTGGTTCTATTTCCCCATAAGATGTCCATTCTCATTTCCTTCCAAGTTTCTTGGTTCCCACCACTTCTTTTTTCCTGTGGCTGCAGAGCCCCCTCCATACCCAAATCTCCAGCAGTGCAAATGTTCCCAGAACTTTCTATTATTCTTAGAATACAAGTCTAGCTCTGCATACTCATCAAATGAAAGGCTCAAAGTTCCTCATGGTAGAGACTGTGTCTTGTTCAGTACTGTGTCCCTAGCACTTAATACAATGTCTGGCACATAGTTGGTGCTCAATAAATATTGTTGAATGAGTAAATAATAGAAATATTCTGGTGAGGAAGCTTCTCGACTCAATCCTGCCCCTCGAGACCACAGCTACTAAAGCGTTCCAGTACAATCACAACACTCTTATAAATTGTTAGAAAGATCATCAATGATCATTTTGTTATTTACATTTCAATCTGAGGCTCATTATTTTGCATAATTATTTTGCAACTTTTAATTTAAGGCAATGGTCACATCGTGGTTCACTCAATTCTCATCCCAGAAATTTCAAAGTATCATGCTATTCAATCATAGGAGCTAGTGAATGGGTTCTAAGTCTGCACTAAAACTGCAAACTGATGGCATTCCTTTTTTTTTTTTCCCCTTTCAGTTTTTCTGGTAAAGTTGTGTTGCTCTAAAGGATACGAGTTATTTGAAGAAAGGCACAGAAGGCTTACATAAATATTATGTATGAATTATGTGATTATAAGGTTTTTCAACATGTTTCTCAAGAACATAACCATAAATACAGGGTTTCACAAATGAAATCAGGGCACTCATGTTGCGTGTGGAAAGCCAAAGGTTTCCAATCAAATTTCAGGGCTGGTCTTGCATTATATATAATATGCTTTCTTGGATGGTCTTAAAGGAGTGAACAAAGAAAATCTTTTTCCTGTTCACTGACACCACCCAAATTCTTTTAAGAGAATGAGGAGAGTAAATTATAAATGGATCTCTAGAAGCAGGTTTGGATAGAAAGGCAAAGGAATTCTAGTTTCAAGGAGATCTTGAGGGCACTGATCTAGGAGGGGAAGCAGAGGACTCAGAAAGGAGGATTGGGAAGATAAACACCAAGAGGGCCAAAGAATAACCTATTTGTTTAATTGCACTTTGAAGAGGCAAGTGGTTATTTTTCAGGTTTATGTATCGTTTTGTTTGCATATACTAAATAACTATAGAGAAATCATGCAAAGTTAAATATAATCTTGATCCATTAGATTTGACAATCAGGAAGCTTGAGGCTTGGTAACCTGAGAGAGATTTAATAAGAATCAATTAAAATGATTTTATTTTTTTTAAAGAAAGGCATTTGGGAGATTTCCCCTTAATCCAAAGAAATATTAAGCAACCGATATGGAAACAAAGGGATGGGACTGTGTGGGCCCATTTGTATCAGAAGAGACTCATGAATCATTTTTCTCATTAGCCATGTAGACTAGCAATTAAGGATTGCATTTATGAATTTTATTAAAAAAATTAAGCTCAGAGTCAGGATTAGGCACAGCTATAGTTACATGCAAATGGATTCCCTATTTTGTTGGTAGGGACAATATATTAGAGAGGATATCTTTAATTCTCAGATAAGATGCACGAATCATGATACCAAATAAACTGGATTTCTAAATACTGCCAAATACATAAATTACCTTTGTGACAAAAATTGCCTAACATACAAAATTCAGGTCTACTTGGGAACCCAGAAACCTAGAGAACTGGCATTTGGTTTAATCACAAGTGCTTACCGGTCTTTCATGCTGCAGAATCGATGACTTCCCAGGTTCATACTCAAAAATACTCCTTGGCTCAGAACGAAACTTTCTTGTGTCCACTTTTCTATCTGGAGGATCCCAGTCATGCCTAGAAATAAACAATAGTTATGTATAAAATAATTCTATATGCTTAAAGTAGTTCTATAAAACGACTTGCTCTCTGTTTACAGAGTTAATTTCAGTATAGATTTTTAAAAAAATATCTGAGGATAAAAAGTTAATCTGCAAAAAATACCACATTTATATGTTGTTTTGTGTAAATGATTTAAAGAAAGCCATTTCTTTTATTTCGTATTATATTTTCCTCTAATTTCTTTCATACAATATCCTGCTGGCTCAGTAACTCACACAAGGGGTTTGTAGATACACACGCAGCCAGGGCTCTGCTTGTAAACCCTTGGGATGGTATACAAACAACAGCTGTGTATATTTGTGTTTAGAGTAAGTGGCAGTTATGCTCCATTGAGTTATGTGAGTTTATCTCACCACTCTGTGACCTGGCATCCTTGATCCAAAGTGACAAGGAGTAATGCACACGCCATGCTTGATGTTATTTATCCTGCAAATGGCGTCACAGTTTGGGGAAAGTACAAAAGTGTCACTTGGGCTGCCATCCATAGACGCAAGCTGTGTGGCTGGGGAGAACCTTCTTTGGTATTAGCCTTGAAAAACCAGAGTCAGACAGCCATCTTGCATAGGAGACCTTGGAAGCTGCTCTTTTTCCTGAACTGATAGCCTTCAGAAGGTGGTCAACGAGGGACGTTGAAAAATAAAGCTTTTCTGGGTAGCCAGGGCACAAGAAGGCCTCCTTTGGGACAAACATTTTTCTCAAAGGAGGATTTTCTGACTATAGATGGGAGCAATTCTGACCTATGGAATGGGGTTAAATTCTGACTCTGTAGCACATTGGAAATAGAAAGAAATAGAAATGGTCTAAGAGACAGGAGAATTAGGGGCAGGTCCTGGCTTACCAGTAACTGGTAAATGATATTCAACAGAGAGATTCTGAGCATCACATGAGACAATGTATATGAAAGCCATCTAGGAATTTTTAAGAGTTTATATTTCTTAATGAGAAATTTATTTCTACCAAACATAGGACAAATAATACATTTAAATTTGAGTTAATTTTGGATCTCTTTTAATAGCAAAGATACCATTTTGTGTCCAATTATTTCTCAAATTTAAGGCATCACACTTACAAACATATAGTCTATCAGGAGGAAATTAAAGTGAGGATCTCTTCACATGTGATGTGTGTCTGTTTCATGATGTCTTGTATCCTCTACAACCCTCAGTTACTCTTAATGGTACAATGGTACAATGTAATATTTATGGGATGAATATGATAGTTGGATGCTTAGTAATTAGTATTAACAATGAATAATTCTTATATTGTTATTAATTGCTAGTATTGCATGAACCATGGCTTTAGTCAGAGCTGAGTTTGAATCGGCTTGGACATATGAGCTTATGAGTGGAGCAATTTACTTTTATTTTCTAAATCACAGTTTTTTTTTTCTCTAAAATAGGTTTAAAATAGAACATATCTCATTGGATCGTTCTCAGAATTAAGTGATATAATACAAGGAAAGTACTTAGCATAGTGCTCGGCTCCTATTGAGCTCTCAATAAAGGTTACCTATAAGCAGGATTATTAGTCATAATCCTAATAAAAAATTGCACAGTAATAAAGTGTGTTTATAAATTTTTATCTTCATGTGAATAGCTTCTATAAAAATTTCAGTGGGGAAATGAAAACTAGTATCATCTTGAGAAGTTGGTAGCAATGAGTCACAGACACAACTAATGCCTTATTTATTATTTATGAATAACCTCGCCGGCTTTCAAAAAAGAGGTTTTTGTGTACCAGAGGGGAAATTGTAAATCACTAATAGACCTAATATTCCAAACCTGAGGAAAACAAAAATTAAATGCAGAGTCTCTGACATGCTACGTCAGAGGAAGTATGTGTCAATTATTTCTGTTTATTTTCTTCCTATACGCATTTGTTGATCAAAAGACTGTGCTCATGTTACTTCAAGCCTTGGTGATTATAATATTATGAACCAGGATTGTGTTTGCCACAATCCCAATAGAGGAAGTCAACATGGCACATGTGTTGATTAAAGTAGTACATGTACTATCTTGGTAACATAAGCACTGAGTCTTCTACTAAGTGCCATATGGTCTTACTGTCATCTGAAACTAAATATAGGGCAGTTTGGGGGAAAATGTCTTACTTTTCTGTAGAAGATCGGTCTCTTGGTCGAAGTGGTGGGACTGGAGGAGGAACATGTGGGGGAGGGACGGGGGAGGAGGCGTCCTTAAAGACATCGGTGCCATTGTCAGAGTGGCTTTTGGAGAGAGGTCTGTAGGTCTGGGTCTTTGCAGCAGGATGTGACTGAGCACTGTAGGGTGAGTTGTACAGGCCTGTCACGAAACACAACACAACAAAACAAACAGAAGCAGATAATATTTTAAAAGCACGTTAAATTATTTATACTCCAGAAAATATCCAGTGATTTGACCAAAATTTTTATCAGTGAGGATATTCATGATGCATGCATTGGGCAGTATGTTCTCAATCGATTATGAATAGTATTAATTGATTAATCATTATTAACATGTTAATTTGTTAATTGATATATTTTATACGTAATGACTGATTAAGTAAATCTTCAACCATCATCTTGAAATTAGTAATAATTTAGACTGGTAATTAGGAATAAACTTACAGGTACTCGGCAAATTTTCTCCTGGATAATATAAACTAGTAACATAGATAAGTTTTCAGAAGAAGATTAAAAATAGTGCACAGAACTGTTTCCAAATCTCTTCTATTACTTTCAAAGCTCTGATTTACATGATAATTAAAATGTTCATTGCAATCAAACAAAATATTAAGCGAGTTGTATATGTGCTGTATATAAGCAAGGCTTAAAGACACAAAAATCCTCTGTAAGCTTGTACTGTATCTGGGGAAATGAGACACGGATAGAATTGTGATTGAAAATAACTGGTAACATGAGAACGGCCAAATGAGGAAAACGCATATTAGGAATGAAAGATTTCAGAAGATGATGGATTGGTCAGCGGAGTTATTTTGGAACCCATGGCACCAGGGTCAGCCCTGTAGGATTGATTTGGGTGGGTGGGGGAAGTGGGTAGCAGAGATGGCTTAAGAATAGAAACAAAAAGAGGCAGGAAGTACAAGACACAGCACCCTGGGATGCAGGGTTAGTAGCAGGGAGAGTCTAGTTGCAGTTGCTTTGTCTACCTATGAAACAGCAAAACTATCTTCAAAGGGCTATGCAAGGTTATATGTGACTACTGTTCAATTTATTAATTACGGATGGATACAGAATTTCAATAGTAAAAATAATTTTAAAAATTATGAATTTCCTGCCACCTTAGTCTTTTGAGTTAAGTCAATTGTCATTCATCTGCTTCTCCTAAAGGTCCATACGAATTGCCAGGACAAGTGAAAAGACAATGTCTGGGGGCACCTTGAGTGGCTCAGCTGGTTGAGCTTCAGGCTCTTGATTTCGGCTCAGGTCGTGATCTCAGGGTCCTGAGATCAAGCCCCGCATGCGGCTCCCTGCTCAGTGGGGAATCTGCTTGAGGTTCTCTCTGTCTCCCTCTCTGTCTCTCCCCACTGCCAGTGCTCTTCCCCTCTCTCTCAGAATAAAATAAATAAATAAATCTTTGAAGAAATAAAAGACGATGTCTGCACTACCTGTTTTGTCTGCATTCTACTGTCTGATTTTAACTCTACAGCTTGTTAAAAACAAAACAGGCCCCAAGTAGAGTCACTTATGTATGCTAAGCTCCATGTCACCGAATGGAGACTTAATTACAGCTTTGGCTCTTCTAGAAATGGAATCTTAAACCAGACAATCAGGAATCGCCTGGCCAGCACTAGTGAGGTCATCTCACTCATAGACGCCGACCATCCCTTAGAAGAAAAGTAACCTTGCCATCACCTACCCACCTTTTTTTTTCCCCTAGCATAACTTCCTTATTTGGCTCCTTTCTGCCTATAAAAGTCTTTCATTTTGTACAGCTCCTGAGAGCTCCTTTCTATCTGCTAGATTGGATGCTGCTAGACTCATGAATCGTTGAACAAAGCCGGTAATATCTGTAAAAATTTACTGGGCTGAATTTTGTTTTTTAACAAGCTAAAGCATGTGTGGCTAGGAATAAAAGTTGAAGGAAAACATTTTATTGGGCCTCCTGCTATCACCTGGAAGAGTGAGGATGAAAACCTCAGAGGTCTTGCAGCTTGTTAACCTGGTTACCTGGTTCTGTCTTTTCTTCTCTATTTGCCTTTGGGGACTGGTTAGCAGACTCCCTAACAGTTATAGGGCCGCCTGAGTGCTGGCCTTCAGGGAGGGGAGACCTTATGCGGTTCTGAGGCCAGGCTGCCCCGGGGGGTCCCTACGTGAGATTGCAGCTGTTGAGAGGGACATGAGCAGCTTAAGCCTTGGAGCTTGCTCTAAAGAAAGGAAAAACAGACGCTGTGCAACAGTCCCCAGCCCAGGCTGGGAAGTGACAGGAGGCCCTACATGGGATCCTCTACTGTGACATTTAGGAGGAAGGGAAACATTTTGTAGGGGTCCTTCACTCCACGTCACAGGATACCAACACACTCAAATACAAGTTAGAAACGTCCAGAACTGAAGTCGTGCCGTTATGACTGTTGGCAACTGTGAGTCAGAAAAGTGGCCCAGAAGAGTGGGATTTTTAAAAATCCTTCAATGAATGGTTGCATTTTTGGAGCACAAGCATGGACAGAGTCACAAAATACTTTGCTGGACTTGTTTTTTGTGAAGTGTATCTGAAAGATCTTACGCAATTGTGATCACTCTCGCTGCTGATAAAAGGAGATCTTTATCTTATTTTGTACCCTAGTTACAGTGTGTTCTTTCATGCTGTCCTTCATACTTTGGTTAAACATTCCTGAAGCCGAGAATGAAATGACAGTGAGAATGAATGAGATAAAACAGTATTAGTTCTCATTTCCATGAGAAAAGATCGATCCTTTTGTCATGCATGCTTTGAGAAAAGAAAAACAGCATCCTCTTAATTGTATACACCGAAAACATGCGGCTCAAATAGGGGTAAAAAAGTGAGTGTGAAGTGCTTCCAAGCATTGCCGAGCATACAGGATTCAGTGAGAGCAAGGAAACCCGTCCTACCTGCATTATATGTATAAGGAGTATTATACATGTCTGTGTCATCATCTAGAAAATGAAACATAAATATTATGGTAATACAGATCCGGTCACCGTATCATAACAAGACAGTAGCACTTCAGAGAAACAAGCAAAAAAATGTGGTAGAAAACCACTGTATTTTGCCTGGTTCATAACACCATTTTTATAATTTTCTTTTTCTTTTTTTTTTTTTTCATTTTTATAATTTTCTAAGATAGTTTTGTTGCTGGGCTCCTGTAGCTTGTGCTCGCTTGTCTGTAACACATTTGCTCTGTCGCCCTCTCCCCAGCATACAAGGTCAAGGGATTGTCCTCACTTCTCCGGGCAGCCTTCTCTTCCAAATCATGAAATTTCTTCTGGGAAGTGCTTTAAAGGTCTCTTGTCAACCTGGAGAGACCTACTTCTGCTCACTCTCTCGGCAAGCAGCTGACATGTGTGGACAGAGGAACAAGGATTCTGTTTACGCACACACCACCCCACACCGCTCCAGGTTGTGCCCAGGGAAGGAGGAAGGGACCAGAGCACCTGGAGGCCCTCCAAGAGTCACCTAATAAGAGGCTTCTTGGCAGCTCAGCAGTGAGGCAGGAGCACAGGTGTCTGTGATTTGAGGGTGACATAAGGAGAAGAGAAGAGAAAGAGGGCCAGCCACAGTGTTGCTGGGGTCCTAACATTTTGTATGAACCAGAACTATACAGGAGAGCACACATACAGCCTTCCCCAATGGGGTCTGATCAGAAAACCCAGTAACATACATACCTGGCTTGTGCACCATGTGAATCTGCTTAAACATTGTCTTGTACCAGTCCTTTGGTCTGTCAACTGTCTATAAAAGAGAATGCCCAATGGTTAAAAAAACTGGTTCCAAATCAACAGTGTTCCTCAGTGTTTTTCTTTCTATATTTTATCTTTTCTCAGAGCAGATTTCTGTTCTGTGATTTTAAAAAAAAAACATCTATCTCATGATGGTAGTACCAGCAACTTATCCAGTTATGCAGGCAGCTTGTAAATATGGTTATCCTTTGTTTGAGTTTAGGCTGAATTGGAACATCATATGCTATGGTTTTAATTTTTCTGAATCATACTGTGCCCAGCCTTAGATACTTGATGTTTGCACAAGCATATTTATATAAAATTCATGGACTAGAAGCTGTGGTGTTGTAATAGTTTGCTTACCTCCTTTTGGTGATGATTATTATTATCCTTAAAAACATTTTAGTGAGCGTTCTGGCCAAGACATTATTTCTAGAATTAACGAGGGGATATTTTTGACTTTCAAACTCTATTCTTATCAGCTTAAATTTAGAGAAATAAAAATATGATATTTATTAGCCTAAATTACTAACATACTGAATGTACATAGTCCGGAGTACATAGTCTGGAGTCCTGCAGCAAATCTAAAAAGATGTAAATATTGTTTAGAAAGTTTTTAAACATGCTAATAAAATGTATGTGACCTTTGCCTAGCTAAACTGTAAATTCCTTTAGAGTAGAAGCTCCTTGCACGCCCCTGGGTTGGGACACGGTAGAAACAGTGAACTGTAGTGGGAAGAAAAAATTAGTGTCAGCTCAACATAGATCCAAATCTTGCTTCCTTTAATTATTGTTGCATAATTCTTAGCCATATGAATTTGGACCAGTTAAGTAAGCTTTTAGGCCTCAATTTTTTCCTTTCTAAGATGAGATAATTATATCTATATCATAGGGTTGTTATGGAAATAGAAGGAAACCACATATACAGTAAGACCTAGAACGATACCTAGAATATAAGATATGCTCAATAGATAATAGCAGTAGGGAGCATTACATGTTTATAGAATAAAATAATGAATGAATCCAGGTTACTAGATGGAATGCTACCTGACTGTGCACCTGTGAAGGAGACCTGCACCTTTATAATCATTAATGATTTTGCTTGGCAAGATCTTTATCTCAACGTTTCCAGAAATACTCCAGCAAGAAACTCAATCATTCTGTGTATGGTAATAAATAAACTGGATTTTCCGAGACAGTTCTCTTGATATAAAATATTCTGTTAGGACTGCCACAAAAATATTCTCTTGTGCTTTTTATACTGAGCTTTGGTATAGACCTTATATCCTATTTTTTTCCCCTCAGAAATGTGGTAATTGCATTTTTCATCTGGAAACTGAGGAGTCTGTGCCATATCTAAATTTATTTTGAAATTTCCCCTCACAAATGTGGTAATTGCATTTTTCATCTGGAAACTGAAGAGTCTGTGCCATATCAGAACCTAAGGTATATGGTTCTGATAGTCACCATAAATATAGATTAACATTAAGAGCTACTTGACTTTGTTATGAATCACCTTATCATTCACTTGAGGCTCTTTCTGTAATGGAGAAGCTGAGGATATTGTTGATTGACCTTATATTCAGATGGTGGGAGCTGGCGAGAGGGGTGCAGTGATGAAGCAGGAGTCTAGTTATTATTTGCTGGGTATTTATTTATTCATTCATTCATGAGAGACACAGGGAGAGAGAGAGGCAGAGACACAGGCAGAGGGAGAAGCGGGCTCCATGCAGGGAGCCTGACGTGGGACTCGATCCCGGGACTCCAGGATCACGCCCTGGGCCAAAGGCAGGCGCTAAACCCCTGAGCCACTGGGGCTGCCCTATTTGCTGGTTTAAATACAGTAGCTGAACATGTGTCTTTAAGGGACGTGTTCATAAAAGATCAATTTCCCTTTCGTTAAGTTTTATTTCCTTTACGTACTCAGCCATAGAAAATAACACCTAACTTTGTGCCAACATGTTGCCCAGCCATACCTGGACACAACCAATAGCAACAAGGAAATCTAATAAGTAAGTTATATCACTGTATATGGCAATGTGTCTTGACAGACAGGATTTTTTTTTCTTCACTTGCTGGAGGGCACGTATCAGGCAGGAGCTCAGTTGTGCCATCTGCTAGCTTTATATGGTGAGCACAGAGATGCCAGGAAGTGCCCAACTGGTTGGCAAAGAGGAACGTGAAACTGGTAAAAGGCAACGCTAAAACTCTGTGTCCCTTTCTAAATGAAGCACTCTAAGCATTTAAAGTCTCTTTTATAAATGGCGTCATGGACATGTTATGGCTGAGATTGAGGCCAAGGAAATAGACGTCTACTCAAATTGAAGGAAGTTTACTTTCGTATGTGTCCTTCAAGGTTATCTTTGTGTGAACAGTTAAACTACTAGCAATTCAGGATTCAGTTGTTTTCTGTAATTTTGGCAGAATGCACCTGAATTTTACATTTCTACAGTTTACAAAGTATCAGAACTCTACATTGATTTATCATGCAGAGATTTCCAAAAATGGGAAAAGACACAGATTTCCTACACAGGAGTATACAGTGATTCCATTCTATTTTTGCCCTCTCTAGCTTTGAAAAGGCTCAAACGGTGTTATATTTGAACTAGAAGAAAGGAATCTTGTATTTCACTTAACTAGCTGGCTTTAATTAGACAACCTCCTGAGACCTGAACCCTAGTGATTTTTGTTGTTGTGAAGAATGGCAGTAAAAGGCTAACACAGACGACCCAGGTCACCTGAGAGAGGGCAGACCGGGAGCCTTCATTCAAATAACTCAAAGGTACATTTGTCGACTTTTGGCTTTCTAGAGTTTCTAGTTTACTTTACAAAATTCTGTTTCCTTGGTATAGGCTAGTTGTCTAAAATGAGACTATAACATGATACACTGAGACAGGACTGCCTTTGGTGGATACACGGAGCAGAAAGTCCGTGTGAAGCAATTCGAGTCTGATAATCATTACTTTCTACACGGATGAGAAAGAAAAACAACCTTGGAGATTCTTGGCCTGCGGTGGCTCAGAGATGGCCTGACTCAACATTTATAAACACAGCTATACTTGGGGATGTGCTCGGCAAGCCTGGAAAATAGGGACCCGTGAATAAGAGTCTTCACAGACCTGTGCCTTCTTTGCAAAGTTTTAAAAGTCTAAATAAGAGCACGACTGTACATAAAAATTAGGGTTCCTTATAAGGAACGTCTGGGCTGTTTATATTTCATTTTCCATTTTGTAGAAAGGAAACTAGCATCGAATGTTTAGTACATGTATCTGCTGATGCATATCTAAACATCTAAACTTGCATGATTTGCAAGTAGAGAGACAATATAGAATTTTAATACTACTTGATTTTCACTAACTACGATGTCTGTTTTTTTTTTTCCTTTTGAAAACTAGTAAGCAAGTAAGCAAGTTCTTGCTATTTAAGAAAATTATGTCTTATGGATAAAAATAAAATTGGCCCAGTTTTTTGTGTGGTTTTTTATATATCATTTATCAAGTTAAAGACACACCCAGATATCTCAGATAACAATCCTTTCAGACAAATCTATAACAACATAGAACCAGGGAATCTCCTAATTTGTGTATATACTGTGACTTGAGGGTCAATGAAACAAAACCGACGACACCATTCCTGTCTGACACTGCATCCTTCCATTATTTGGAAAAGAAGTTTCAAATTTAACCATTTTGAGTCAGAAAGCTTAAAAGGGAAACAAATGACAAAACACCATCACCAGAAACATATAGTTGTCATAAGGCTGTTAGTCACAATCCCTGAACTTTTTCTATTACTTTACTTAAATACGACAATCATCAGCTCCAATATAGATTTTTCTAGGACTTTATAATTAGCCACATTCAACGTTCCCAGCATCTAGCAGAGTCCACAACCCCAGCAACTGTGTGCAGATTGACTTTCTGGCTTTCAATTCTAATACAGATGCTTGGAATAATCGATTTCTAACTCTTCTCTCAGAACACGGAATCCCCATGCGAGAAATGCAGTCTAACCACTGCTTTTTTCCCCCTGATCTTTTTCCCATTCTTTTCCTCTCCCCACTATTGTCTTTGGCCCCCCAGGGTTCGCATTCCAGGGAAGCAGCTCTTGGCAACAACCCCGCCAGGTATGTGGCTGTTGCAGGCACGTGAGTGCAGCCTGCGCCCACTTCTTGCACATCCCCCCAGTTCACCTGCAGAGATGCTGCTGCTCTCATCCTGGTTTCCAGAGTCTTCCTCCTGCCGTCTAGCACAAACCTTCTCTGCGAGTAGACTGGTCAGCGAGCCGCTGCCTGCCCAGGCTCTCAATAGCTGTCTCTGCTGCTGCGGAGCTTTGCCAGAAGGGGTTGCCCTGACACACTGAGCAATACTTTGGCAGAGTTTAAAGACTTAAAAAAAAAAAATCCAAACACTTTCACTTATCATCACTGAGGGCTCACAGCAGGCACAGCTGAAGAGGGACACGAAAATGTGTATTTCTCTTCACAGTTTTTCCTTTCCATGACATTAACTCCCTTCACTCCAAAATCATCTCACCTCCCAAAGCCCAATTCACAGCTCCCAATCTCCTGGATGTGAACACACATCCATTTGAAGAAACAAATCACTGGTTTATTTGCCATGCACGTGGGAATTCAACGCAGCCAAAGAATTCGCATTTTCTTGTTCTTTCTCTTTTGTCTCTCTATGGCCCTGACACTCGCTGGGAAAAGGTAGAACAAAACAAAACATACCTTTATTGTTTAACAAGATCGCAATTTTCATGATTTTCAATTAGAATGCAAACCCAGATTGTGTGATTAGCTTCGATTGACAAGTTCTCTTTCTCCGCCACACACAGTATAATATTCATGAGAACTCAGATGGCACAGAGGGCAATCCTCATTATATAAGAGCGTAGGAATGCACAAAGCCATCGACAATCCATCCTTTGTGGAGTCTGTGCACAGCCCTGCAGCAACGCACACCCTGGCATTCCCTACCGTTCTAATTGCTGTGGGGATTCCAGATTCATCCACGGGCCCGATCCCTGGGTAGTGCGGGGCTTTGATGACGGTCACTCGCTTCTCCTCCTCTGAGGATCTGTACAGTGGAATGGAGCTGCCCATGGTGCCGTCCAGAGACTGTGCGTGCTGGGGATATGCCTCGGTGGAATCTGCGGAGACAGTTTGGGGACATATAATGTATTTGAGGCAAAAGGAATCATAAATTGATGATGTGCCTCTTGCACAGTGATGCCAACTCTATCATGGGGTTTATTTCCATCACTATCTCTTTTAACCCATTTACCCTCCATTCGAGCCACCTGTTGTTATCATGGAGCTATGTACCCAACAGGATGCTAGCAACAAGGTCCTTGTCATTTTCGGAAGAAGGTTGAGAGGAAGAATAGCATTTGCTGAAAGTCCCAAATAGCATCTGGGACGCCTGGGTGGCCCAGGGTGTGACCCCGGAATCCCAGGATCGAGTCCCACATTGGGCTCCCTGCATGGAACCTGCTTCTCCCTCTGCCTGTGTCTCTGCCTGTCTCTCTCTCTCCCTGTGTCTCTCATGAATAAATAAATAAAATCTTAAAAAAAAAAAAAAAGACTGTGTGACCCTGGGGTAGTCACTGTGTTAAGAAATGACTTTAAAAAAAATTTTTTTTAAATTGGAGTTCAATTTGCCAACATATAGCATATCACCGAGTGCTCAACCCGCCAAGTGTCCCCCTCAGTGCCCATCACCCAGTCACCCCAACCCCCCTTCCACTCCCCTTCCACTACCCCTTGTTCATTTCCCAGAGTTAGGTGTCTCTCATGTTTTGTCACCCTCACTGATATTTTCACTCATTTTCTCTCCTTTCCCTTTATGCCCTTTCACTAATTTTTATATTCCCCAAATGAATGAGACCATATAATGTTTGTTCTTTTCCGATTGACTTATTTCATTCAGCATAATACCCTCCAGGTCCATCCACGTCAAAGTAACTGGTGGGTATTTGTTGAAGAAATGACTTTATATGTATCACCTCATCTTATCCTTCTAGTATGTTTGGCTCCGTTTTATAGATGAGGAGGCAGGAACTGAGACATTAGTATTCTTGTGACATTGCTGACTACTATTATTTAAAAGTGCAGAAATGTCCTCTGAGAACAAAAGATATGACTGGTGAGTATACAGCTGCAATTTCGTAAAAGTAAACTGAAAACAAAGATCACATTAGGACATCTCCACATCCAAAAAAAAAAAAAAGGAAATCTCCATATCCAAACATGTACTTACATGTGAGCGCTTATGGATTAAATAAACAATTTTAAATCATTGGTGTTGATTCTTATTTAAGTAGCCACTATGGCCATAATGTTTTTGCTTTTACTTTAAAATACCAAAACCCACGACTTCTTGCCCCTTGAGTATAAAAATTGCCTTAAGCATAAAAATTAGTTGAGATTTATCATGTTCCTGTCTTCATGCCATGTTTATTAGCTTTTAGTATATTTTCATAAGAAACAAAGAGGACTTCGTGTACTATATATTCCACTTACAGATAATTCACAGATATTTATGAAGGTCAACATTATTACCATTCATTGGGCACAACTGATAATATTGCTCCCTGCTTTTTTACACTAAATTTCAAAATTTTGGTGAGCAAGACTGATTCTTGACATAGTCTGATCCAGTACTCAGGAAGGTCTCTTTCTATGTGGATATGGAAAAGTTCTAGTGTTTCAGGGTAGCGTTAATTGATTACATATATATGTGTGTACATGTATATCTATCTATTCATCTCAAAAGCTATGACTGTGTTTTTGTAACAAATTTATATAGAACTTCACAAGTAAGACTTAAAAGGATTTAACTCATCAGTATAAGGGAAAGTACAGTGAGGACCCCTATAAGTTAAAATCTATTATAATATTTATAAGTGCTATCACTATTATTATGGCTATGTTCAATTGAGTTTGCAGTGGAAAAGTATTTTCAATCTGTTGCTGATGAAGAATGGTTTCATGTGCCATTGTACATAAAAGCAGGATCCTTTTCAAGCCAACTCTAAATTACGACACAATGTGGTATTTGATTCTGATTTCCCATTTAATCCCCAAAAGGATTTGAGTAGGGAATCATGATGGTGGTATTTCTCCTAAAAAAAAACAAATATTTTTTAAGTACTTCATATGTGCAAAGTCCCAGCCTAAGCAAACAGCATTAACTCTGTCTTCAAATATGGTTCACAAGATTCAATGAATTGATAATTACATGATACAAATTTAGACCTTTATTTTTTTCCATAGGTGCACTAACAGTCATTTTTGTAGTCTTTTGTCCTCAATATAAAGTTTATTTAAGGCAGGAGAGATGTATATACGCTCCTCAGGACCTATCTTGGCACTGGCCGATTGGAATCTGCTCCATGTGTTTAGATAGGGAATTTCTTTCCATGTAGAATGGTTTGTCTACACACTGATATGTTCTAATATGAAAGCCTGTCTGCATTCAAGGATTTATGTATTCTATTTCTTGGGGTGGGAGGGACAAGTCATATTTATTAAGACAGATAATGAAGACAAAAAGTCAGACTCTGATAATTATTTGGGGAAATATTATGGCCTAGAATAACTTACAGTTTTACTATAGATGTGTGATAATGTATAGCTGTGTAAAAAAATCTAGGTATAATGGGCTCCCATCATAATACTGCACCATGGACTGATGGTTTAAGAGCAACTTCATGGCACAAAGGTATTCTACTTTCTTATACTCTAAAGGACCTCATTCTAAGATTCACAGATGATCCCCAGGAGCAGCATTAGAGAAGGCACAAGGATATTTAGACTTTTCTTTAATGAGTCTCAGGGCTACATGTAAATGTAAGACAGGTTTTGTTGACCACAGAAGTTGAGATCCACAGTGAGCATGCTGAATGTTCCTGGGTAAGCTGATGACATCATGTTTTTCAACAAACAGGGTTGGGGAAGATGAGGTCCTGCCTGCTGTCAAAAAGGAAATAGGGGTCAAAACTTCATGTTCTAATTTCTTTCTGTTGCTGGGTGGTGGTAGCCAGAGCACTGGTCCTCTCCTGCTTTTCTGAGAGGTGTGCTGCTGGCAAACTTTCCACCGCCTTCCTCCCTGCTGTCTGGAAGCCTTCCAACCACTCAGCATCATGGAAACTTTCTCAGCATGAATTCGGATGATGGTTTGATCTGGTTTGATTTTTAGTGTTTTGATTTTTTTTGACATTCTTAAAACTAAGAAATACTTCTGTTATTTTCTAAATAGTCCTAATGTATTTTGCCACATAAAAATATCTGTTATCGTATAGTACAAGTTCTTATCCAGGAGGCTTCAAAAAGAGGTCACAAGTTCCATGAAATTATATGTTTAAAATTTTTCCTTATGAATGTTCAAATGTTCATTTTTTTTTCTGGAGGAGACCTCTCTTTCATCCAATTCTTAATTTTCAAAGGATTAAGAACTCTCTATAACATTCAGGGCTCATTATTGCAAGGAACTCATATCCCTAACCGATGGTCTTCTGGTCTTAGTTTGAAGAGCAGTTTATTACTTTGTGAGGCAGTAGTTTACTGTTTACTCTTTGGTGAGGCAGCCTGTTCCCTTTTTAGACTGTTTTAACTCTTTAACAATTCTTTATATATACCAACACAAATTTCTACAATGAAAACTTTTCCACAAAAGAATAGGCTCTCTTGAACATGGATGGTATTTGCCATCCAAGGAAACGTGCTGTATGAATGTTTTGGTCATGTGAATTCTCCTGCCTATCTGGCCACGTTTTTCTTTCTAACCCAAACCCCAAATGCCTAATAGCCTCGGAGGTAGATACAATCATTGTCTTGGAAGAGCTGGATGCCTACTTTTCCAGTGTTGAATCCTCTGCTCTTAATTCCTCCCCTAGGATAGCATCATTAACTAATGGTGTGTTGAATGTTTCTTCCTCCTTTTTTTAAAAAAAAATTACTCTGGTATTTTTCTCATGTGGTTTGTACTTGCTATATTGAAATTGTTATGGAAATCACGACTATCAAATGACTCACCAAGTGACCGGCCATGCTGCATGATAATGCTGGAATTGAGCGAGCCTGGGAGAGAGTAAGCTGAAGGGGAAAATGGCCTTTGATAGTAACTCATTGGACTCACAGCGCCTCCAGAGCTTCCATTCACTGTTATCTGGCTCTGGGAAAAGAGCAAAGACATCCTGTTATAGCACATAGTCCCCTGTAAACATCATTCCTTTAGATGACAATAAAAGACTTATACTCACATGACAGTAATCAGCTGTCAAGTGTTTATTTACTTTGAAAACTGATGTCTACAGGGATGGGGTACATTTTTTCAATGTCTTCTCTATCCCCCCTTATTTCTGAAATCACTGTCTTAGATGTCAGAGGGCACAGGAGGTAATTAGGAAGAATAGAATCAGCTGACCATTGGGCATGCCACTCTGCCAACAGAGATGCCAAAAGTATCAGTGGGAGTCAGTATAAAATAAACGTGGAGGGTGAATTTGCTTTTATAGTCGTGACGGGTGGTCAGAACATTGTCACACTGCTCTGCATGAGGGATTTGAAATGAATCTTCTTTGACAGGAAGAAGGAGATTGGTTTTCAGGCTTAGGGATATCCTCCAGTGGATGGATGTTTCTAGGCAAGCTGATAATATGAGGAACACAACTGTTTGGATTTATTTATCATGAAGCAATCTATTCCAGAAGAATCAGATTTTGTGATAAAAAAAATTAACCCCGGCTTTCCATTTAGCACTTTATGAGCCTTTTTTTTGTTTATTAATAATTCATTATTTTGATTGCTTTATAGCTGGGTATTTTATATCCCCAGTGATATCTCAAGATACTTGTCATATATAAGTTTCTATGCATTCAGTCTGGTGCTAATAACATAGTAGATATTTAATAGATATATATTCTGATTGAACTGAATTGAATTGGATCAGCTGAGTTCACAGAGGTTGGGCTCACTCCTATTAAGGATGCCTCTCCATCCACAACACAGCATGGAGCATGATGGAGATTACATAATGCATGCAGATGAGACAAAACGTTAGTGAGAGCATTTAGTTAAAATACCTTACAGCTGAATACGCACAAACACACACGTGCACATAAAGAACCATCATTTGTGAACTTTTTCTACTTATTTTAAAACAAATTAAACTTGTAAAATATAGGCCTGAAATGTAGGTAGTCAATTGCATATTTCCATGAATTTTCACTTTAAAGCAGATGTTTTGAAATGACCCAGGAGTTAATTTAATTTCATTGTTTTATAGCCATACCACATCTGTCCTACAATCAACATTCCACTATAATGATTGTGCTTACTGATTAAGTATTTCTCTAAACTCTTGCAGAAACCACTCTCATGTCACAAGCCACCATATATCTTCTAGATCTGCTACCTAAAGAGCACTGGGCATTCAAACGATGTGAGGTGCTGGCCTACCCAAATGCTTCAGGGCCTGTCTGTAACTTTGACGGATTATGTGAGTATATTTTTGCCACCATGTCCAAACCAGTTGGTTCTTTGTAAATATAATTGTAATACTATTATTATAGGGTGTTACAATGAATGTTAAAATGTTAAAAGCAGGCAGAATAAGCAGAATTCTTATTAAAAACCATTACATTAATTTGTTACTAAACTTAGGGAAATTATCTTGAATCTTATTTTGACAGTTCCAGTAACATTGATTACAGGTTAAAAAAATATTTATTTATATTTACTGCAAATAGACTTAGGCTTTCATTGTGCTAAACCAACTAGGAGTTTACTAATGAAATAATATCATAGAATTTTAGAAAATACTTTGTTGTAATACTGAAATAATTATTAGGAAAATAATCTCGTGGAGAATCTAGGTGCAATTTAAATTGCAACTTGAAACTAGGTTCAGTTACAATTAGCTCTGAAGGTGCCCACAAGACTATATGTATGCCTTTCAGGCTCCTGAAGAGGTTTTTTTTTTTTTTTTTTTTTTTAAGATTTTATTTATTTATTCATGAGAGACACAGAGAGGCAGAAACATAGGCAGTGGGAGAAGTCCTCACAGGGTGAAGAGTCTTAAACATAGCTAATTAAATCAGTTAGTACCTAAATTGATATTCTATCACTGTTCTGTATCTTCGGTTAAAGGCCCTACCATTTTTTAAAGTTTTAAAAGTAAAGAACTATTGAAAATCCAGTAAGACATGGAGAGGCCCAGGTCTGCTGAGCTCCTGGCTGTAGTGGTAGGTGGGGTGTACCCTGGAAAGTGAGGTATTTTTTTTAATCTTTTTTCTGTAGTCCAGTTACTAACTGGAACATTTCACAGCCAAGTTTTATATCTAGCCATTGAATGAATACTAAACCCCATCTAAAGCATTGTTAAATATTTATGAAAGATACTAAAAAGTATATTTTGTCTTCTGTGATTGCAATGTCCTGAAAAACACAAGGCTTATATTACTCCACACATGAAATTTTCAGGTTTATGTGTCAAGGTTTATGACCTTGACACAACATAAAGAGTATGTATCACAACTAAAATTTTGTTTATAATGGTGCATATTTCGAACTTCATTATGAAATTAGTTTTAGAAAAAAAATCCCCCCCTTTTTTTTTGCCTAAAGTGATGTACCTTTCAAAGTGAAGCCTTTATCTACATATTACATATGACTGAAAATCTGTACCTTAAAATTTCAAGGCATTTTAGTCATTCACTAATCATTTATTGGGGACAACTTGTCATATAGACACATTTAAATGATGTCATATGTGTAGGGTTTATATATTGCTCTAAGTGGAAAAGAAATTACTGATATATAAAACTGTAAATGAAATCACAAATTTCTATGCCAGAGTTGCTCAAGAAAAATAATTCCAAAAAATCAGAGGGCTAAATTTCTGCAGTGCAGGCTAAGAGTATTTACATCATTCACACCTGTTAGACAGTTAGGTTCAAAAGATGTAGCTGTTAGTGAGAGAGAAACAAGAATTTGCATCATGTGGTCAACAATTGTTAATGTGAGAAACAAGGCTATACGAACTATTCACACAGGACACACTCGTATGAGAATTTGCTGCTATCTACTAGGATTTAAGGCTGGGTTAAAATTTTTGAGAATTTTTAGACTTTCCCTATAATCTAACCATCAGAATGTTGTATGTATATGTATCTAAATTTCTGAGATAATTTCTTCTTTGAGAAAACAAAATCTTATCAAGGCAAATCACTGTACAACTCATTAGAGAGCAACATGGTGTAAATATAAATGACTCCAAAATGAGTGAGGAGAATATAGTTGACTTTCTTCTCAAAGGAGGCTTATGAGGATGACTGTCAAGGATTTTTGGGATGGACTGTATGGAATTGGCTTAGATATAATTTGCACCTATGTGAATAAAAGTGCTTGGCAGCAAAGATGGCAGACAAGAAATCAATTAGTCCTTGTGTTTGGTGGATGGGAATCTGTATAAAAAGTGGTGCAAGCAAAGGAAGGAACAATAATTGCAAGCATGGCAGCAGTGGAGATCACGGTGGTGCCAGCTGTTACGGCAAACCTCAGACCCACAGCTGGGGATGGTTTCAGCTACCTGAGCTCATCTGGAATGGCAGGGGGTGCTCACTGGAGGGGCAGGACAAGTCGGTAGTGAGACAGCCTGCAGTGTAGATGTGGATAAAGAGGTCAGGAGCAAGGAGAAGGGGTTTATAAAAAGCAGTGAGAGGATCAGGGGTCTGTGCAGCTATGGAGGCCTCAAATCAGCAGGTGGTGGCAGCGACAGTGACTTGGCTGGAGTCACCCTTGAGTAAAAAGTGGCTCAGTTCAAAAGCACCATAGAAGGAAGGCGTGAGGAAGAGGCTTCTGGTGTGCTTTGTCTGTGTGTGTGTGAAGCATTTACCTCCAGCACATTGGCAGTTAAGTTCTGGTTTCCAGGCTAAGTTTGAGGGAAAAATAAAAGAGATATAAATTATCCAGTTAATAAAAACATCTCTTTTTGCAATGTGCCAGAGAAGGCTTTATTCAGCTTTAACATCAGCTGTATTTGCAAGCCTTTAAGGAAGACATTCAAAGGATTAGGTGCCAACACACAGTATAGAACAAGCATGAAAACATGAAGAAAATGAATCCAATAAGTGTTTTTGGAAATAAGACCAGTTTTCACACGGCACTGCATTGTAATTTTCAGTGGGAGCTTTGAGAGTATTGGCGTAATGGAGTTATTCTCTCAGAAGTTTTGTGTTTTGTATCCACGACAGCAAAATAATATCAGGTTGTCTATTGGTTAGAGAATTCATTTCCCTTCAACAGAAAAACTCTTATTGCAGATTTCTCCTTACCACCTCCCCCCCACCCGGAAATTGTCCCTAAGATATAAAACAGGTTGCCTCATGGTTTTTTTTTTTTTTTTTCCTGACTTAAAAGTCTAAGGAATGATGAACTAAAAACAATTGGGTGGAAAGAGAATTTTGTTTCCTTTCCACTCAATGACTCTCTTTTTAAAAAAATTTCACTATAAGATACTAAGAGAATTGAACTTTAAAATATCCGAGCAGTGCAAATAGAGGTACCTGTGGGTGAAAATGAAGTGGACACAAAAACCAGCCCCTGATGATGATTAGAAGTTGCCCTAGTTGGTTAGAGCTGCTGCTGGTTTTAAGTCTTAGGTAAAGGAGAAAGAAACTGGAGAAATGAAAGGTTTAATACCTCCAAGGCTATATAACCTAAGAGGCTAAACATGGTGGTGGTGGTGGGGAGGATGGTCTGTGAAAGGAAGAGAGTGGATGGCCCATTACAGGGTTTGTAAGTGTCCCTTCTGACTACTCTGATGTCTAGCAACACAGTCAAATATGATGATAAGCATCGGCCTCATCATGAGTAAATGAAACTCTAAAGCAAAAATTTTTTTCTCGACTCTTTCCTTCCCCTGTCGGAAGAAAGGTCTTTTTGAGTGTTGATGTGGAGCCAGTTGTAAGACAGATAGCCAGAAGTAGTATGGGGCATTAATACAAAGATAGGGAATAAATTAAAGAAGACTGTATACATTTAGAAATCTTGCCTGTTAAAGGTTTAAATGGCATTAATTGGTGTTCTTGGCCAGCCATCATTATAATAACAGTTGATGTCACAGTGGCTATTGATCTCAAAAAAGGTCATAATTAATTCTTTTTCTCAGACTTTTAATTGGATTTAAAAAAATCAAATATATCTCTTTCGTTTAGTCATAGACACCTTAAAAAATCTGAGGAAAAACTATTGATTCTCCTGAGGGAAAATACACAAATTCATATATACATAAAATTCTCGATAAATGTAAGGGGTTCGTGGATACTGGAAAGCACATTCTTAATCTAACAAGTTAAGAAATTCCAACCCTAAAAAAAAAAAAAAAAAAGAAAGAAAGAAATTCCAACCCTGGATAAAAAGACAGATATCCTTATTTTATTTTTATTTAATAAGATTTTTGTTGTTGTTGTTTAAACACACTTATTTTAAAGGTGATACTTTTTTTTTCTGTATACAGTTTTAAAATCTCTAGAATTAACTGACAGAAATTTTCAAGTTAGCCAGAACTTAAAATTTTCTAGTAGGAAGATATCCATGTTATTAGTAAATTTTTATAATAAGGTAAGTAAAACTGTATTATAGTGAAGTAAAACTATAATGTTATAAAACTACAGTAATTATAGTTTAAAATTAGAATCTTGCTAGAGGTCCAAATGCAATTCAGTATAAAGCTATCTTGGGTGAGGATAGTGTCTGTAGAATTTCTCATAATAATGCAGTTTCACTAAGGTGTTTTCCATATAACATCCAGTCTCTTTAGTTTTGCTTATGCTAAGTGAAAACTTTGTTAGATAATAGATAAATCCTGCCAAAGGATTTGAGTTATATGCTCAAAAGAGTTTTTTCTCTTCAAAATTAAAAGGAAAATCTAATGATTGTAACCCTCACTGGACTGGTTTCCCTACTGTATGTACCCTTTTAGAGTTGATACATGTCAAACACTAAAGCCTACTCTTTCTCTAGAGCCACCATTGTCATGGGTAATGTGATGAATTTATTTGTATAGCATTATGTGTAGGAATGGTTTTTACCCATTCATTTGTTCTTCCAAGAGAGTGCAGAACTATTTCATTTTTTGAACTTTTTTCACTATCTGCTGATATATTCACAATTTTAAGTCTTAACGTATGGGTATGTTAACAGATGAAATAACTGTTGGTGAGTCATACCACACTTAAATTGCTTTAGATAAAACTAAGACATCAAGTCTATAGGCTACCTACACAAAAGCAAAAGCTGTGAAATATTCTGTCGTAAAGATGTAAATTATGTCTTAGACTAGTTTTTTATCCCGATCTTATTAATGAAATTCTCTCTTAGACACAGCAGGAGAGAAAACCACATTATACGTGTTTCTCTGGGGAAAATGTGGTAAGAGAGTAGGAAGAAGAGCCTGCAAAGGCAAGAGGAAGTATGTTGTTCGCCTGGATCACTTAGCATAGGAAAAATAGCTTAAAAGAAGAGTAATTTTTTTCCTACTGAATTTTATGGCAGACAGACAGAGAACTACAGAAAATCATCTTAGTTGTTTTTTGTCTCCATCTTTCAAGACATGTAAGGTTCAAGTGTTTGACAATAGGCCAAGACTCACCAACTTTTGTTTTTTTCCCCTTATCTCCAATTGTTGATCTATGAGAGAGGAGGGAGCTAGAAACACCAGTTTGGTGCTCCTGGTTTCTACAAAGAAAAGGCACTTAAACCCCAAGATACTTAACATCCTAAGAAAGAGCACTGGGTTATTCAAAATAGCACTGAATATCTTGGTCCAAATAAATTTGACCCGAAATGCTAAGGTGAAGCTGTTGATGAAAGAGAACGCTAACTCTAGGTTGGGCTCCTTGAGGAACTAAGGAACAAGGAGACTCAGGAAGGATGCGTTTGAGCAATGGAAAAGGTGAATTGGTGGTTTGTATGCCTTGCCAACTCAAGTACCCACTCTGGGCTGGGAATGTACCCAGAATGTGCAGATAAGACCAGGCATTAGATAAGAGGGAATAGTGGGACCATGGTGGGGTGGAGAAGGCATGTTCCTCCTGACAGAAGCCAAATTAAAAATGAACTCAGGAGCAAGCAAACAAAACATATACACTATACTTGAATCCTTTGTGGTACTCAGATGGAGAATATGATTTTGAATCATGGGAAGTTGTCATATTTTAAGAATGGTGCCAGAAGATGGGGTTCAAGAGTCAGGTCATATCAGAAAAGAGACACAGTGGAAGTTGCTGGTTGAGCTGTAGATCTGGAGTTAAACTGGGGCAGATCCTGTAACCTCAGCTTCCTCACCTGTAAAATGTGGATATTAACTAAACCCTTCTAAAACTAGTGAAAATTAGGTGTGGAAATGTAAGTATGCAGTACAGTATCTGGTGTGTTTTCATAGCTCTCAATAAATGAGTCATTTTTAAGAAATTGAAATGCTCGGAAGCCACAGGAATGCTTTGCACAAAGCAAAGAGCAGGGTAAATAAACAAAAAATATGAAAGTTGTCATATAGAAAAGGGAGAGAATATCATCTCTTTTGCTCTGTGGGAAGAATATACAGAAGTTAAGGCAGATTATGACTTAATATTATAAGCACTTTCTCATAATTAGACTTGAGAATGGCTTGAGCCCTTGTCCATACCTAAGTGTATTCAAGAAGAGGCTCATGTTCATCTGTTTGGAGGTGCTGTGGGGGAGATCCTTGGTGATTTCTAAATTCTTATCGGACTCCAAAACATGCCTTACTGTTCAATCATTCAAAAACTTCACATGACATATGTTAGACATATGAAGAAATTGCCAAAGACCTGATCAACTAATAGCATAGCAGACCAATAAAGAAGTTGTGGGAAACTGGTTGGCTGACCTGATGGCATATATGAGTGAGCTGGGCTGGTACTTATGGGATTGGTCTAGAAAACCTACTCTATATTCTACACCTTTCCTATCATTCCACGCTGCTGACATTTGTTCATGACTCTGCCTTCCTTAATTTATATATCTTGATCCCATGGAGCAAAAGATATGACTTTTCTCCCTTTTCTACGTGACAGTCAGACTAATTTTCCTCTGAGTCTGCACCATATGGGCAGCAGCAGCTGTGAAAGTAAGGCTTTGGCAAATGATTGATTACGTTATTTCATAATAGAAGGGTCCAGTTTATCTTCCTGAAGCAAAGGACACAGCATTCACAAATGCCAGGGAAAATATTTAGGGTGTAGCTTTTGCTGTCTTTTCAAAGCTTCTGGCTTAGACCTTCACTTATCTGACATTGAAGAACAATGTGACATTTTTAGCAACAGGATATCTGTTCCCACAGTAACAGAAGGGTAACACATCTCATTTTGTATTCTCTCTATTTGTGACTTTGTAAGAAGATGAAAACATATGAAGTTTATAAAGCAATATGTTAAATTATCAAATATGGAGGGGATCAAAATGCCTGAAAGTAGGTTGCCGTTTTCTTCTTAAACCAATAGTCAGACTTTAATGAAAACAACAACAAAAAAATGTAAATGAAACTTGTACAACACCGAAGTTTCCTTTTCCCTTCTTAGTATAGAGAGTTTTTGTTTCGTGGGTCTGCTAATTTCTTGGGAGGCTAATTCTTTATTATAGAACCTATATTGAGCTGATTCATAGAGTGTAGCTTACAGCTCTTGGCATTTAATGAGAGTTCTTGCCAGAATGTGGAATGTAAGTATTTAAAATGAAAAGGTCACCATCGTAAGAGGCCATTACATGGAAAATGAGACTTAAAAATGACGTATATCAGCATAGGCAAGATATGGAAGCAACATGGATAAGCAGATGAATGGATAAAGAAAATGTGGTGTATGCATACAATGGAATGTTATCCAGTCTTAAGAAAGAAAGAAATCTTGTCACATGAGACATAGATGAACCTTGGGGACATTAGGCTTGGTGAAATAAGCCAGTCACAGAAGGACAAATATTGCATGATTCCACTCACATAAGGTATCTAAGATAGTCAACCTAGAGAAGCAGGGAGTAGAGTGCTGGTTGCCAGGGGCAGTGGTGTGGCTGGGAAAATGGGTTGCTGTTCAACAGGTAAAAAGTTTCATTCATGCCAGATGAACCAGATGAATAAGTTCTGGAGATCTGCTTTGTGGCTATAGTTAACGATACGGTATTGCACACTTTAAATTTTCTTAAAAGAGTAGATCTCATGTTAAATACTCTTGCTACCAAAAAAAAAAAAAGGTCAAAATTGCAACAATGTTATGCCACTTTTTGATAAAGTGCTATGAGAGACAACACACTGTCATTTTGGAACAGAGGGCAGAGCAGATGACATAAACTTTAATCCACTCATAAAAAATGCATTTTTGAAAACAATGTATTTCTTTTTCCCAATCAGATGCAGAGTTTGAAAAAGGGATATTATTTTATTTATTTATTTTTAAAGATATTACTTCTTATTTTAGAGAGAATATGTGTGTGTGCGGGGGGGCGGGGGTAGGAGTGGGGAGCAGAGGTAGAGGGAGAGAGAGAATTTCAAGGAGATTCTGTGAGATCTCGGGCTCAATCTCATGAACCTGAGATCATGACCTGAGCTGAAACCAACAGTAGGATGTTAAAAACCAACTAAGCCACCCAGGTACCTCAGAAAGGATATTATTTTTTTAAAAAAAAACAAGAACTACTACATGTTGAGGGATTACTATGTAGCAGGCACTATGCCAAACTCCTTATATATAGTATCTTACTCAAACCTCACTGCAGTGCTATGAGAGGAATGCTTCTATTATCCCCATTTTATAGATGAAGGACTGAGACTCAGGGTTGGGGAATCACCGGATGAAAGGGTTTACAATAATCACACCTTGAAAGGATGTCTCTCCAATTGCTCTTCTAGTGTCTTTTACGCCCACTCCAAGAAAGTCTCTGTAGCCACTACTAAGTCAAGGGTAAGTAAGCAGGATTCAGTGTACACTTGCCCTATCAGCAGTATTTGCTCGATTAAACATCCCTTCTCCATATAATTTCCTCACTAGGCTTTTAGGATACCACATGTTCCTGGATTTCCTTCTCCCTTAGGGAATGCTCCTTTTTATCTCCTTTCCTGGTTTCTCCTCTTACTATGGGGATGCTCTTAGACTTAGTCCTTGGGCCTCCTGTTTTCTCTGTACTCATGCTATGGTGATCTCATTCAGTCTCTTGCCTACAAAAACCATCTGTATGCCGATGGCTTATATCTCCAACCTAGACCTTTCACCTAAATGCCAGACTCCTATATTGGACTTCATACTTGGCCCCTCCATGTGGCTATCTAATAGACATCTCAAACTTACCATGTCCCAAAGGGAACCTCCAATCTTTCTTCAAACCATTCTACCCACAATGATCCAGTTTCTATGGACCAAGGATGGCAAACGGCATCCTTCTCAGTTGCAAAGACCCAAACCCTTAAGGTCAACCTCAACTCTTTTCTTTCATGTCCCACATGCAGCCAGTTAGGAAGTCCTCTTTTCTCTGTTTTCAAAATACATCCAGACTCTGATTTCTCACCACCTCTGCTGCTTCCACCCTGCTTCAAGGCACCCTCATTCCTCACTTAAATGGTTGCAAAAGCCACCTGACTGGCTTACGCATTCTCCCTCTTGCCCTACTGTAGTTCTCAATTAAGCTGCCAGAATGATTCAATTAGATGAGGGGTCAAATAAAAATTGTGGGCTAAAAATCTTTCAATGACGCTCATTTTTATTGAGAATAAAAGTTGAAATACTGCAATGGCTTGCAGGAATTTCTGTCATTTGGTCTCTGTTACCTCTGACTTCACCTCTGCTTAATCTATGCCTTATTTTCTTCCTCTTCTTTCCACTGGATTCCTTGCTGGTCCTTGAGCAGCCCCAGCATACTTCAGCTTTAAAACCTTAGCACCAGATGAGCTCTCTCACATGACTGAGCTTCCCCTTCAAAGTCATTTTGTCTTCTCAATGAGGATTCTTTGACTACCCTAAATAACATGAACTCTGCTCCCCAGATCTCTGCTTAGCATTGCTTAGTTATTTATATAATCTCCCTCTGATGTATGCAATCTACTTATTTCAGTTTTTATTAATATTTTCCCCTCCCTGGAAAGATTTTAATTATCAATGGTTTCAAATACAGCTCTGTGACTAGGACAGACTTGACACATAGTAGATGCCCAATAAATAATTGTTGAATGGAAAAAAAAGTATGAGAATCTTAATTTGTAGATCATGCTGATCCTCTGGGGATTATGTGATGAAACCAACTATTCTGGTCAGTATGGATAGGGACAAAACCTATGGGAAAAAAAAGTTATCAAACTTAAATTTCAAGCATAATAAAACCATTTAGAAGAACCAAACTGTTAGATGAGTAAATGGAGTTGTTAATGTGGTGGTGTTTGCTATGACTTCTATCCTGCTTGGTGGAGGCGCATGTTCTGGGACACAACTAATTTTGCTCTCTGACACTGGCAGATCCCTGTTTGCAGATCCCTGATTTTGCTTCCCACCTCATGGGATCGTGGAAGTTATTAATAAATATAAATAAGTTGTAACAGTGCCTGCATATAATAAACTCTTAGTATTTGCTAGTTGCTATTCTTGTTATCTTGTTTATCATATTTCCTAGGGGCTTTCAAGAGATATTATCTTAACTCAAAGAAATTTCTCTAACAAATTAGTTTTGCCTATCATAATTAGCTGATGGAGATATTTTAGAGAGATATGAAAATACCCATTTGTTTTTTTAATCATCTAAGCTTAAGGTTTCTGCTTTACAGATGAGGAAGGGATGGATTTGAACTGAAATCTGTTTATCCTTAAAGTATATGCTCTTGAAATTACACTGTTTTTGCAGAAACCAAGAAGAGAAACACACTTCACTTTTAAATGATGAAAAAACATCAGCAGAATGACACTATGAGGGCATTTTGCAGGTAGGAAAATAAACATTTACTTTCTAACAGTCTGAGTATTAAAGATCAATGAATATGCTTTCTGAAATAAATCTCAAGAGGCAGAAATCGATCAAGATTCGGTGAAAATTAAAATTGAGCTACAAAGGAATAAATGCTGGTTGAATTAAGATACATGTTTCCTGCCAAAGTGAATTATAATTGCTAATTATTTTGAGACTTTATACATATAAATAAAGTAAATCTAGGTACTCAGAGGTCTGGCATAAAAAATATTTCTGTAAAACTTAAAAGTACTTTGAGCACTGAAGTGGTTTGCAAAGTCTTAAGCAACAACCAATCCATCACTGACTTCTAATAAATTATTAGAAGGAATAAATTTTATAACATGGTTTCTGGATAAAAGATCTGTGTGTATACATATATACATATATATGTGTGTGTGTATACATATATACATATAAATGCACATTTATATATATATTACTATTTCTTGATTAAAAGGTACTTAGAAATTTCTTGATGAATTTAGTAGGATTTTAAATAGGAAGATGAGGAAGATGGTTTCTTTCTCCTTTCCCTTCCTGCTGGGAGACTAACAAAGCATTAGGTTATAGAAGAAGCCCAAAGCAAAGGAGTTAGGGTCTCTACTGAACACCTGTAACAAGAGATTGGAAAGTGTAATGTACCACCCGGCAGTCTGAGGACTGAGAGGCCGCAGCAACTGCAGATTTTTGTCTCTCTTGCTGAAGAGGTTTCTTTGTAGTCTCTGGAGAAAGCTCAGGTAGCTGTTTGTGGCTTTTAGGATCGTGTCCTGAAACGGGAGTTATCTGAATGGAAAGAGATGCTGTGTGTATCTCAGGCACTGGGTTAGGGGGCGGTGAGCAAGGCCTTTTGGGGAATGATGGTACTTCCACAGATTGGGAAAACTGTGGAGTATTAAAGTGGACATTACTTCCTACATCCTGGTTATGGATTAGTTTCAATGTAGAAATCCTTCGAGTCTGAGAATCTTGCATGTAGTCCTCTTGTAGAAATGGGGTGCTGATATCAGCATTTTGTAGGGGACCAGTGCTGGCAGCTGCTGGTAGTGGATGAGTGATTTTTTGTGTATATGATACCATTGTGTTAGATTCTTCAGAATATACAATTGTCTGGTTGGACTCATCATTAGAATACATAGTTCCCTCAAGAGGTTTTCTGTTAGTAAAGTACTTTGTACAGAAGGGAGTTTGTGTGTTAGTTACTAGTTGGTTTAAAATGTCACCCTTTGTGTGATTGGTTATCAAGGAGCCACAAAAGCTCTCTTTTCTGGGTGGTGGAAAGGGTGCCTGGATTGCCAAAAACATCCGGAGAGAGAAATAATGTTGAAGAAAAAACAGAGAGAAAGTCAAAGTTAGTCATTATAGAAACCAGTGTCAACTTTACCCTTAAAGAAAGTAAAGCAACGTCATACCTTCTTCTTATTCTACACATTTTGTTGGCTAATTAAATGATCATTTTTATTCCATTTAGAATGCATTTTAATTTACTATCAATATTGCTCTCTGGGAGAAAATAGTTTTTATAGAGAATACATTATGGAGTTTTTTTCCACCTATACTCTGAAAAATTACGTTAAAAAGGAACATGTGTTCTCTTGGCATATTTTTAGACTTTGAGGTATAGGTACTGTATGTTTAGTCACATTGCTTTAATAACAGTTTTCATGTTTGGGGCACAATTTTACTATCTCCAACACAGAGTCCTTTTAGTTAATATAATACACAGTTGGATAACTCATGTGTATTGAATAAATACTGTGTTGCTGACCTCATAACTTCAAAATCCAAAGCATCAGCTACCAGCTTTTTAAGAATTAGAAAATATTGTAAACATTATGTTAGAAAGTGATCTACTTTTATGAACTGAATCAGAAAAAATAAATTCCATAAAGCCTGTTTTGAGTTTAAAACTTGTCTTCTATGTTGTAAATAAAGTTTGGCAAAGAATACAAATACAAGAGCAAAACATATTAAAGATAAAACATGTATCTAAATATTTATATGGAACTCAAGAAGAGAATCTACAGCAGTAGTCTAATAGGATGCTTTAAAATAACACAGTAGACAAGAGTGTGCAAGATTACCTGAGTTGGTGATTTTTTTTCTTGTAAATTTGGTCGAACGCTTCTAAAACCTTTTGCTGCAAGAGAGGAATATGTAGCATCTCCGTTCAGTGTCTCTTGATTTCGATCATTGTAAGATCTCCAAGCTTTTATTAAGGGAAAACAAATTGGATACAAAAATATCTACATTCACTTTTAACATACTTTTGGGTAAAATTTATTTTTATTTCCAAAATTGAAGATTTCTTTTTTAGAAATTAAATTTAGTTTAATAGACATAACTGTATATGCAATTGAAGTTTACTGTGAGGTCAACAATATGACTATGGATATGTTAAGAAATACTCACAACAAATGTAATGATTATTCAGAATAGATTTTCTGTACCTGAGTCTGGTGACTGAGAATCACGCCCTAAAAGAAAAAGAAATGTTGAAATTAATACTAAGGTAAAAGAAATGAACAACCCAGTAAAGACTATTTGGCAAAAAAACCCCACACGCACTTTTTTCTTTTTTTTTGCCAACAGTATCTCATTTGTAAAACTCTAAGTAAGTCAAATCTACTAAATGGAAGGGTTGTGCATTTAGTTTTATTTCAATGACAGTATCATTCATTAAGTATAATATGTAATTAAGAACATATAACAAATACTGATTTTTTTCCTTCAATAATATTGCAATCATGCAATTCTATTTTGCTATTGCCTAAGCTGGATATATGAATTTTAAAATATCAAACGGTTTGTTTGATTTTAAAATGGTTTGTAAGCAATGGCTGCTTCTCCAAAGCATTAAATTAACACCATATACTTAGCTTTCAGTGCCCTGGTGTTACTAACCATACTCAATTCCTGTGTTAGGTGGCGATCAATTTTTTGTAGTTTGCATTTCATTTTTATACTTTAAGAAAGTGTATGTGTTTCTACCATATTATGTGATATTTTTCAAATCATTCTCTAAACTTTGAATTTTCTTCTTATTGCCATTTTAAAGTCATTGTGTATTCAAATATGAGAGAGCCCTTATAATATATTCCATTGTCTTGCAGTAAGCTGTGGAAAATGAGTTTCAGTATTAACAAATTGCTTTTGATAATGCAGCTGGAAAGTGAGTGGCTCAATGACATATTTACTGTCAGTTTTATTCAAATTATACATTCAAGAATCTTCTGTAACTTATGCACTCTTGAGGTAATCGTCTTGTATTGCTTGGCTCTTTCATACCACATGGTCAACTTCCTGTAGAATCAGAAAGCCTGAACTTTAGAAATGACCTTAAGGGTCATCCAGCCCGATCTGTCCAATCCTGGACTCTTTCCCCAGGCTCCCCGAGACTGTTATTAAAATGTTGTATTTCAATGCCTAATAGAACATGAATGTTATATGTAAAAGGGACTCTTCATTTTCTTTCTAACGCTTATGGGATATTTTGAAATCTAAACACATGAATTTGGAGTGATAAAAATGAGTCGAGAAATGAGAGTTTGATTTTTAGATAAAATATTTGATATTCTTTCCAAACCAAGGGAAGAAGAAAAGAAATCTGAATTAGCACAGAGTACATTACTGTATCTCCAGGTCAGGGGAGTTAGAGAAGACTAACAAATCTTCACCCTTTATAATAATTGCTAATTCAGGACAGAATTTATTGCCAATGAATTCAATATCAGAGTAATAAAATAGGTACTGCAAAGTAAAAAATAACTTTCAAGAGTCATAGGCAAAATGCTTGAAATTTTCGATCACTTAAATAATGATGAGGATTCCATAAAGACAACAAACAGGGTAGCGATATGGACCAGAACAATCATTAGAATTCTGCTTTGGGGCACCCAGGGAGAGAGACATAGTGACCACCTGTGTGTCATGGAGAGTTTGTGGACAAGGAACAAGTTTGGGAACTTGAGGGAAGCAGCAGGAATAATTATTATTTATATCATAATTAGTTGCCTAATAATAAGGAGTTCATTTCACTTTTAGTCTGATAAAACTGGGCTCATAAAGAAGGTTGTGTGGGTATAGGCTGGGGATGGAGATGGTGGGAGCCAGGTGCTTGGAGGTACAAGGGTTGTAGACATGGTGAAGAGGAGGAGGTATAGATAGTGAGCAGATTTGAAGGACACTTGAAATAAACTTCCTCTAACTGATAGTTTGTAGAGAGGTACTTCTGTTTCTTCTCACAGGTGACCACATTGGAGATTATAGAATCTACAGTGGGATAAATATTAAGTGTGAGACTCAGAGGACAGTCACTCTGGATTCAACCAGGGGCTTATCTCTCTCTCTCTGTCCTGGGCCCAGGGATTTCCAAATGAAACCGCTTATTTCCTCTTCTACAGGAAATATGAGGTAATTCATAACGATGAGCTTTTAAAAGTATAATTAAATACAAAAAATAAGGATGAAATCTACTGCATGGTGGACACAGTTATAGAATTATGAACAAGGGGATGGGAGAAAAATCACCATGGATTAAAACTTCAGGATGAATCCACATTTTAATGAATCTTATGGTAATGATTAAAGTCTACTCTTTAGTGGGTGGTCTCTTAAAAATAGTTAAGTGTACAACATTTGTTTCTTTAAAAAAGATCCAGTTATAGATACTGAACACATCCAGTCCTGATTTGCTATTTTATTATAATTCTTTGGAGGCATTGAAACATCAACACCATCCCACATGATTACTATTCACTGTAGACTTGCTTTTATTTAATTTCTGCCAAGAAAACTTAGGGAGGGAGGACAGGGTGGTTTGGAGCAGGTAACAGAAAGCATCCTGGAACCACACCAAGTGAAGAGAATATCAGTTAAAAAAAGGGGGGTGCCTGGGTGGCTCAGTCGGTTGAGCATCTGCCTTTGGCCTGGGTCCTGATCCTAGGGTTCTGGGATTGAGTCCTGCATTGGGCTCCCTACTCCCAGGAAGCCTGCCTCTTCCTCTGCCTTCCTTTCTGTCTTCTTTCATGAATAAATAAATAAAATCTTTTAAAAAATAAGGCCTGGCATGTAAATGATTTGGCAGATTCATGGCGAAAATGGTTTTGCCCAGCATCTTGAATATGATTCGTGATTATTCACTTGTGAAAAGTCTAGGGATCAGAGCCTTTAATTTCTAGCATTCTTTAGTTGATGGTCATTGCTTCTCTGAAAATTCAAGAACTGAGTAAATGGGGCAGATTTATCATTCTCTGGCTATTTTTCATGGGAATATAAATAGGGTCTGTGAGAATTAAGAACCATAACCCACTCTTCGCTGGTACAATGAACATTCCTCATGTCCAGGCAGAAGGTGGTGGACACCTGTCCCAGAAGTTGGTAAGGCATTCGTGGCTCACTTTGGGGATTGGGCTGGATGCCCTGAAAGGTCCTTTCTGATTTTATGATTCCAACATAATGATTTTTAGGTAGCCGTGTTTGTGGTACCTGTTTCATCATAATTTTTACCCTGATGTTTTATTTAAATTCCTCATAACTGGTATGCAATGTTAAACATCATAAACTACACTTTTCTTGAAAACTATGATTTTAATTCTTAGAGCTTCTTTCTTTAGAGAGCTCAAATGCTTTGCAAGAACTAATTAAACATATTAATTCAAGTAGACTAATTGAATGCCTACTGTGTTTCTAAGTATTGTGATAAGCCTTTTTTATTTATTTTCTTCATTTACTCTTATTTAATTAGGACAAATCCTTGTGAGTTTAGGAAATGATTAAGTTCTCAGAGATGTAGGAAAATGAAACACAAATTCTTTTTTTCAAAGATTATTTTTTAAAGATTTTATTTATTTATTCGTGAGAAACACAGAGACAGAGGCAGAGACACAGGCGGAGGGAGAAGCATGCTCCCCATGGGGAGCCTGATGCTAGACTTGATTCCAGTACCCTGTGATCACGACCTGAGCTGAAGGCAGATGTTCAACCACTGAGCCACTGAGGCATTCTGCCCTACTCTCCACCCTCCCCACCTTTTTTTTAAGAAAGGAAACTGGAGATACAAACAGATGAAATTTCCTAAAGGTATGAATAAAACACACATGTGTTGGCTGGACCCAGTCTCTTAGCACAGTGGACCTGTCACCATAGCATACCACCGTATCACGGTTGTCTTAGACTGCCAAGCATTTTGGTAAAATAAAATAGTCAACATAGTCATCACTGTGGTTCTAGCTTTGGTTGAAAACATCAGTGTGTGCTCTGAATTATCCATTGGGATTTTACTTTTAAAGGTAAACAAAGACACACTGATTTAAGGGATAAAGAGTTGATGAGTAGTAGCTCAAACTGACTCTATGACCTAGGGGGGATGGAGGGAAGCTTGGAATCCTTTGTGGAGGTAGTCTTTTACATAAAGATTGTTTTATTTTAATAATATCAAATGTAGTAAATATTTACTAATCTGCTTTTGACTCACAAAGAGACACTGTGTCAAATAAGTTTTTATGAAGGCTACCATATAATGTAAGAGGCCTAAAGAGAGGCTGAGTTCTTTCTTCAAAATGTAAATAAATCTTCATTGAAAAATGGTTCATATCTTATGTGTCTAATGAATACTAAAGAGATGCATTTTTAATGTAACCACAAAGTTCAGGGGACTTCATTCTCTAGAAATCTTACTCCTAATGACATGACAGTTTAAATGGTCCAGAACTATTACATACTTTTATTACTGAAGATTATTTCATATTCCTAAAGTATTAAATCTTTTCTATTATTTTGATTCTGAAGCATTAACATTTTTCTGCTAAGTTGAGTGATATGAAACTGATATTCTAGTTTTGACCTTCCAGAATGGCAATCTTTATTTCAATCCACTATAAATTCCTTCATGGTTACTTCTGTAAATCATAACAACTTGGCATTGTTGAAGTAATGCCACATTCCCTAGGTGGCCCCCTCAGATGGTCCACATCTGAAGAGCTTGGGACAGAATTTTACTTGGTTGAAATGTTAATTATATTTGTGGTTAGGCATCCCAATTACCTGCTGGTCCTGATCAATTTATTTGTTTGTTTTCTAATTTCCCTTCATTCTCATTTCCCTCAGGTATTCAATATAAACACATTTGGGTTTTTCTAACATTTTTCCATGCCCATACACACACAAACAAACGTGTACAACTACATATATAGATATTTTTCTTAATAAAAATGAGATTGTACTATATACATTGCAATGCAATTTGTGTTTTTAAAAATGTAATATATTATGGAACCACCTGGACTGGTATTTAAACTTGTACATGGAAATCCATTTGTAAACTGGAGGTGGTGCTGGCTAAGAGTGAGAATTCTACACATGAAACCGTGTTTTTTTTTCCTCAACATGGCTGGGTAGTTTAGGATCAAATGGCTTTATCCAAGGACATTCTCAGTTATTAATTAACTACTAAATGTATGTGTGTAAAAGACACTGATATGCACAGTGTGAATTAAAATGATATAAACACTCCATCTCTCTCCAACTTCTCCCAAACCCACAAATATTATAAAAAACAAACAAACAAGGAACCCCAACTCAGCAACCCATAATCAAACCAACTAACCAGTCAGCCGACCAACCAACTAGTCACAGGAAGGTATGGGCATTTCTCAGGGCCTCCAGACATGGGGGTTGCTGGGTTCACTTTGATCCTCTATAGCAGTAGCCCCTTGTACAGATTGTACCCACAGGTCTAGGTCATAAAGAGACACACCTTAGTAGGTGCCAAAATATCACACTCTCAATTAGCTTTCTACAGATACATGTATCTGTGGGTACGTGGTAATCTTACCTGGACCAAGACATTTAAGAATATATATTAGAAGGGCCTTTGCTGATTGGATTAAAGGAAGTTTTAAGATCTTTATCAAAACTAATATTCTTTCATATTGTTTCCAACCTTTGGTGAAGAAGTGAATTAATCATAATCCACTTACCTGCAAATCCCTGCCCCTCTGTGTTCCACTCCCCAACAGTTTTTAGATTAAAAAAAACTAAAGCACCTGTGAGTTATCTTAACTAAACATTACATTACTTTAGTTCATGAGAAAAAAAAAAAGCTTAGTTATTAACACTTGCAGTTGTTACTCAAAACATTTTTGGCAGGTGACGGTTGCTTTTAATTAGATTTTTAAAACTTTTTTTTTTTTTTTTACAAGCTATCAGTTTCCTTTGGCTTTTTATTTTTAGAACAAAAACAGAAGGGATAGGAGCTATTCTTGAGACAAGAAAAATAAGAACTAGTAGGGCTTTAGGAAGGTATTTACAGCTACTTTCATCATCCAAACGAGATAATTCTGGAAAGAGAGAAAGGTCAGATAAAGCCATTCGATTGTGACATTCTGTGAGTTAGCGATATTATACCTGCAGCCAATAGGTTTGGAGAACTTTGAACTCTCTTCACAGATGTTAATGTAACAGACATGGCAGCACGTTTGCGAGCACACCCACCGCTATCTGAAAGCAAAAAAATGATATAGCAGAGGCCACAGCAAAGGAGAAAGCACATGCACTATCATGCATTTTAAGTGGAATGTGCCAGACATCCATGAGGAAGATGAACAGTCAGGATTAGTAACCATGGAATACATTGGAAAATTTCACACCCACCCCAAACTAAAACTGACAAAACAAAACAAAAAAACCAGGGGTCTGTCTTAGAAACAGACGCCATTGCTTTAGTAAAAACACAGATTTTATACTTAATATTTTATGGGTTTCCTTTAAAGAAAACAGAAACATACAACTCAACTTTGTTTATGCCATTTAAGTTCAATTACTGTTAAATGTATAAGCAGTGTGAAGAGCGCTTAGGGTCAGGGACAACTGATCTTACAGTATTGGGAGCAATGGTATACCATATTTTGTATTCATCATTTAGGTTTTACTGTATTTTAGCTATTTATGATTCCTAAAGGTAGCTGGAATCACTTCTTGAAGTAAAAGTTATTAACTGATACAGGCATGGTATGATAAATAGGATTTATAAAGAAACAGATGTCATTACAGAAATTCTCTGTCCTTTCATAGTTCTTATTGTTGTGGAAATAATTAGCCTATTTGGAATCAAAGGCAACATTGATATATACAGTATTGAAATGACCAATATTTAAAAGATTAAATTGTTTTTATACTTTTGAACAATAGGTTGATGAGGATCCATATACTTACACTTTATGGACATTGCAATGTGAAATAAAGTACGTGAAAATGCATCAGTTATTTTAATGGGATATGAGAAGTTTAGAGTAACAAGACTTCTAAAATTGGAAGGTTCATGTTCTATTTACGAACAGATTCCAATTTTGTTCCTACATTCCTTTGTATATGGAATGTGCAATAAATAGTTTTGCTCATTCTCCTGGAATGAAAACAACTGAAATTGGAATCTTTTTGAAAGTTGTAACTAGGAAAACAAATAATATAACCACCAATATGATAACATAATCATTATATATTGCCACATGCTATTCTCATTTTTCCCCTTTTTCTTTATTTCTTAAAAAAAAGTATCCAGTTTGTTTACTGGAAGTGAGGGGATTTATTTATTTATTTTTAAACTCTTTTTTTAAATTTTTATTTATTTATGATAGTCACACAGAGAGAGAGAGAGGCAGAGACACAGGCAGAGGGAGAAGCAGGCTCCATGCACCAGGAGCCCGACGTGGGATTCGATCCCGGGTCTCCAGGATCGCGCCCTGGGCCAAAGGCAGGCACTAAACCGCTGCGCCACCCAGGGATCCCGAAGTGAGGGGATTTAAGAGTGCTTGGAGTAATGACTTAATTATTGGTAAAATCACAAGCAGTAAGGTCAATAGAACTTAAAATTGGTAGAATGATTCTCATATCAAAATATAATTTCTTAAATACATGTTTAAAATTTCCTAATGCAGACAATAACTAATACAGAAAAATGATTTGAAGCAACATATGTGAAGTCAAATATCAAAGATCAAACACAGAAAGACAAATGGTAGAAACATACAATACTAAAGATATCTTTCAAAGAAGCACCAATAGGATTTTAGCAAATTGAAAAAAAAAAAAAGCTACAAGGAAGGAGTGTTTCAGATAAAATGGAGGTAATGTTACGGAATACGTGGTGTATGTATAGCAGCTATCAATGGTCTAAAAGGACCACGTAGTCAAGGATGTTGAAAGTGGAAACGGACCTCTAAGAAATTTTATTTTCTAGTTCTTGGAACTCTGAACATCTGAAAACTAGCAGGAATGAGAAAGAAAAATTTCACAATGAGGAGGTTCAGAGTTACTGGTTAAATCCATCGTTCCAAAACGTGTGCCAAGACACCTCAGGCCCCATCAGAAAGTTCACAGGGCTTGAGGAAGACTTCTTCTGTTCTTGAGGAGAACACAGTGATGCCTCTCAGATGCTGCATGAACCACTAGCTTGAGTTAGTTCCCATTTTCAGCATAATCGTTTGTGCTGTTTTCCTTTAAATGTATCATATCTTTGAAAAGCTGGGTTTTGGTGATCACAGGGGCAAAGAGCAAGTCCCCTCTGAAAATAATTTTGGACCAGTAAAAGAGAGTGGCGATGTATGCTCTAATTCCATGGTCTGAGAAGTTTTGTGTGTCTCCAACAGACACACCATCCTGTTAGTAAGTAACTGTGGTTATAAAGAATAAATTAAAATGATTGGCTTTTTTATTACAGTGTATTATTTTTTTAAATTGCTTCTCAGTTGGTAGAACGTAAGTACTTATTAAGTTGTCTGCACCTACTACTTAATAAATAGAACTGTTAGGTATTTCTTTTGCCTTGAGAGTATGCCTAAAAATTACTAAGATATCTTGGCACAGCAAAACAAGAAAGGGTAGGAACCTCTGTGTCAAACAATTTTTGTATTCTAAGCAGTTCTAAGATTTACATAAAATGAATAGAGCATCAGTTTTTTATTAACAGTTTAACAAGGAGCTCACTTCGAAAAGTTGAGACATTTGTGAAATTGCTAAGAACAGAAAAATCTCTTAGATTCTCTACTTGTGTGTTGATACTTTCTGCTATTCCTGGAAGATATTTTCTTAAGATCTCAAAATGTGGATACTCTCTTGCACACTTTAGGTCATACAAAAGAATCTTGATGCCACTCTCACCTTCAAGGTGACATACTCTTGCACAGACCTGCAGGACTCCTGGGAGCTGCTTCTAATTTCTGGGAAGCACTCATGGGTAAATCACACACTGAATTATTTGATGTCTTTCTCTCTTCCCTTTCTGGTATAGCTAAGATTTTCCTTAGGAGATAATGGTTCCCGAGTCCAAAGAGTAGAAATACTGCATGTTTTATAATTTCTATACATTGTTTAGATACTTCTGTATGAAAAAATGAATCACATTTCTTTGGCTCTTTTATAACATATTTGACCAATAATGGAAAGCTAATTTAAAAGAATCTTTTTTCAAAAACTTGACTGATGCATGGACATTGAAAGTAGTACTGGATCTCTTTAATGATTGATAGGTAGATGATGAAGACCAGTTTTATGTACAGATAGTTAGGAATTAATCTCTCCTTCATTTTGTAGATATAGCAACAATGCTTTTTTCAACTTTCTATAGCAAGATTTATATCTATCTATCATCTATCTATCTATGTATATTTTTTAAAGTGGTGTGGTTTTATAGCAATATTATAGTATTGCTTTGGAATTTTAAACAAAGAACTCCAGTCAATTCTAATCAACTTTGTATGCATATGTTTAATATATTTTATATGCATATATGTGTGTAAATTTACCCAGATAAGTAAAATAAATGCAAATTAGCATTCCATATAGAACTGAGCTCACTCCTTTTAAATGAGAGCATGCTTTAGAGAGTTACATTCATGTTGCTGGAGCATTCACTTGATTCAAGTACCCTGGAGACCTAAGCAAATGTATAAATTTTCTCTTTGTCTACTTTGCTATTAGGGATTGCATCCTATGACTAGGAAGGTTAATTACTGAACGCATTGTAATGAATATGGCATATTTATATATTTCTTCAATCCTTTTGCCTAATAGTATATCTCCTTTCATTTCCCGTGTCTACCTTCCACATCTCCAGTTGTCCAAATGCCTTTACTTGGTCCATTTCTAAGGTTGTCATTTCTCTTGATTTCTAAGCCTCCCTTATTTATTTTGACTATTTTAACTATCCTCATCTTGCCTCTTACTCTCCACATTTATACCTGCATCTTCAGGGGGGCAGCTAACCCATGATTCTCCAAGGTCATCCACTGCAAGTTTTTGCTAAGGTCAGCCACAGAATCATGGACAAAGACATATCCATGTCTCTATACTTGATCTAGGGATTAGATATTGGTTCTCACCAATGATTGTTAATCCTTCCTTGGGGCATTTTGCTAACAACAAGAGATAGCAAAAAGGTGAACTGCATGATGTGAGAAATTATCTTGGACTACCCTTCCTCCTCTGCCACAGAGTAACTGGCTAAAACAACTTTCAGTGATCACTTGTAGATAGGAAATGGTATTTTTAGAACACAGGTTACAGAATTTCAGTGAGAAAGTTGTTTAACAGAGTTACCTGATAGTGAATATAACCATGTCAGAGGAGGGAAAGCTGAAAATGAAAGTTAAAATATTTCTACTATGGAAAAAAATTCATACGTACCCAGCATGTGTCACAAACCCTGTTACAATTAATCTGTATATAATACAGAGTTTAGAGACCTCAATGTTGTTGAAGCTAGTTAGAGATACTACTCTCATTCTAAAAATATAATGCTTATGACTTTATGTATATTGTGTCTAGCTTAATTAATCTGATCTCATATGAAGCTTTGGTACTCTGCTAACATTGTTAACATAAAGTTTTTATAGAAAAGGGAATTTAAAATATTTTCTGCTAGAGCAATTTGCCTATGAAATTAGCCTATTTTAAGTGAGCAATTTCAACTGTATGTGTCAAGTGATATGCTCCCTTTTCCTAGGGCATATAGGAGTGAATTTAAAGATACGGTTATAGAAAAGGGGAATAAAAGTAGATAGCAAAACAGAAAATTCTACCTTGGATAGATGTAAGATTGGAGCATAAAAACAAAGAAATCAAGTATGAATTTAGATCAATCAGATCAGCAGAGTATTAAACATAATGATTTGGGGCCAAGATGATTTTTAAAGAGCAAGGCTAAAGAGTTTTAAAACTAACAGACAGCGTACCTGTATTCATTTTGACCTTGGAGGGTTTGCTATTAAAGTCTTCAGTTTTCCTGTAGAAAAAAAATGATGCATTAATTTGTTCACTGTATGGGCAACAAAATATCCCGAAAGAGTGTTTTTGTTTTGTTTCTGGCGTACCTGTGAGTTAATGTCACATTATCCTTAGTCTTTTTTTTTTTTTCCATTATCCTTAGTCTTATTTGAAGTCAGGATTTAATAAGGTGGGCACAATTTCTAATTCTATTCAAGTTAAACTTGAGTTATTATTAGTTCTTGATCATAAACCAACTTTTTGTCCAATGGTGACCACTAACGGATGAAAATCGAGAGGAATTTTGTTAAGAATTAAATTTCTTTCACATTTGTACTAATAGTTTTTGTTTTCTAAGCCTGGAAGGGTCAATTGGTTGTTAAGTGTCTTCTTTTGGAAGGTACCCTGGTACTTTGAAGTCATTACCTTATACCTTCAGTTTTTTATATTATTTAATTTTTTAAATTTGAGATCATGACCTTACACTATTCAATTTATTACTGGGCCAATGTATCAAACACATATTTTGAGCAAAAGGTCAAGGAAGAGGAGATGCACCTATTTTTCCTTAAGACAGGAAACAAGTAATTACTACAAAACCCATTTCTGTTTCAGTATTAGATACTGTGGTTTTTCCCAACAAGTGTTTGATGAATAACAATTGAGATTAATTCATTAGAAATGGTTGGTGGAATGTTGCTTGCTGTAGAAAAAGTTTGAAGATTTTGTGTATTATTTTATGATATGTGAGGTGACTTTGTTCTTTCCTGGTATATTTGTCTTAGCCCATTTTTAGAGTTTCTTATTTATCCACACATTAAGACCAAAGAAGAAGGACATTCTGTCATAGGAAGCAATTCTTTTAAGAGTGAGAGGCCTTAAAAAAAATAATAATAAAATAAGAGTGAGAGCCCTGACAGGGATGTTTATCCTCTTTGCTGCCTTTGCTCCTGAGTAGGACCTGTTGTTAGATGAATATGAACTTTTCCAGTCCCACACGGTCAGTTTCCATGTACATTAGCACTCTAACATCCGATTATTTAAAATATTATGCATTGTGGTCAAGTGGGGGTAAGGTTGAAATGAAAAAAATCTGTCATGATCTGCCAAGAAAGACTTTTGATACATATATTTTCCTTCAGTCTCTATAAAGAGCACCAAATGAGCTCCCTGACTTTCTTGTCTTTTTTTGTCTTTTCCCTCTCCAGAACACACAGAAAAATGTGGCAGCTTGTGGAGGAACTCTACTCAGTAGCCCTAACATGGCCTGTGTTGAAGAAATGCCAGTGAAGTCAGGGGAGAAGGCTGTGGTCAGTGCAGGAGCCTTGAGAAAGCTCCATCAAACATATTTATTTTAATCTCTCGGTAGCAAAACTCTTAATATGTTAACCTTAAATGGATAAAATAAATGGAAAAGAAAAGCCTCAGGGGATGTCTGTGACCAAGTCTGAGGCAACTGCTAAAACAAGAAGGAATAAACAGTCTCCAGAAAATGAGGACTAGAAGAACATTTCCCGAATTCGACTCCTTTTCACTCCTTTTCAGAACACATTTTGTTTAAAACCATCCTAAGTTTTAAAACTGACTGACAAAGGTCAGGTTTGCCTTGGAACAATACTGATCCTGAAAGAAAACATCAAACAGAAGGAAGGTTAACTCTCCGTAATACAGAAGCTGCCAATACAAAATCATAATGTTTTTCTACCAAGCTAGAGGATGAATTGTCAACACTTGTTGTTTGAATTCAAATGCAGATATTTACAAAACATCTGCCACTCAAGAACAAAATAGGATTAACAGGAACAAAGAAAGGCGCCACAGATCCTTGAGCTTTTCATCTTTAAAGTGATGTATCCTGTTACTTATAAATGTAATTTGGGTGGTTTTTAAGCTTCTCATTGTTTTAGATGTCAAAATGTGAAATGACTAACTTCCTAATCAGGCAAGACATTTTCCAAGTTGTTAAAAGAAGAGCCTTGGTGATTGAGCTTTCCAGAAGAACCTGAAACTGAAAGGCTTCTTGGATGACTAATAAAAAAGCATGATTCTATTTCCATTATTTGTACGAAAGCCATTAGCAAATTCACAACTGAGAACTGTCTTTAGACAATTTAACTAAAGCAAATCTAATCTCTTTTGTTCTGTTCTGGAAAAGTGTCTTTAATTGTACTTACAGAACAAGGATAGATGATTCAGGAAAGCATCAAATTCCTAGAGTGTTTGCATGCTTCCTAGAAGAGACCTTATTTCAAGTATTCTCCTAAATTGGAATTGAACAAGGGCCAAGACAATGAAAACGGATGATAAAATGCAGACTACCTTCAATCTCAGCAAATAATCCACAGAGCAAAGAACTCTCTGTGCAGTAGTGTCAAAATGATTTTCAACAGGTGGTGTGGAGCTGTATTTACTTAAGTTCAGTTCTTGCCAAAGTCTTATATAAAAAGCAACTTTCTATGTGTACTAATTTGTATATAGCGATCTATTTGTTTCTGTATGGGTTAGAGCAACCTTCATTCCCAATATGCATAGGGCAAAACATTGTGTTTGTTGTTCATGCATGGGCAGAGACGTGACTTTGTGTCTGTAGCCTTTGGATTCTGCTTGAATTTCTTTTGATTATGTGACCTCTATTTCTTTTTCTTATGGATCTGAACCATCTTTATTCCCAACAAGCATAGGACAACACAAATAGAGAAGTTTTGATTGGTCCTGTAGAGGCACCAACAGGATTCTGTGCTCCTAATCTTATAATTCTGCTTGAATCCTTTTGCTTGTCAGGCATCCTATTTCTGAAGAGAAGCAGAGGCAAAATCCTTTCTTCAAGTTTGGCCAAGAATTCTGTGTAAGTCATTTTATTTTTGTAGACTTGAATTCAAGCACCAAGACCATCTATAAAACTATGGAATGAAGTTTTAGCTCAGCTAACGTGAGAAGTTGCCCAAAATATTCTCCATAGAATAATTTTAATCCAATAATTGCTAGGGTTCTTTTGCAATTGATCTGTTCACAGTTTATATATCATCTAGAAGAAAGGAAATAGTTTAAGTGGTAGGAAAACATTGAGGGATGTTAGACTTTTTAGAGACATAGTTTAGACACAAGAAAAAAATGATGTATGTTGAGGTTAGGCACCAGATTTTAACCTGAATTTACTTTGGAATGAATCATGTGTACCATTCTTTCTGGATAAACTTACTGAGTGGTCAATGCATGTCTCTCTGTCTCTGTGTCTTCCTGACAGTGGTAGGATTAGAAGTAGTCTTATGTGCCAAATGAATTTACTTTTCAGTTACAATCAAATGACCTATTTTAGGTTGATTACATTTATCTTTTTCATCTTTTCTGTCAATATGTTGTCTTGAAATTTTCACAGGAAATACCCCAAGTCGATTATTTTGTTCTTTATAGTCCCTGAATTTAGAAACACAAGAATACACCTCAACCTTTTTTCCAAATGGTTTCTCTGAATTGATGATAACAGGTATATGAAACTGACTTGGGACTTCTGAGTCGGTGGAACATGTTGTAGTTAATAGTGAGGGCATGGTTTTCCACTCTCAGCCTTCACATAAGAACTCAAAATTCCTCCCAACATTCTCGAGCTAAAGGTGCCTGAAGATGGGTCCTTATTATTCAGAAACCAAATTATCCACAGTATTTATACATGAATGCTGGGGTCAGAATACTTTCAATATCATTTCTAGGAATAAAGACAAATCATTACCATGAATAGTGAAGAACAAAGAACATGAGGCCATTGATTATTTTTATAAGAATATACAAAATTTTTTTTAAACCAAATTTAATCAAAACATTCTTTCATACCAAATTTCCTGGTACCTGAAAAAACTTTCTGAAGAACAAAAGCATATTTATCATGGAAATTAGTGATTTTCTTTTTGAGACTCTGCAAAGCTAGCTAGTCCAAATACTTAACAGATTTTTCCTAAAGACCATCTACTGGTGAAAAGAAGTCAATCACCGGTAAATAATTTTCTTTCTGAAGGTATTTCAAAGCCTCAAAGACTGTGACTCACTCTCCTATTTAATTATAAAAGAATGCTGATTCCTTTTCACATACAATAGTCATATGATTTAATATTACCTAGTATCCTACATTCATGGTACCTTTAACTTTTATACCGAGGATGATTATAAGATATATGTAAATACTTACAGATTCTTTTTCTTTTTCTAAAACAAAGTCATTTGTTCAAAAGTACTAGAAAAATTCTACTGGCTTCTATTATGTAAATCAAAAGCCAAATGGGTTCCTAATAAAAAAAAAAAAAGCAGATTCCTAATGGGGATCTGATGAATTAGGCACATTATCAAAGAGATGTGAGGAATTAATAGAATATTAACTTACAGATGAACTGAGTAGTGTTGGAAGGATAGATCATGGAGTCACTCAAGCCTGGATTCAAAAGCCAATTCTGGCCATTTCCAGTTATCTAAATGATTTATACCAATGTCATTATCATCTCCTTCAACAGTAGCAATAGCAGCAGGATCAAATCTATTTTCCTTCCCCTGGCAGTAAACCACCCCAGTCAAATTGACATGATTCTCATTCACTAGTATTTCAAGTAGTTTGAGGCCTATCTTTTGTCTTTGATTGAATCTTGAGAAAATAATCTAGACTTCCCTGAAAATACCTAGGACATTATTTTATTGATTTAAATTGAAGTGAGCATCTATGGTTTATTAGATTGATTTGTATGGATTTTCCCATCTTCTAATTATCCCATCCCCAATTTAGAAACATATTGGAATTGAAAAGGAATTCTGCTTTCTAGGAAGCTTTTTTTCTTTCTTAAGCAGAGCCTTCTCTTAGCTGAGATTTTCTTTTTTCCACACTGCAGTCAACAAGAGGAGATAAACCCAAGAAAAAGTTGAATCAAACACTTGTCTTCTAGCCCAGCTAAGTTATTGCTAGTGAACCTGAGGGAAAGTAACACTTAAAGGTTGTGACAATTTGTTTTTTGTAAATCCTTCTCCATTACTTTTGACAGC